CCGTGTTGCTAAAGTTGAGGGTAAGAATCCACCCATTTTTTTCGCCATGTAGCATTGTGATATATAACGACTTATTGTTGGTAGCTTAGCTGATTGGAGAATATATAGAGTTTATTGATAACATTGAGGTAATTTATATTTTAGTTTTTTATTGGTTCACTATATAGTATTCATTATATATTGTAGTGTATACCCAGTTACTGTGAATAGCTCAGATGTGTAGGCCTTGACTTCAACATAGCCATTTCTGTGTCCAGTCACAAGCTAATCATTCAGTTATTTCAATGCTAAATTCGCCTAGTTATTTCAATGCTAAATTCTCCTGTTTGATTTGTACTAAATGCCTCTGTTAATGTGTATGCTCTGACTTTAACATAGCTATTTCTGTGACCAGTTACAAGCTAATCACTCAGCTATTTCAATGCTAAATTCTATGCTAATTCCTTTGTCAAGGGGTGCCTCTGCGGATGTGTATGCTTTAACTTTAACATAGCCATTTCTGTGACCAGTCACAAGCTAATCACTCAGCCATTTCAATGCTAAATTCTATGCTAATTCCTTTGTCAAGGCGCTTTGTTTCTTCTCACACAGCTTAAAGGTCGCGATCTGAGCGTGGCTTTTTCACTCCAGCGCTGTCCTCCAGACAGTCTCGTCCCTTCACCTGAAGGCCGTTTGTGTTGTGGCCGAAACGTCGTGAGAATATTGTGTTATTTTATTTTATCAATTTATTATTTTATTGTCATTCTACGTGACTTTACCGAAAGAACCAAAGAAGATGAATCCTTGCAGTCACGAAAGCTTTAAATCGAAAAATAGAACCAAGAATATGAATCCCTGCAGTCACGAAAGCTTTAATTTAAAATTTAAATGCCTCTACGGGGAGGGTTTCCACATAACTTTGAGATCCTTCAACAAACTCCGGGATAAGAAGGCTCAGCTGATCGAGTCTCTCACCTTTCTGAAGAGATGCCGCGACTCTGGGGTAATACCAATCGCATTTACACTGACCTCTGCTGCTGTAACTTCTTCTAATGTGAAACGAATTCTTTCCAGAACTAGCTTAGCTCTCATCTCAGAGGAAATCAGACTTATACGCACCGAACTAGATCAGTTAGACAAGACACTCTACAAATCACACTTATCATTGATGGCAACAATGTCCACATCGGATTGGGAACATGTAGACAATATGACTGCCTCTTCAGCTGCCACTATGTCGACCAAATGTAAGGACAACCTGATTTCCAAATTAAAACCTCCTCTCCAACAAAAGACCGGACCCACACACCAAAAAAGCTAGATGTTAACAAATTCGTAATTAATCGCAGTAACAGTTCTATTTCAGATGGTCTGAAATCCGTTTTAGCTAAAGGGCTAAACTTTGCAGTCACACCTAAACACATACCAGTTAATGATATCATTGCCCAAGCAGACGTGGCTTTCAAGGGCCTGGATCACATCGCTGCAGACGTAGCAAGATCTGAAATCGCTGCAACCCTCAAAAACGCTAAGATGCCAGCTAGCAACCTCAGCAAGGATGAGCGTTTGAATTATATAAATTAAAAAAGAGGGATGGCATTGTCATCCTCTCAGCCGACAAGGGCAATGCCACTGTCATCATGGATAAAATAGAATATAACAAAATTCAAGAATTACTCAACAATGGCAGCTATACAAAAATAAAAATATCCCACCAACAGCCTCGTCATTCAAACCAACAAAATCATTTCTGATTCAACCGCATTAATTGATCAAACCAAGCAGTTCTCGTTGAAACCTTCTGCTGCCAAGCCACCAAGATTATGCGGCTTACCAAAAATACATAAAGCAGATACACCCCTTCGTCCCACCGTCTCTACTATCAGCTCCCCCACCTACAAACTGGCTCGTTTTCTGTCTGAAATCCTGCGGCCTTTCACTGGAAAAAACACCTCTGCAGTACAAAATTCTACTCACCTGGTATCGACAATCACGGGTATTTCCCTGTCCCCAGACGACCTGTTTGTCAGTTTTGATGTAGTTTCCTTATTCACCGAAGTTCCTGTACCTGACACCATCGCAATCATTGAAGACATGGTTCATTAAGGACTAAAGACTGAGGTACTCCCCCTGGTGAGACACTGCTTAACCAATACATACTTCACTTGGAATGGAACTTTCTACAAACAAACAGAGGGCACCCCAATGGGCACCCCCCTATCTCCGGTTGTAGCCAACATTTTCATGGAGAAATTTGAGACTGACGCCATCCAGACTGCCACTCTGTGCCCAACATTATGGAAGAGGTACGTGGATGACACTTTTGTCATTTGACCACATGGCAAGCCTGCTTTAGACCAATTCCTCGACCACATCAATTCCATACACCCAGCCATCAGATTTACCATGAAAGTCGAAAAAGATGGCAAGCTACCTTTTTTGGATGTCCTAATAAAAAAGAGACCTGATGGTTCAATGAGCCACTCTGTCTACAGAAAAAGCTACCCATACAGATGCTTACCTGAAACCGGATTCCCACCACCATCCATCCCAGACGAATTCCCTCATCAATACTCTGCACCATAGAGCCCAATGCATATCCGACCAGGAACACATAGCCAGTGAACTCAAGCACATACACCAAGCTCTTAAGGCTAATGGTTACTCCGACTACACAATCCGCAAAGCTATTACTCCATCCATGAAGAAGGACCCTCTTGAGGAGCCTTTGAAAACCATCACTTTACCCAACATTGCGGGGATCACGAAAAAAGATCTCCAAAATCTTGAATAAACACAAGATCCAGGTCCGATTCAAAACATTACATAAAATCCGTGATCTGGTTCCGTCTGTAAAAGATGTGATTCTGGACATACAGTACCCTGGCATCTACAAACTAAGTTGCCTTTGTGGTAGTAGTTACATTGGAGAAACCAAACGACATGTCTCGGACTGCATTCGTGAACACAAAGCAGACCTAAAACACGGTAGGACCAACACCTCGGCCGTGGCAGATCACTGGTATAATTCAGTAGGCTCACATGACATTGACTTATCCAAGACAGAGGTTCTTTGCAAGCAATCTGCCTACCATGAGAGATTCGTTCATGAGGCTATCCACATATACAAACACAGAGACAATTTCAACCGAGAAGATGGATTCTGGCTTAGCAATCATTGGAAGGATCTGATAAACCATTTCGGGTCTTAATTGATTGTTCACGCTTATGCTGGCTTTCAGACCACATCCATTATTTTCGTCTTCCTCCTCCTCTTTTCCGAACATAGATGGACTCATTATGAGACCTCCTTTGCCAGCAACAATATATAGTAATAGGTTTTACCCTTTTAACTGGCACAAAAACTGACACCTTTATTCAAGGGGTCATGTTTGCAATAACCACAAGACAAGCAGTCAAAATGCAAACGAAAGAGACAATTCTGATAATTTTTGTGGTCCACACCCGAGACGGGTGTGGACCACACCCGAGACGGGTGTGGACCCGAGACGGGTGTGGACCACACAAATTCAAGGACAGTGCATATTATTATCAGAGTTGTCTCTTTTGTTTGCATTTTGACTGTTTGTGTTGTGGTTATTGCAAACATGACGCCTTGAATAAAGGTGTCAGTTTTTGTGCCAATTAAAAGGGTAAAACCTATTACTATAGATGGACTCGTCCATCTGAATAACTGCCTAATCGCTCACCGTGGTGCTAACGTAAAAAAAAAAACACCACTTATTTCAAATTTTCTTGCTGTGGTTTTCACACCTGATGATGACTGCTTGTGTTGCAGTCGAAACATCGTGAGAATTTTATTGTTTTATATTTTTATTATTTTATTGTTTCCCTTCTACGTGAATTTACCGAAAGAACCAAGAATATGAATCCCTGCAGTCACGAAAGCTTTAAATCAAAATCTCAACACCTGTTTTGTTGCCAGAAAAAAGGGGAAAAACCTATTATCATAGTTATATTATTAATTGTGATTCAATAAGCATTTGAGTTGGATTCCCAACCCGGATTCCTTTCTGTATGGAGTTTGTATGTTCTTTCCCTGTTCCACATGGGTTTCCTCCAGGTTCTCCAATATCCTTCTATAGCAAAAAATTACATACAACATATGTGGTATTAACCAGCATTAACCAGTACTGCTGTGTCAACCTGGGAAGACCCTTCTGAAAACGCTTGAGGCTTTCCTGGGTAAACAAGCATAATAAATAATGATACTGTTGGATGATATGAATGTGATTTGCTTGACTACAGTGATGTCACTGGATGAATAAGTCACGATGTAACACGAATTTTGTCCCTGGGTAGTGTTATTTTTAATTGCTTATGCCTAAAAAGTATAGAAAATGGATATTAATCCCCACAAACTTTGCTTTTGTGACCGGGACTTCACGTGAAGAAATGACACAAATGCACACGTTTTCTCATTGAAAATAGGTAAATTTCAAAATATCACTGTCCTGGTCACAAAAGCAAAGTTTGTGGGGAATAATAGCCATTTTCTGTACTTTTAAGCCATAAGCAATAAGGAAATAACACTTATTACCCAGGAACTACATTGTTTTTTGTTACTCAGTGATAGGTGATACAGAAATACGAAGGTGATAATATTGACAATGGTGATTGTCATGTTTACCGTGGATATAAGGTTGTGGATAAGTGTTGTTTTTCCACAGATAATGGAATACTTTGCTATCTGTGAATTTGGTTTGCTCCCATGGAGTCCTCCTACCATCACGGATAACGTGCCTCCTCTAAAGTCAACAAGCGCCAGAAACAGACCCAACAAAGAGAGGGTTTAAAAAATATGAGAAATCGTTACGATGCGAATTGCCATGCACTTATCTTCCTGTAACTGTGCGTTTAGTTATAATTGGTGGTGTCAGCAGAGGGTTGCGTACATCCAGAGTTAGGTGTTAATAAGTGATGATCTCAGTCTCGATGCTAATATAGTATAGAGCATTCATTAACATTGCCGTGTGGGTCGTGGTATTGCTTGTGCACAGGCAACGGTGTTGCAGATAGCGGAGGTCCCCTTCGTCGATACGCTGCGATGCAAAGAGTCCAGCAGTAGCTTGGTGACGAAAAACATGTTCTGTGCCGGTTATTCCGACGGCACCAAGGACGCGTGCCAGCACGACAGTGGTGGACCACATGTCACCCTCTTCAAGGACACGTGGTTTGCAACAGGGATCATAAGCTGGGGCGAAGGTTGCGCCCGCAAAGGCAAATATGGCGTCTACACGCGGGTCTCCCGCTACCTTCTGTGGATGCACCAAGTTATGCAACGGGCTAGCGTCTACAAACTCGAGATCCCCACTCGAGGCATTCGATTCACACGCCACCCCCTGGCTTAACACGCGAGCAGAAGTGTTATATAATCTCTGTAATTTAATGGATTTCAATTACCATGAATAAAAGCACGCAACCCCCTGGCTTAACACGTGAGCAGAAGTGTTATATAATCTTTGTAATTTAATGGAATGTAATTACCGTGAATAATAAAAGCAGAGCACTAATGTTTACGACTGAGTTCCATCAATGTGACAGTGTGTTTTCAAAGGGAAAAATAACTTTTTTAATTGTTCTTTTGCACATGTTGCAAATCACTAAATAAGTTCAGCTTGTGACAGCTGAAAAGCTCTTTTTCATAAGCGACCTGGATGAAAATGATAACTCAGCGAAGTGGAACTGTATGGCAGCCAAATACTCAAACGCATGTTTCTAAATGTGGATGGAAAAACCGGAGGACACGGAGAAAAATCCACCCAATCACGGGGAGAACATGCAAACTCCAAATATACAGGCGTCAGGGTCAGGATCGAACCAACGACCTGCATACCAGCAAAGGTAGTTCATATCTCGCCATCGTTGCGCCCATAAAATCAAAACATATGCGGCTAACCTAATAGGACATGAACCACTGACCTTGTTCACCAATTATTTTAGTCGACTGCATTTCAGTGCACCAATTTTATTAGTTAAAATTCTAGTTGGGGGTTTGACTCTGGGATTGATCAAATGAGTACCATAACCACTAATTCACTCCCCACCGTACGTGGAATTTCCACCAAAATAAACTGTAGGTGAGTAGTGGCTGGGGTTGAAAAATAGGTTTGCATTTAAAGACCAAGCTCAGGTGTGGTATAATAACCTAGAACATTGGTTCTTAACCTTTTGGTTCTCAATAGTTAAAAAAGATATGTTAATACATATGTTTTATGAAACAATGTTTTACGAGCCCGTGCTTAATTTGTTTAGATTATTTACCTTATAAAAAAAATCTGGCATGTTCGCACCACCAGAAAGGGCATCTCGAACCACCGCGTTCATCCTCCACAATACTCGGCTCCTTCAGGGTTATGTTTCAATTAGTGGGATACCATTTGAAGCAACAACAAAAACGCAGGCGATTTTTTTTTCTCTCCCTCACCAATTGAGCCTTCAAGAAACTTTGAGGGGTAGGACTCGGGTCGCCCTCTCCTCTGGGCAACAAACCCCTACTTGGAGCGTCCTCAGGGGCAGAGGAAGCATCGCACAGCTGTCGCGGCGGAGGAGCAGGAGAGAGCCTAGATGTATAAATGCAGTATCCAACAGTGCTGTGTTGGTATAATGTAACTGTAAATATTATCACGCTGATCATAAAAAACCGGGACTGTGGGAGAGCAGTTGCCGCCTCCTCATCGACGAGAGGGCCGAGCAAGGCCTCCCAGCCGGGCGCCTTGAGTCGCAGGCTCGGAGATCCGGGCTCCGTGGAAGACGGCGTTTGGCGCTACGGATAGTTCGGTCTCGAATTCAAGACGAGGTTGCAGGGTTGGGGGTAGAGTCGTAGATCGCGGGGCGGTGGGGTTCGAGCGAGGGATGAGGCCTGGAGGCTTCGCCGCGCCGCTATGAGGGCAATGGTGGGGCCCCGCATCCACAATGGACCGCGCTCTGCTCGAGGAGAGCCTCGGCCTCCTGTCTCCGCGTTTCGGCTCGCCCCGAGGCGGCGTCCCCCCCGTGCTGCCCGACGGGACCCCCGGCTACGCGGAGCTGTGGCGCGCCGCGCTGCTGCCCAACTGCCCGCGCCTGTTGCCCGCGCCGCACAGCGCCGCGTGGGGCAGCCGCGCGCGCTGGGTGACCCCGCGCGGGGAGCCCGACCTGGGCGCCCTGCACAGAGACTTTGGTACGGAGCGTGGGGAGGGTGTTGTATGTCACGGTGTGAGCGATAGTGTAAGTATAACCATCGCCACTGGGGAGACAAAGGCGGCCGGGCGTGGTGCTGGCCACCCCACCCCCTTCGTTCCGGCCTTCATAGCTGCAACTTGCTACTAACAGCGCTTGCCCCAGCAGTCTGTGCAGGCTACACGGGCAGGGGGGGGGTCTTTGTGTGTCACCAAAGGTTTGCCACCTGACTGTCAAGGAATTTGTGTTTGGGTAGCAGGAATGGATTTGTACCAATATTTGCTTGCGGTCTTGTGTTAGATTCTCTTACAGTGTCACTGTACGGTGCTGCACAGCGACACCGTGCGGTAGTGTAGCCAGCCTAGTTCGATTACCGCTCACGGCCAACACCGGTGACGATTATCTGAGCCTACGAGCCTCCTCATAGGTTGACTCAGCCTAAAATGAGTTCCTGGTGCGGCATTCAAACATCTCCACTAGAGAGACAAAGGCGGCCGGGCGTGGCGCTCTCCACCCGTGCCGGCCTTCATAGCTGCTGGCTAACATCACTTCCGCCTAGTCTAAGGCAGTGTTCTTCACTAATTTTCAGAGGGGGCCACTTTCGCTGATAAAACAGTGTGAGGGGCCCGTCACACATTTGAAACCATTGGAGGTTTGAGAGCAGCACGATGATTATGAGGGGGGGTTCTTTTCACAGTTGTGTAATGTCAGGGGCCGCACTTCAGGGGCCACCAGGGGTCGCCAGTAGCCGCCAGTGGCCTACGGGCCTTGCAATGAAGAACACTGCTCTAAGGCTATACGGTGGATCTATGTCTCTATGTGTTTGCCTTTGTACTCAACGGCGCATGCTCCACCGAGTTGGGTTGAGAAGGCGGGTGGTAGAGGCTGCCGGCTCTCTGCCCTCATTCCAAAAATACCCCAGCAGCAGTGTACCGGCTGTGCACCACAAACCTAACTTGCCCTGCCACACAATGGATCCTGCAACGAAAATTATTTTCAGCAAATTTGCACCTTTTAACTTGAAATTAAAGTGGGTGCAAACCCATCATGTAAGATTTCAACCCTGTGTGTCAGTGTTATGTGTTTCTCACTAAATCTACAATAAATAAGAATAAACCCTGGTGTAAATAGTGCGATTCAAAAACAATAATTATTGTTAATCCCAAAACGTTTGGCTCTGGACCCTTTAGGTGATGCTGTGGTTCCAGTTGCAGACTGCGCGGAGCGAGAGTACAACTCCAACCCAAAGAAGCAGATGCCCATGCGGGAGTTCCTCTCCTACTGGCAGGAGACCATGAGCCAAGACCACAGCTCTTCCCCACGCCCCTGCTTATACCTGAAAGACTGGCACATGTGCAAGTGAGACCCAGCATCAATCTGATTTAAACTAGACGTTAACTATTACAAATTCAATTTCGTTTTAAAGCTTTCATGACTGCAGGGATTCATCTTCTTGGTTCTTTCGGTAAAGTCACGTAGAAGGGAAATAATAAAATAATAAAAATAAAGCAATAAAATAAAATTCTCACGACGTTTCGGCCACAACACAAGTAGCCTTCCTCAGGTGAAGAAACAACGGTCGGAAAGACAGCGCTCCAATGAACACTGCTAAGCTTGGCAGCGTATTTTAAGCTGGGTGGGAGGAGCAGAGCGCCTTGACAAAGAAGTTTACATATCAACAGAAGAATTTAGCATTGAAGTAGCTGTGTTAATGTGATAGATTAGCAGGATGTTAAAGTCAGAAATTAGCATGTAACTGGGAGATTAGCATGATGTTAGTCTGAGGGATTCATATTCTTGGTTCTTTTGGGAAAGTCACGTAGAATTTGAATCCCTGCAGTCACGAAAGCTTTAAATCAAAATTTAACCGCCTCTACGGGGAGGGTTTCCACATAACTTTGAGATCCTTCAACAAACTCCGGGATAAGGAGGCTCAGCTGATCGAGTCTCTGACCTTTCTGAAGAGATGCTGCTGTAATGTCTTCTAATGCGAAACAAATTATTTCCAGAACTAGCTTAGCTCTTATCTCAGAGAAAATCAGACTTATACGCACCGAACTAGATCAATTAGACAAGACACTCTACAAATCACACTTATCATTGACGGCAACAATGTCCACATCGGATTGGGACATGTAGACAATATGACTGCCTCTTCAGCTGCCACTATGTCGACCAAATGTAAGGATAACTTGATTTCCAAATTCAACCGCCTCTCCAACAAGAAATCGGACCAACACACCAAAAATCTAGACGTTAACAAAGTCGTAATTAATCGCAGTAACAGCTCTATTTCTGATAGTCTGAAATCCGTTTTAGCTAAAGGGCTGAACTTTGCAGTCACACCTAGACACATTCCAGTTAATGATATCATTGCCCATGTCGACGTGGCTCCCAAGGGCCTGGGTCACATTGCTGCAGACGTAGCAAGATCTGAAATCGCTGCAACCCTAAAAAACGCTAAGATGCCAGCTAGCAACATCAGCAAAGATGAGCATTTTGAATGATCTCAATTAAAAAAGAGGGATGACATTGTCATCCTCTCAGCCGACAAGGGCAATGCTACTGTCATCATGGACAAAATAGAATATAACAACAAAATTCAGGAACTACTCAACGATGGCAGCTATACAAAAATAAGAAGAGACCCCACCAACAGCCTCGTCACTAAAACCAACAAAATCATTTCTGATTCAACCGCATTAATTGATCAAACCAAACAGTTCTCGTTGAAACCTTCTGCGACCAGGCCACCAAGATTATATGGCCTTCCAAAGATACGTAAAGTAGATACACCTCTTCGTCCCATTGTTTCTACTATCAACTCCCCCACCTACAAACTGGGTCGTTTTTGTCTGAAATCCTGCGGCCTTTTACTGGAAAAACCACCTCTGCGGTACTAAACTTTACTCACCTGGTATCGACAATCAAAGGTATTTCCCTGTCCCCAGATGACCTGCTTGTCAGTTTTGATGTGGTTTCCTTATTCACCAAAGTTCCTGTACCTGATACCATCGCAATCACTGAAGACGTGGTTCATCAAGGACTGCATACTGATGTACCCCCCTGGTGAGACACTGCTTAACCAACACATACTTCACCTGGAATGGAACTTTCTACAAACAAACTGAGGGCACCCCAATGGGCTCTCCCCTATCTCCGGTTGTAGCCAACGTTTTCATGGAGAAATTTGAGACTGACGCCATCCGGACTGTCACTCTACGCCTGACCTTATGGAAGAGGTACGTGGATGACACTTTTGTCATCTGGCCACATGGCCGGCCTGCTCTAGACCAATTCCTCGACCACATCACTTCCATACACCCAGCCATCAGATTTACCATGGAAGTCGAAAGAGATGGCAAGCTACCCTTTTTGGATGTCCTAATTAAAAGGATACCTGATGGTTCAATGAGCCACTCTGTCTACAGGAAAGTTACCCATACGGATGCATACTTAAAACCGGATTCCCACCACCATCCATCCCAGAAAAATTCCCTCATCAAGACTCTACCATCGAGCCCAATGCATCTCCGACCAGGAACACATTGCCAGTGAACTCAAGCACGTACACCAAGCTCTCAAGGCTAATGGTTACTCCGATTACACAATCCACAAAGCCATCACTCCAACCATGAAGAAGGATCCTCTTGAGGAGCCATTCAAAACCATCACCTTACCCTACATTGCGAGGGTCACAAAAAAGATTTCCAAAATCCTGAATAAACACGATCCAGGTCTGATTCAACACATTACATAAAATCTGTGATCTGGTCCCGTCTGTAAAAGATGTTCCAGACATACAGTACCCGGGCGTCTACAAACTAAGTTGCCTGTCTGGTAGCAGTTACATTGGAGAAACCAAACGGCATGTCTAGGACCGCATCCGTGAACATAAAGCAGACTTGAAACACGGTAGGACGAACAGCTCAGCCGTGGCAGATCACTGTTATTATTAGTGGGCTCACATGACATTGACTTCTCCAAGACGGAGGTTCTCTGCAAGCCATGCGGTTACCATGAGAGATTCGTTCATGAGGCTATCCACATATACAAACACAGAGACAATTTTAACCGAGAAGATGGATTCTGGCTTAGTAATCATTGGAAAGGCGTGATAAACAATTTCGGTTCTTGATTGATTGTATTTTACGGTGACTTTCAGACCGCAGTCCATTCGCTGGCACTGCCTCTTAGTACCTTTCACACGACGGTCAATGGTATCGTTTATAGCATATTGTATAATTATAAATAGTATAACAGTGTAATGTTTAACATAATTCATAAGGCAATATATAGTATCATAATTGTATAGTGAATATACAGCAGTGTGTTATACAGTAGGGTTGGTAGAATAATTCCTCAGTGTAATATTACAAGTCTAATATTTTTATAGTCTAAAGTATAGGGTAGTGTATAGTAACGCATTGTATAATTCAATGGTGGGGTTTGTCTATGGCAGTGTATATTATGGTGTATAGTCGTGTAATATAGAAAAAAGTTTAATTGGAGGCATATCAATATAATGCATAATGTTAGAGTAGTTTAGATTGCAAGGTATAATATTGTAATGTATATTAGTCTAGTTTATAGCATAGTTGTAACGCAACACAGGACAGAGCAGCGCATCGTGGCTGTTTATCTCTCTCCCCCCTCCTCTTCCGTTCCAAGCATAGATGGACTCGTCCATCTGAACAAAGCTCGTCGCATTCCATGGTGCTAACGTTGAGGAAAAAAGAAACCGCCACTTTTTTCGACATAGAATTGTAATGTATAATGACTTGTTGTTAGTAGCTCAGCTAATTGGAGAGTATATTGAGTTTATTGATAATATTGATGTAGTTTATATTTTAGTTTTTTATTAGTTTACTATATGGTATTCATTATATAGTGTAGTGTATACCCAGTTACTTTATGTTAATAGCTCAGCTTAATGGAGAATATATTGAGTACATTGATTATATTGATGTAGTTTATATTTAGTTCTTTCACATCGGTTTATTATATGATAGTTTGGTAGTTGCAGTTATTTAGCATCAATATACTAAATGCCTCTGTTGATATGTAAGCTCTGACTTTAACATAGCTACTTCCGTGACCAGTTACATGCTAATCCCTCACACTAACGTCATGCTAATCTCCCAGTTACATGCTAATTTCTCACTTGAACATCCTGCTAAACTATCACATTAACACAGCTACTTCAATGCTAAATTCTTCTGTTGATATGTAAACTCCTTTGTCAAGGTGCTCTGCTCCTCCCACCCAGCTTAAAATACGCTGCCAAGCTTAGCAGTGTTCATTGGAGCGCTGTCTTTCCGACAGTTCTGTTTCTTCACCTGAGGAAGGCTACTTGTGTTGTGGCCAAAACGTTGTGAGAATTTTATTTTATTATGTTTTATTATTATTTTATTATTTCCCTTCTACGTGACCTTACTGAAAGAACAAAGAAGATATTACAAATTCAGTTATCATTTTTATTCGATTTAATAATGAACAAAAACATGATGTGACTCATTGACCCAACTTAATGAGAATGAAAATTCTAATATAATTGTAATGGCCAATATGTAGTTTAAATCTGATGGTTGTTCCTGTGGGATTAAACCTATTAAAGAAGCCAGGGTAGCTGACTGATTATTCTGACTTCCTGGATCTTGTCCTAAAGTTGTTTGACATAGTTTGAAACGAAATGTGATACCTCATTGCTAAATAGTTTTTTGAAATTTAACCTTATGGCAGGACCCTGGGGTCCAGAATAAACGGAAGTCAAATCGTAATTAATTTATTTATTTTTGGCGACTCCGTCCCACCATACACATAAATTCCGTGACCCACCTGGCGCGGGTCTTTCTGTTGTCATGTCATTCAAGCACAGCAAGGACGAATGCGCAGAAGACACAAAACTTTGAAACTTTGATTAGCGCATCGTGTAGAGCTCGTCAAGAGGAATAGATAAAATGACATCGCAATGACATCGCAACACAGTTTATGCGAGAGCCGGGGGCTTATGGAACCCCGGGGTTCCGTCATAAGGTTAAATTGTTCAACTCGGCTGAAATAATTTGTGCATTAATTTTGTACACGTGACAATTGAATTAGTTTGGCTATGTCAGGTGGTAGAGGGTTTTAACGACAACATTTGGCTAAATCATTGTGGCCTATCCCCGAAATAAATAGTTTTGACCTGAGATTTGATACCAGTATTATATTGAACTGTATTACAGTTTACTGCACGGTTTTGATGTGTTCAGGTTCTGTCTGCGGAAAAGGTGACAATCCTATCGTCCACAAACCCAATCCCCACTCAATCAGCAAAATCACCCACTCACCCACTCAGTCAACCATTACTACAATCTTGGTCTCAAAGGCTTGGCACTTGTTTTGGACCTATCTAAATTCACAATGTAATTTGAAGCAATTCTATCCATGCTCAGGGAAAATCAAAATGAGATTGTACTGGTGAATGATTAATAATGCAAGGAAAAATTATTGCTTGTAGCTCACCTTCATGTGTGTGGATGTAGTTCAGCAGGGCCCCCGAGACCTCATTACTGCAGTGCTTTTACTTCACCATGAAGTTTCCAGGGGCAGGCATGTGGCCCTAGTGGCACTCGTAGTGGTTGAAAGTGTGAGAATATGATGGCATGCATAAGTAAAACACGGCAAGGAACTGAAAATTTAACTTGGAACGGTGTCTCTTTATAGAGAGCTGATAATGGACGGTGCACACACATTTAGACTGTAAGTCACTAATCACTCTATAGTTGCATCGTTACAATTGCAGTTGAACCCATTTGTTGGGCCAAAACTCAGAGCTCAAGGAATGTGGAATACTAAACTGCCTGAATAGGAGAAGTGTTCCACACTGGATAGTTAAGCTACATTGTGCTATTATTATCGTGTATACAACAGCAGAGAATACATTAACATTTGCAGACTCTTAATGAAGGTCTCTGATAAACTAAAGTTGATCAAAGTTGGCCCCAGTATGAAGGTGGGAGTAAGGGGAACAGTGACTGTTGGTGTCTAGCGCAAAGGTAAATATATTCATAACAAACTCGGAAGAGCTTGACCTGTGATATACATTCAACATAGAGAACTTTGATGGAAAACATAGAATTTCTATTTGTATAGAAGCTGGAATGGTCGTACGTGTATTGTTTGTGCTCAGAGAGTTCCCAGACTATGACGCCTACTCCACACCGGAATGCTTCTCCTCGGACTGGCTCAATGAATACTGGGACGCTGTGCATTCAGACGATTACCGCTTTGTCTACATGGGACCACGCGGCTCCTGGTTCGTCATGACACATTCACGTGAAGTGAGCTTGATCACGGTATACATTTGATGATGATGTGGCCCAGTGGCAGCGTGTTTGCCGCTTGTTGCAGAGGTTCGGGTTAAAATATAGCTGGCCGCCCTGGTTAATACCACCGGTGTATTACAGTGAGGGAAAAAAGTATTTGATCTCCTGCTGATTTTGTACGTTTGCCCACTGACAAAGAAATGATCAGTCTATAATTTTAATGGTAGGTTTATTTGAACAGTGAGAGACAGAATAACAACAACAAAATCCAGAAAAACGCATGTCAGAAATGTTATAAATTGATTTGCATTTGAATGAGGGAAATAAGTATTTGACCCCCTCTCAATCTGAAAGATATCTGGCTCCCAGGTGTCTTTTATACAGGTAACGAACTGAGATTAGGAGCACATTCTTAAAGGGAGTGCTCCTAATCTCAGCTTGTTACCTGTATAAAAGGCACCTGTCCACAAGCAATCAATCAGATTCCAAACTCTCCACCATGGCCAAGACCAAAGAGCTCTCCGAGGATGTTAGGGACAAGATTGTAGACCTACACAAGGCTGGAATGGGCTACAAGACCATTGCCAAGCAGCTTGGTGAGAAGGTGACAACAGTTGGTGCGATGATTCGCAAATGGAAGAAACACAAAAGAACTGTCAATCTCCCTCAGCCTGGGGCTCCATGCAAGATCTCACCTCGTGGAGATGCAATGATCATGAGAACGGTGAGGAATCAGCCCAGAACTACACGGGGGAGGATCTTGTCAATGATCTGAAAGGCAGCTGGGACCATAGTCACCAAGAAAACAATTGGTAACACACTACGCCGTGAAGGACTGAAATCTTGTAGCACCCGCAAGGTCCCCCTGCTCAAGAAAGCACATATACATGCCCGTCTGAAGTTTGCCAATGAACATCTGAATGATTCAGAGGACAACTGGGTGAAAGTGTTGTGGTCAGATGAGACCAAAATGGAGCTCTTTGGCATCAACTCAACTCGCCATGTTTGGAGGAGGAGGAATGCTGCCTATGACCCCAAGAACACCATCCCCACCGTCAAACATGGAGGTGGAAACATTATGCTTTGGGGGTGTTTTTCTGCTAAGGGGACAGGACAACTTCACCGCATCAAAGGGACGATGGACGGGGCCATGTACCGTCAAATCTTGGGTGAGAACCTCCTTCCCTCAGCCAGGGCATTGAAAATGGGTCGTGGGTGGGTATTCCAGCATGACAATGACCCAAAACACACGGCCAAGGCAACAAAGGAGTGGCTCATGAAGAAGCACATTAAGGTCCTGGAGTGGCCTAGCCAGTCTCCAGACCTTAATCCCATAGAAAATTTGTGGAGGGAGCTGAAGGTTCGAGTTTCCAAACGTCAGCCTGGAAACCTGAATGACTTGGAGAAGATCTGCAAAGAGGAGTGGGACAAAATCCCTCCTGAGATGTGTGCAAACCTGGTGACCAACTACAAGAAACGGCTGACCTCTGTGATTGCCAACAAGGGTTTTGCCACCAAGTCATGTTTTGCAGAGGGGTCAAATGCTTATTTCCCTCATTAAAATGCAAATCAATGTATAACATTTTTAACATGCGTTTTTCTGGATTTTGTTGTTAGTCTGTCTCTCACTGTTCAAATAAACCTACCATTAAAATTATAGACTGATCATTTCTTTGTCAGTGGGCAAACGTAAAAAATCAGCAGGGGATCAAATACTTTTTTCCCTCACTGTAAATGTATAATACACATCTTCATTAAACGTTAAAGATCCCCTGAAATTCGCAAAAGTGGGCTATTGTGTGCCGGAATCGTGGTACAAATTTGCCAAAATCTAAAGTTACACTGCCGATTATCCAATTAGGATTGCACATAGTGATCATCGCCCCCTACTGGCAAAATAATATTTTTTTGAATTGTAACACGGATACCTTCCACTGAGGGTGCCCTTCAACATTTGAGATGTGATGTAAGGATCTTGGAGCTGATGAGGCTTTTAAGTAGCACCATATGAATGTAAATATTAATTATTAAATATTTTATCCAAGAGTCAGTAGTTGTGAATTATAATTAGAGTGCATGTGATATGTGAAGCGATGCTGTTCATACTGAAGTATAAAAAGTGTGTTTGTTTCATGTACGGCTGAGTGAATAGCAATTTTGCAATGCGCCCTACGGCTCGCAATGCGCTATACAGTTCGCACCGTGGTCGATGGTACACTGCATTCAAATTCCAGGCTTCCTTTGATATTTTACTCTTGAAGCTGGTGTGGCACCACAGGTCATGTGAATCAATTGAGCCCTGTACTACATTTTTTCAGGGAAGGACGATACCAAGTGGCTCAGTAGTCGGGTCCGTTTTTAGATAGTTAAAATCTGAAATAGTGACAAAAGCCATCACATCACAACAAATATTAATGCAGGCTGCCTGATGGGATGGGCCAGATTTTCTCAACTCTTTGAGTAGGTGGTCTAAATGAAAAATGGCTACATTCAGTTCTTTGGAACTGGTGGTCTGGATAAGGTTATATATGCAATGCACACCAATGCGCACAAATCTATCCCAAATTAGACATTTATTGTGGATGTTGATGCGAGCGCAGAGTTCTTTCTGATGTTCATTTGCGTCGAATCCTGAGCTGGTGAAGATGGCCTCGGCCGTTTTTCCAGATACGGCTTGTGGGACGGACGTGAGTGGAGCTCGCGATATGTTTCTGAATAAGAAGTGGCGGACCGGTGGTGTGCGCCGTGCAGGACTCCGTTCCACGCGGACGTGTTCCGCTCCTACAGCTGGTCGGCCAACGTGTGCGGACGCAAACTCTGGCTGCTCTACCCACCGGGCCAGGAGGAAGCGCTTCGCGACCACCTCGGCAACCTGCCCTATGACGTCACCGCACCTGATCCATGGCCGCAGGATGCCCCGGCCAAGAAGCCGGCGCCATGGGACACCGCAGGAGGGGCGAGAAGCGCATCGGGAGCAGCGCAGCTAAGGCAACGTGGCCAAAAGCCCATGGAGGTGATCCAGGAGGCAGGAGAAATCATCTTCATCCCGAGTGGTTGGCACCATCAGGTCCACAACCTGGTAAGCAGTTGCACGGTCACCCATGAAGAAGTTTCAAATTTTAGCAAACAGAACCTTTATCCTTGAAATCCGTAAATAACAAAACAACCCATCGCTGCCGTATTGTATTACAGTCAGCCTTATCCAGACCACCAGTTCAAAATAACTGAATGTGGGGCCATTTTGTCATTTATAACCACCGGCATAAAGAGTTCAGAAAATGTGTCCAAGCCAAGAGGCAGCAGTGAAGCAGAAACATCTGTAGACCAATTTCATAATTAGGACCCAACATTGATGACTGGACTATATGATGATGAATCCAGTATTTAGTTGTGTCTTGGTTTTATTGTTGCCTGTGGGGATGGCTACATATCCTCAACTCTTTGAGACAGTGGCTATAAATGACAACATGGCCAAACATTCAATTATTTTGAGCTGATGGGTCTGGATAAGACTGAGAGTTATTTGTATATGCAGTGCTGTGCATCTTTGTGTGATGTTAGATGCAAGAACCTTTGTAGGCAATACCGGCCGTTGCTTACACACGTGCGTGTACGTGCGTTCGTTTCGGCTGGCTGGCCGTCTGACCCGCATAACACGCGAGCACGGCAGGAGGACACCATCTCCATTAACCACAACTGGCTCAACGGCTGTAACATCGACCTCGTGTGGAGCTTCCTTCAGAGCGAGTTGCGGGCCGTGCAGAAAGAAATCGGCCACTGCCGTTCGGGAATGAGCAACTGGGCAGAGCAGTGCCAGGTGAACGATGTGTGATATCCGTGTGCAGGGCTTTCTCCCACACCGCATTGTGTAGGCAACATAATTACACAACACTTTGTTAGAGTCTGCACATGCGTGTGCTCAGGGTTTTGCGCGTCACTTGAGCAATACACGGCACGTGTTGTGGTATGTAAAATTGTGTTCCCGTTTTTTGTATTTCCGCACATATATCGTTTCTTATTGGTTTTCAGACACATTTTATATTTTGCCCACATGATTTCACTTGTTACCCAGTAAAAGCTTCACTGAGTCTCAGGAATCTTTTTCAGGTGAGTTCTGCTAAGTTTTAGCAGGAAAGGTAATCTTAATTGAGTAATTTACAGGTAATATTTCAGCATTGGGATGCTTGGCCAATACCATTTATATTGTATTTTTGTTGGTATGGGAAGAAACCGGACCCGGAGGGAATGCATGCAGAGCAGGGGGAGAAAACACAAACTCTGCACAGAAAGGTGGCCGAATTTGGAATCGAACTAGGGCCCTTCCTGCTGTGATGTGTGTGTTTATCACTGCGCCACACTGCTGTTCATAAGTGTCTACACGTGTGCCTGTAATGTTTTCCTGTAAGTGTGACATAAATATTTATTGAAAACATTCTATCTCATCCTGATCGTACATTCATCGCACATGTTCTACCTCATACTCCCTATGTTGGGAACTTCTTCCCTTGTGTTTTATTAAAAAGAATACAAATTAGAAGTTTTACTTTTACCTTTTCTTTGGTTTTATGTGAGCTGTCATCCTGATTCTCCGATCTTTTGCACATACATGGACATTAATCGATTGTATCCTAAGACACATCCCACAATCACCAATACCTATCTTGTACTTTTTTTCACATTGCTCAGCACAGACCCACAACGTCGAAGTGACTAGCCACAAACAGCACTATAAAATATTCTTGGTTCTTTCGGTGAAGTCACGTAGAAGGGAAACAATAAAATAATAAAAATATAAAACAATAACTAAAACAACTATAAAAGTTGTATTTGATAAATGTGAACACGTTTCTTGAACTAAGAAGGTTATTATAATATCTTAGCAAAAGACACGATGGGAGGGAATTGCAAAGTGGCACAATTTGTGAGTAAAGAAGCAGAAAGAGAAGCGTAGTGACCTGCAGTGTGGTGGTTGAAGACAAGGGTGGATGGGTTTTGGAAGTTACGCTTCTTACGTTGATCTTGCAGTGCATTATGAAGGCCTGCACAGGCATCAACTACGTGGAGTTCTACTCGTTCATGAAGCTGATTGCAGAGAGGAGGATGGAGTTCCTGCACGAGAGAATGGACATCCCAGGCCCTCGCTGTGCTGCCAAAAGCAGCTCCACGGGCCCGGACCACTCTCGCGTGGGTGAGGCTGGCGAGCACGGCGAGCTCACTCGACTAGGGAATTGGCACGCGGCTTTTGACCTGATGAGGGTGCAGGAGGTCCTTGTCGCCCTGCAGGGTGACTCGGACTTTGGGCTTCTTCCTGTCGACTCCCTGCCCAAGCGACCTGAGCAGTTGCAAATGGACATCGAGCACGTTATAGGCAACATGGGAAGGATGCCCACGGCGGAAGAGGGAGCTCACTGAAAAGACTGATGTGATTCATCAAATCGCCTACACTTGGACGCTTGTAATATGGTATCCGTGTTATATTCAGTGGCGGTTCGTGACATTTCCACTAGGTGGGGCTGTTGTTAGTGACCTGAAAATATGGTGTTCTAATTAATAAAAACTTTGTCATGTTAATGGCCTTCCTGTGAAAGTGATAACAGGTCCTTGCAGGGTGGGCTGGTAGGAACATTGGAATTTTGCGCAATTTTATGACATTGTTATGTAAAATTGTGCAAATTGAGAGCATCTTCCCAACTTTTTGCTCTCAAAATCGTTGAGGGTTCTTCGGACAAATTAACCTCTGTAGAGGAATGGAATGGTGAAATCCTTATTGACTGAAATCTGCTCATTTTGGAGCAATGTATCATAAACTCGTTAAGGGCTGGGCCGAAAAATGACAACAATTGCATTTTAAAAAATGAGGATTTGTTTCCCGGTATACGGTAGTATGGGGCTTTAGACTCCGGATTATTAGCGTTTCTGCTCGAAATCGAAACATGACCGGCTTATGGCCTTATACCTGTAAATTTGTGTTGAATATGTCATGACAAAACTGAGAGACAAGGCTTCGAGAGTCTTCGATAGTTCATTATTGCATGTTGGATGGCGTTGGCGCAGTTGCGGCGCCTGCTGGGATTGGCTTTGGGTCGATGGCATCTGCGATTTTGTCTCCGATTTTGTAAAGGGTTCCAGCAACAAATGCGGCCTCTGTTTCAGCAAGCAGCTTTTCAACGGTGGCATCCAAAAATCCGTCGATGTCTTCGAAGTCATTGCTCATGGTGTTCATGTCTTGTACCGAGAAAAACTCAAAGTGCCGAATCCACAAGTGTGAGCACATTGTTGTGAAAGGAACTAAGTATACAGAAAAAATCAATTTGTAAAATATACAACACGGGATATTTCCTCTGCCTTTTGCAATAAAATGCACAAAGTGGTCGTCCATTTTATCCAATTTTATTCACTAAATGTTCAAGGGGCCGTCCATTTTATTCAATGTTATTAGCTGAAAATGTACCAAAGCTGTCTATTTACTCGAAGAATATTTGGCTCAGTTCCATGTAGATTTATTTGTCACCAGGAAAAGAAACAAAAGTTCAGTCAATAAGAATTGAATAGCCAAATCGTGAGCTATTTCTGGTAGTATGTACTTCGTATGCCTTTTGGAATGAAATGAACAATGGAGTCGTCCATTTTATCCTATTTTATTCACTAAAATGCACTGAATTGAATTGCACTTACTTTTGACATCAATTGAATTGCGTTTGCTATAGACGTAATTTTTTAAATTGAAATACATTTTAATTGAAATACATTTTAAGATACAATGGCATGAAGAGGCTTCGGCTGTGGGCTGTGTGTGAATTTGGCACATCCCCAAAAGCGAAGTTCGCAAATGAGATAATGTGACTTCCAAATGTTGGGTGCAATAAGACATATCAAGTCTCTGCGATGTCTATTGCTGATTTGACACCCAACAGCACGAAATTTGACTTCATTGAAGTATTGTGACACCCAACAGCACGAGATTTCACTTATGAAAGGGGACGGACGGACGCATTAATCTATTGCAGGCTGGTACACTCAGGTTACAACTTCGTTCCTACCGGTATAACTGTCTTATCTACCAACGGTAGGCATTTATAAACGAAACAAAACAGCACTCAAATGCTGTCCCATGACCCTCAAGTCGACACTACACAACCCCTTTGACACTACAAAAAGCCTCTATAGAGCGTATTTGCACAGTGCAACTTAGCATTGTAACATGGTCATTAAAGCCATGGGCGCATTTTTCATCGCCCTGAATGGGTCTGAAACGGCGTGGCTAAAATGCTAAGCTAATCGCAATGAATGAAGGGATATCTCTCGGATGCCTTCACAGCCACCCCGAGACCTCCCCGAGGCACAAATCAGACTGTGTTGCAGCGGTGTCTAATATGAACAACTTAAAATGTTAGTTTCATTAGGCAATTCACGTTGAAAGAATAATTTTATTTACTTTTAAGTATTTTCTAAAAAAAAAGATTATCTCCAGTTGCTTGGTGGGGCTCGCCGCAACGCCCCTAGTACATGAACCGTGCCTGCTTATATTTCCTTTGTAAAAAGCAATCCGTAATTGGTGCCGGACTGATGTAGGAAACGGCATTAAAATGAATACAATGTTTACAGTATCAAACATTACTCTATTGTAGAATATAATAAAATTTTACTTGAGGTGTACGGTTGCCCCAGCACGGGAACACAATTTACACGCAGCTTTGGGCGGCAGGGTGACAGTGCTAACAACTTGTGCCTCACAGCAAGAAGGGCCTGGGTTGACTCCCTACTTGCATACTTATTGTGTGGAGTTGTTTGTTTCCCCTGCGCTGCATGGGTTTCCTCCAGGTTCTGTTTCTTCCCATAGCCAAAAAATATATATAACGTAACTGGTATGACCAAACATCCCAATGCTGGAAAATTACCTGCAACTTACTCGATTATGATGACACAACAGTAACATTGCCATTTTACAGTGAAAGCTTAGCAGGATCCTCTTGGGAAATAATCTAGGGAACCTGCGAGTCTTTCCTGGGTAAGCAAGCGTAATAACGATCAAATCTCCTGGTAAAAAATGGATGACACCGTCTCGATAAAATAAACTTTGAAAACGCGGCTTGTGTCATCTGTTTTTAACAAATTACGCAATTCTGCAAGCCCACGTCACTTTTACCTCAAAAGAGCAGTGTTTACTTTGTGGGAAAATATTTAAATATAGAAGAAAACTTAAAAAATAATTTGCCTTGGTCAATCCACGACTGGATGAAGGCCGACATCGAGCGTGTCCTACCAAAGCCCACCGAATGGCCATGTGAGGTCTCTAACTTGTGTGTTCTTTACTCCCCGTGGTCTTTCTCTTCATGTCATTCCAAGCGAGATACTCTCCGTGCTGCTTTGCACACTTTTTTTTAATGTATTCCATTTTCTTCACTGTCTTCCGTTTCTGATTGAATGTCTAAGCAGATTTACACTGATAAAAATATAACAATATGAACATCCATATTCTCACTCCAAGGTGCCAGATTGACGTGTACATAATCCGATATGGACGTCCACATTTGTGTGGAGGTACACAAAAATAACAAGCTCAGAAAATTGCTTTTCAACCAAACAATCCATCGGACAAAGCGCTCACGATTGGTATTTGGGTCAAATCACGTGAGCACTGTCAATGTGCGTTGGTACTCTTTCGATCCCATAAGCTAATAAAAGTCAAGTTGCACGACGTGAACTAGTCACCTGATGACGTGGATGCAATTAGGGGCTTCACAGCGAGATCTTAACTACCTCACCTGATATCCAGAAGGTCGTAGGCTCGATCCCAACCCTGACGCCTGTATATTTGGAGTTTCCTCGTGGTCACGTAGATTTGTCTCTGGGTCCTCTGGTTGGTCCCTCCACATTTAGAATCAACAACACGCGTTGAGAATATTTAGCTACTAGAAATATCCACTTGAGAAGCAACTTCGTTGAGCTATCATTTGTGGCCAGGTTGTATTGAAAAAGAGCTATATAGCAATGTGTGCCTTAACTGTTAAAATTAAAAGTTAACATTTTTTTATTTAGTGAAATATGTGTGGATCACTCTTCACCGCACCCGTGTGTTGAAGCAATAATACATTTGGCACGTTTGTTCACGTGACAGCTTTCATTGTTTTGGCTGTCGGGTGGAGGGAGTATAACACGCATTGGTGTTGTGCCTCACGCAATCTGAAATACCAGTCTACGCTGTAAACCTAAAGAGCTCACTGCTCCTAGTTCCTGAGATGCGTGTCAGAACGATCATATTTGCAAAAATAGATTAAACATTTGCAAAAAGAACGTTTATGCCTCTATCTCCCCCAGGAATCCATCCCAAGGTCGTCAGCTTCCGTGATCGTCAACATCCGTCCACACGCGTTCCCACGCTCATTGTGGTGTCACCTGTCTAAAAATTGGCATCTGTTTCGGTGGCAGCGATTTGGAACCAGTATGGTCCCAGTATTGTATACCGTAGTGTTCAGTTTTGATAGACTTAGGCTGACTGACAAATGTATCCAGGTTTGGATATTGACACGTGCCAATATCCTAACAACATTCGCCAGAGCAGAGTTGCTCTCCAAAACGGAAATCATAATACTCGCACCACCAACTGCTCACACATTGCGCTGTAACTGCTGTATGTATTTCGCGTTAACATTTTATTGATTGGAAAGAGGTCACAGAAAGGGGAGGCCAATCACAGAGAAGCTGGGCCTGACACATTTCACGGAGACAAATCACCCCCCCCCACCCCCTTTATGCATATTTATCTGAAAACGAATCAGGCATGTTAACGTGTATTAATTACGGTTACTTTAATGCTTGTAAGAGGTTAGGTACGTTTACTTCACTGTCCTGGAGGTTCCGATACATGGCAACTTCTGACATGGCAGTGAAAACCACAGGTCGAGTAACTACAGACGTGAAGCTGCAGGGTGGCACCTCGGCGCATCCAGGGTTCGACACCTGACTCACGCAGCCTGTGTGGAATCTGCATTCTCCCCCCTGGTTTAGCATGGGTTTCTCTGCTTTCCTGCCAAAGCTTACAAAAACCCATGCTATGTAACCGGTGGCCAAACATCCCAATTCTGAGGAAAAAATAATACCCGCAAATTGTTCCATTGGTATTACCCATAGCAGCCGCGTTGGCCCCGACTTCAATCATTTGGCACCACCCTGAAAAAGTTGACACTCGGCGAGACTCTCCTGGGTAAACAATCGTAAGAATAATATAAATTAACGTATTCATTGACATTTAAGTGAAAAAACCGATATCTCCATTGCATCACTGGTAACACCCACAAAACGCAGTGATATCATGTTACAGTTATTACGATGCAGCACCGTATTCCTATCAGTCCACATTTAAGTCTTTATTGTAAACATTTTAGCGGAATCCCCCCCCCCTCCCGCACACAACTGTACAATTCTTAAAACCAACAATGCGAAATAAAACATGATCCATACTTGTACATAACTTAGGTCAATTTATATTCACAGTAGTTTCATTTACATTTCTGCAGCGATGGAGAACTACGCGATGGGAAGTGGGTGCCTGGGCTTTTAAAACAACGCACGGCGAGGGCTCACGTGTTGAGACACCAACAATTTTACTTTGACACTTAACAAATACAAATGTGTTTAGTTGTTAATGTAAGGCCCTATTTAAAAACTTTGAAACGTCGGGACGGCTCCCTCCCCTTGCTAAGTTTATCGATCCGCCTCAGATGATCGTGACAGATTGTTTAAATATCTAATTTGCCAAACTGATTGAAACGTATTTCTCATGAATTGGGGAATTCACAAAAACCTCCCCACTGTACCTTAAATTATTAGTCCATGTACCACAAGATAATTCGTGTCGTACGGAGAATGCAAGTGACGACGCTCATCATCGGTTTGTGGCATGTATTTTATGGTATGGTTTTACATTAAACGTTACCTGTAAACATCTGACAGTTCCCCAGCATAGGTTCAAGCAAACTTGGCTCTGTTGATGAGACACTGAATGTTGAATACCGGTCCAGCGTTTGCTTGTGTTAATCCAATGCTTTTGAAATTGTGCACTTCCAGAAGGTCATGTGGGTGAATAGATGTGTGTAAAATACTTTTAAAACATTTTGTGGTGGGAGATGCTTATTTATATTGGTCTATGCAAATCTCTTAGTCAGCAATGTCATAAGTAGACAAAACTGTACAGGTCAATCCAATAAGTTCAGGTGAGACTTGTGAGCTGATGCGTCAAACTAAACTGGGGAGCGATATTCAGCTGAAGATGCTGCGTATGACCCAAGAACGTGAACATCTTAACTATGCAACTGCAACAGCACAATAGTGGCCTTGTTGAACTCGAGTGTTTTCCTGCATGCTGTGAATCACAAACTGGTGCCACAACAAAACAGAGGTGAGGAGCTGCCTAAACCTATCATTGTTCCACAGTGGCAAGAAAAGTAACCACTGTCGCTTTCCAGCAGCTGTTAAAACATTAATTAATTCAATCTCCATAATCTGAACGCTGTGTTCTGGTAATAAGGCACTAATATAGAGTTTTATTTCCACCCATTTTTTCAGTTTTCCACGAGTGTGCAAGACTTCTCTTATAAAATTAATACAATCCTTTATTTTTTAATTAAAAGCCAAGTGGAAGTGTTCCCTAAGCCAGCGCGTACCAACTTCTCGTTATCTACAAGAGTGTCTGTGAGGGTCTCCACCTTTTCCAGAGGAAACCCCAAACATTGCTCACACACTCTGCATGTGTCTGCCTATGCTGTTCCCGTGTCTGTGTTTTATCATTCATTCTTACCTGATGATGGTTGCTTGTGTTGCAACCAAAATGTCGTATTTTGTTATTATTTGATTTTATTTTGTACGTGACTTTACCGAAGAACCAAAGAGTAATTCCTGCAGTCACGAAAGCTTCGAATCTAACTTGTTACGTAAACAGTATTCGTCTATCCCCACATTGAGGAAGCGAGAATGATAGAGGTATAGGGGAAAACCCACAGGCATAGCAGGAAAGGCAGCCAGAACCGATGTCAACATCAAATGCCCAAGCTCTGTGGTCCCACATTGGGATGTTTGGCCAACTTCAAGATGCCAATTCTTGGACCGTCCGAGTCAAGCCTGGAGGAGGAGGCAAGCTCAGTGGTTCCAACATGGATCGCTGCTTTTCCCATCGCTTGCCGCTTTCACTCCGTGTCCTGCGAGTGGCCACGCGCAATGTGGAGCAGGAGGACCCAGTGGGCACAGAGCTGCAGAAAGCACCTGGCCGGTTTGTCGCCACGCACCCCCACTCACTGCTGCTGCTTCTGCAGCCTCACCGCTGCCATGAGGTTCCTGGTCAGCGTCACACCGCGTAATTGTGTTTCAGATTCTAAATTTTAAAATCGGTCATTTGAAAAAAAGCCTTCCATGTGGCCGATGGGATGTGATAAACACAATTTAATATTTTGAATGTGCTGGGGACAGATATGTGAAGGGGGCACATCTGTGTATTTATTGTTACTTATATTCTGCACAATGGTGCTTCTGATCATTCAATGGGAACAGCCATGTTCGGCAATGTTGATCACGATTCTAAGCGAGGGAAATCCATGACAGTAACATGACATGGCATATAATGCCATCTTATATGTTCCTGTCAATATCCTTCACCACCAAAAGGTAACTTTCAAAATCACCATTTAAGCTCTGTGTACAAACACTGTATAACAAGCCCTTAGATCGCGCATCTTTATTAAAGCAACACATATATTTAAGAAAATAGTACCTACAGTGGACAACTGCCCTTATTCAGTTATATTGATGATGCTCGATGACCACTCTGTGACATGAAACATTGCGTTGGGGCCCTGCCGTATTGTTCCCGGTGTCGTCTCCACTGCGTGTGCCCACGTCTCCACCGGCGTTTCACACAAGGCCGGTCCCCTGGGACTCCATGGTAGTGTGACAAGCAAGCAGAGCATTCTCAAGTCGGCTTCTCACGGAGGATCTGGTGGTAGCAAGCCTGCAGGAGAGACGAACGATCACTCAGCCAACACTCACTGCAGCAAACACTCACTCCAGCAAACACTCACACGTATACCTTTTGATAAATGTTTAAAGTATATTTTCTTTTTACATTTTGTTGCTATTATCATAAAAGTGACCTTTCAAAAGCTCATTTTAAAAAAATAGTAAATACATGAATGTACAGTTTGTTCTCTTATAACGCAGTAGTTGCGTTCCTGAAGAACATCATGTAATGGAAAAATCGCGTTATAATACAAAATATATGGAAAAGCGCAGTCTGCGATAACACGTCAGATGCATACGCAGACTGAACATAAACTTGGCCACAAATGATAACTGAGCATAGTGGCTTATTGTGCAGAAATTTATAGCAGCCATATACTCGAAGGGCACGTTTGCAAATGTTAAGGGAAAAACCTGAAGACCCGGAGAAAAATCGACGCAACCACGGGAAGAACGTGCAAACTCCAAATATACAGTCGCCAGGGTCAGAATCAAACCCACGGCCTCCTGCATACCTGGCGAGGTAGTTAACATCTCGCCACCATGGCACCCTCCAGGGCGAGGTACAACTGTTGTAATTGTGATGAAGATGTGTTTGTTGCGCCATCTGCAGTGCTCATACAGGAGATGGCCGATTGTCGTGACGGGATGGACTCGTACCTTGAGCGTGGTGAACATGAGGCCTTGTTCCCCGTGCTGCAAGAAGGGGTCCATCAAATCCTCGATCAGCTGGATCTCTGATCCCAGATTCCTGATCCTACACAGGCCAGGGGCAGCCAGACACAAACCATTGCAATCAAATCCCAGCAACGTTTAGCCAGGCACCGGTGGCCACGTGATCACACCACTCGTGATGCTCAACCCTTACCCGTGGGTCGAGGCCCTCATCTCCTGGCTTGCCAGGGTACAAACGGCAGAACGGTATATAGAGAGTGGATTCATTTCTTCTCTGTGCAAGGATCGAGTGTTGCCCCCTCTCGCACGCATGGGTTTTTTTAAGGCTTGTTCCAGCTTTCCTTCCATAAGTATAAACACTCGCGGAGTTGACCAAATATCCCAATATAGGGCCACAGAGCTGAGGCAATTTGTTGGTGCCAGCCCTGGATGCCTTCCCTCTTTCTCTCTCTCTCTCTCAGAGAGTGAGCGACAACTGTACACGTTACAATTTATAAATAGGACTGTATTATAAAAAAAATTCTGGATGGCTAGCCAGCTATCTGGAATGCAGGCAAGTGCAGCACGGTGGTGACATCACCCACATGCCAGTGCTGAGCTGTCGTCACGCCTCAACCCCACTCACTCTCCACCCTGGCCTTGAATCCAGAAAAAATGCGTGGGCAGGGCTCATCATTATCACACGACTTAGTATTGATATACCTCAAACACAAATCTGTTCACACCACATCGTGGCCTAACCCAAATTAATTTCCGAATCATAGCACTGGCCGCGAACACCGACTCCACGTCGACTACTTGACTTATTTACGATATCACCGCTGAGAATGCGGAAATTTCACTCCAAGTGAAAGGGAGGGCTTTGAGGTTGTGTGTTTGTGTGCACGTGCGATGAGGAGGAGGTGAAGGGCAGCACCTGGCACGCAGGACCACGAACAGGAAGACAGGGAAGAGGTCGTCCATGGACCACACGTAGTCGGGCTGCACCACCCCGCGCAGCGCGCCGTTGATCTGCTCAAAAGTGCGCTGGATGACGGAGAGCTTGTCCTCCGGCGTAAACGTTGTGCTGCACAAGACAACATTTGTTCAGTTTAACACGTCGTAGTAGTCGGCTTTCTTGACCAATATCATCCACAACGGTTTTTTTTTTTGGGTTAGATCGAGTAAATATAAATGTGTCGTTAAACCCGCGACCACCTGACAGCCAATCAGTAAGGTTTGTCATGTGAACAAAACATACCCATTAGTTACTAGTTAAGCACACCGGTGTGTTGGAGAGTGATCCCATAACATTTACAATTGTAAACATTTGTTAATGTTTACAACTGTAAATATTGTGTTTACTTTCCAACACACGACACATTTATATTTACGCAATCTAACCCAAAAAAAATTGTCACATGGTGTACAAGTGGCACCAGTTGTTATTGTCCCACACCGGTGGGTTGCAAAAATACTTCTCACGACCACATACAGTCGTCAAACCCTACGTTTTGCTCGAAACTATGCAAATTATCCACGTAATTTACATGGCCTAACCGGAACAGTATGGATTGTACTATATTGGCTAAACCAAGCCGATTTGCGCTGAGCCTATCCTGGTCTCTTCAGTTCTCACCATCTGGCTAAACAAAATATAAAGCTGAACTTGTTTGCGAATACCTACTTGTTCAGATAACGCAGAGGCCTTGCTTTCTAGAGTTTCCTCAAATAGACTTTACCTGGGCTCCCTTGATAAGCAGACACTACTATACAGAGGGAATAAAGTCTAGATAAAACAGGTTATGATTCTTGTTCTCCAGTCATGTACGTATGTAGGTTTAAATTATTTCGTACCGTACGTAGCCAACCGTGCTAATTGGAGGTGCGGAACCATGGAGCAGGGTGGCACAGTGGTAACACTTGAATCTCACAGGGAGAAGGGCCTGTGTGAAGATTGTATGTTATTTCCCCTGTTCTGCAGAGTGAGTGTGTGAATAAATGTGAGAGTGTAAGCAGGTGAGTGAGTGCAAGGACCTTCATGACAGCGGGCAGGCCTGGGTAAGGCTGCGTGGCTGGGAATCGGAGCCATTTAAGTGTTCACCTTGGGGTGGAACAGGATGTTCTCTGGGCCGACACTATTTACCATCGTCTCAAGTTGCTTTCAATGCTTCTACTGGAGAAATTTCCATTTTGGCACAGATATAATGGGAATGCCTGGGTGCGGTCAAGGGATGGCTCCCTATTGGTCAACCAAGTTATGTATGCTGCTGACCTGGTATTTTCTGCTCATTCTGAAAAGGAGTTGGAGACTACTGCTGAATCTCGTTTGCAAGGGTGTCCAGGGGTCGGCTGACACACACATAGCAACGTGTAGTGGCACGTTCACAAACATGTTGAGTCTATCACGTGCACAGATATGGCAGGCCCTGAGTGGTGACGTCATGCAGTGGGTGAGAGTGATGTGCGCTAAAGAACAAGCACTGTACATCGAGACCGCATTCAATGTTTGCGCCGGCACATTCCACTCTCACCCACTGTATATTCAACATGACGGTGGCTCAACTCGTTTTTTTTTCCAGACGAGTAACCACATGGGAAAACCCAGCCATTTTTTTTTATTATAAATCAATCATTTCAAAGCACAAGACAGCAACAGACACTCGGCATGACAATAAGTCATGAAACTAAACGCAAAATATCTGACAGTTTCTGAATTAGCTAAAAAATGTAATGCACACAAGTGTATAAATACATTTTAAGACGTGTTGTTAAAATGTCCACAGACTCGGATATCCATATATATCGTGGCAGAGAATTCCAGAGTCTGGTCTCGGGGCCACACGGGAAAAATCTCGGTCACCCATCGACCAAAGCCTCGACCTGGGAACGGAGAGATCGGCATCCCCGGATCTTAGAGACCTTGATGGGTGCAACGTGAATTCTTTGCAAAATTGGAAGCCAGTGCAAGGAGGCCCGCACCTCCGATTAACACGGTTGGCTACGTAACGGTGCGAAAGTTCAACATACACACATACACGACAGGCATAATGTGATATGAACAAGTTGTTCTGGTTAACACCCTAGCAGCCGCATTCTGAACACGTTAAGCACTTTCTTAGCCATACCATGGAGCAAGACGGTGCAATATCAATGAGATAAAATTTAAGGTATGGAGCAGCTTCTCTGCATCCGAAGCCGATATAATGAATCGGATATGGGAGATATTCCCAAGATGGAAAAATAAAGTCTTTGTCATCTTTTTAATGAGCCTTTAAGGACAGTGGGATCGCAGACGACCCCTAGATGTCTTAGTTACTGCCAGTGCTGAACCCATTACCTGGCCATCGATTGTAACGCTGAAGAGTGCAGCTTTTGAAGCTGGTGGGGAGACCCAATGAGCATCACCCCTGTTTTAACACCATTCAAATGGAGTAACTTTTGTTGCTTCCAAATGTTGATAGAAGCCAGCACCGAAGTGGGCATGGAGGAAGCAGATTGTGCAAGTAAATGTGGATGTTATTAGCATAACAATGAAACTTTAGGCAGAAATGTCTGAGTGAATGGCCCAGTGGAACCAATGGTAATGCGGATGCGCTCTCCAGGTTGCCGCAGGGTCCTCCTTGCGCATGTGCGTCAGGCACTAATCGGTGCACACGTCTCCCTCAGTCCCCTCAGCCTGTCATGTCCGCGGTGGCGGATCTCACGGACCATGCCTGCCCGGGGCCGGCTGACAGTGCGTTGAACCTGCCAAGCTCGGTGTGGATACGCGAGCAGCTGTTGGATGACTCGTTGGTTTCGATGCGATGTCGGGCTGACGGCTCGTGGGTGGCCTCGTCCAAGGACAACTCCCAACAGGCGACCTTCCAGGACGGTCTATTGGTGTGGAGGGACGATCTGTTGGGCCGTTGGCGTTTGGTGGTTCCCGTCGCGCTTCGACATGAGTTGATTCGGGTGCTGCACGCCGAGAAATTGTTGCACCTCGGCATGCAGAAAACCCTACTCACGCTGCAAACGGATTACTTTTGGCCCGGCATGACAGCCAATGTAGCCAAGTCTGTTCAGGCCTGCCCCGAATGCGCTCGGCGGAAACCACCGCGCCACAAATGTATTCCACCCTTGAAATCGATTCAGGTTACGCGAATTAATGAACTGGTGGCTCTCGATACTCTCAGGCCGTTTCCTCCACCGCCAGGGGTAATAAATTCTTGTTAGTGGGGGTGGAATATTTTTTACGTTGGCCGGTGGCTTGGCCTTTGCCTGATCAGTCGGCATCGTCCATCACAGATGCATTTTTAAACGGTTACGTGACGGACAAGGGTGCGCCGGAACGGTTGCTTAAGAACCAAGGCCGAAATTTATCATCTAAATTGCTGCGTAATGTGTGCGATGCCTTGGGCACCAAGAAGATACGGACTTCGCCTTGCCACCCGCAAACGGATGGGATGGTTGAGCGATTGAACCGTACCTTGTCTGCCATGCTCTGCCACACTGTAAGTGAGAAGCAGGCCGATTGGGATCTTCACATTCCTAGCGTGCTCTCCGCCTACCGTATGGCCCCGCATGCTTCTACGGGATACTCGCCGTTCTTTCTCATGTATGGTCAGGAGAACGTGCCACCGATTGGCGTACAACTGGGAGCGCCCACTAAAGAGCCCACGCAGACCCTCCTCGAACACGTCCGCGACTCTGTTTGCCGTGTCGCAGAAGCACGGAAGGCGGCACGAATTGCCACGGCCAAAACCCAGGCCCGTAACGAGCGATGTGCTCGTTGGTCGCATCGCGACATGCCATGGGCTGTGGGCGACCGGGCCTGGCTCCATTGCCCCCAGGTGCCAGTGGGTACTTCTCCCAAGCTACACAGGCCATGGCAAGGGCCTGTGGAATTGATAGAAATACGCAATCCTCAATGTGTATGTATCCGGGCGGGTTCACGCCGTTGATATGTCCACACGTCTCGTTTGAAACCCTTCTTTGCTCCGCGCGTTGATCCTTCATCCCCAATGAGTACCCTGCCGGGGTCTGATGCGTCCGATGTGCCACCTCAGTTGCCGGTTTGAACCCCCAAAGGGGCCTGTTTTTGCCTCCCACAGACTCACAGACCCTGAACGCCCCGGTTGATGACGACCCCGCACCAGTCGGGCCTTCATCTGCTGTGACGGACGCTGATTCCGCCACTCTTCCGCCTCCTGCTAGGTCGCAACCGGTGGGGCCTCGTGCTGCTGCAGGGGATGGGCCGGCGTCGTGTATCCATTCCAAATCCGTTCCTTTTCGTTGATTGTTACCGTTATTTACCTTGCGTTAGTGCGTTCATTATGCATCTTGTTATTGTTGTTGTTAATCTGTTCATCATTCGCGATGTCTCTCGCATTGTACGCTTTGCCTCGTTCCTAGCCGGAACGGTTAGTCTTTTACACCGGGGGGGGGGGGGGGGGGGGGGTGATGTAATACGAGAGTACACCGACGGTCGCCGATCGGTGGGATAGGCTCCGCCGCTTCAGCCATTAGCCAATTAGGTGGATGGGATCAATTGGGCCAAAGTTCAAGGACAGAGCTCAAGGGTGCTCGTGGGTAACCATCTAGAGAGTTTGTGAGGGGGCGTGGCTATAGGCGGGGCTTGGTGACGTGTGAGAGGGGTTATAAGGGAAAGCAGGAAGGGGCTCGGGGTCAGTGTGTGGAGTCTGGAAGCGGGACCACGTCTCGCACCTCCGGAATGCCAGTGGCCACGTGGCAGTCCGGAGGCTGTCTCCTTGTGCGCCGTCTGCCAGCGGTGCGCAGGAGCGGGGGCTGGAAGTAGGAGGCCGAGAAAGCTGGGGATGCGGTGGGGGGGAAGTTAACTCGGAAAAATAAACTAGTACCCGGCCAATATGATAGACAACATCCACTATAAGCAGTTAGGGTTTTACCTGGTTAATGACATCCTTCCAATTATTACTCAATTTGTATTTATCTTCTCAGTTGAAGTTATGTCTATGTTTATATATCTGGATGGCTTCATGAACAAACCTTTGATAGTAGCCCAAATGTTTGCAGAGTACCTTGGTCTCGGAAAAAACAATATCATGTTAGCCCACAGCGTTATTACAATGGTCAGCTACGGCAGAGGTATTGGTTCTGCCGTGTTTCAGATCTGCCTTGTGTTCGCGAACACGGTCCGAGACATGTCGTTTCGTTTCCCCGATGTAACTGCTGACGCAGGTACAACTCAGTTTGTAAACTCCAGGATATTGCATATCAGGAATGACCTCCCTTCACAGATGGGATTAGATCACGGATTTTGTGTACTAGATTGAATCAGACCTGGATCTTGTGTTTGTTTAAGATTTTGGAAATATTTTTGGTAACACCTGCTATGTATGGTAAGATGATGGTTTTGATTGGCTTCTCAGGGGGTTGTTTCTCCATGGTTGGAAAAACATCTTTGCGAATAATGCGGTCCGAGTCCCCATTCATCTTGAGGACCTGGTGTACGTGTTCCAGTTCACTGGCTAGGTGGTGATGGTCGGAAATGCAGTGGGCCATATGGTGTAGTGTTTTGATAAGGGAATTCTTCTGTGCCAGATGGTGGTGGGAATCAGGTTTCAGATAGGAATCTGTGTGGGTGGATTTCCTGTAGACAGTGTCCCAACGAGTCGTCAGGTCTCTTCTCAAACAAAACCTCCAGGAAAGGTAGCTTACCATCCTTCTCCACTTCCATGGTGAATTTGATGGATGGGTGTATGGAATTGATGTGGTTGAGAAATTGGTTCAAAGCTGGTAGGCCATGTGGCCAAATGGCGAAAGTGTCATCTACATATCTCTTCCACAAGGAAGGACGTAGGGTGGATGTCTGGATGGCATCTGTTTCAAATTTCTCCATGAAAATATTTGCTGTAACTGGTGATAAGGGGGAACCCATGGGGGTACCTTCATTTTGTTTGTAGAAAGTACCATTCCAGGTGAAGTAAGTGTTGGTAAGGCAGTGTCTAACCGGAGTAGGTACATCAGGATTCAGTCCATGTTGAACTAAGTCTTCAATTATTGCTAAGGTGTCAGGTACAGGAACCTTGGTGGACAGAGAAAATACATCAAAGCTGATGAGCAAATCATCCGGGGACAGTGAAATGCCCTTGATTAAAGAGACCAAGTGAGCTGAGTTACGTACTGCTGAGGTAGTCTTGCCCGTGAATGGAAGCAAGGTGTCAGACAGAAAACGGGCCAGTTTGTAGGTGAATTGATAGTGGAAACGATGGGCCCACCTGATGATGATTGCTTGTGTTGCTATCGAAACGTCGTGATTTATTTTATTTTATACCTACGTGACTTTACTGAAAGAACCAAAGAGTATGGATTCCTGCAGTCACGAAAGCTTCAAATCTCGATTGAACCGCCTCTACGGGGAGGATTTTCACACATCTGTTAGAGCTTTTAACAGACTGCAAGACAAGCAGGCTCACCTAATCGAGTCGCGAACATTTCTCAAGAGATTCCGCGATAAAAAAGGTAATACCGATCGCATTTACACTCACATCTGCTGCTGTCACTTCTCCTAACGCTAAACGGATCTTGTTTAAAGCTAGCCTATCGCTAATCTCAGAGAATAATACTGCTCTGATTTGAACTTGATAATTTATACAAGGCTCTCTTACAATCACACTTCAGATTAACAGATAAAATGTCCACTTCTGATTGGGCCCATGTAGATAACATGACAGTCTCCTCTGCTAATTAAATGTTAACCAAATGTAAAGATAACTTGATTGCTAAATTCAACCTCCTGTCAAAAAAGAAGCCAGAGCCACACGTTAAAAAGTTAGATAACAGATGTGTGAAAACCCTCCCCGTAGAGGCAGTTCAATCTAGATTTGAAGCTTTTGTGACTGCAGGAATCCACACTCTTTGGTTCTTTCGGTAAAGTCACGTAGGTATAAAATAAAATAAATCACGACGTTTTGATTGCAACACAAGCAATCATCATCAGGTGGGCCCATCGTTTCCACTATCAACTCACCTACCTACAAACTGGCCCATTTTCTGTCCGACACCTTGCTTCCATTCACGGGCAAGACTACCTCAGCAGTACGTAACTCAGCTCACTTGGTCTCTCTAATCAAGGACATTTCACTGTCCCCGGATGATTTCCTGGATGTTTTGTTTGAGAAGAGACCTGACGGCTCGTTGGGACACTGTCTACAGGAAATCCACCCACACAGATTCCTATCTGAAACCTGATTCCCACCACCATCTGGCACAGAAGAATTCCCTTATCAAAACACTACACTATAAGGCCCACTGCATTTCCAACCAACACCACCGAGCCAGTGAACTGGAACACGTACACCAGGCCCTCAAGATGAATGGGTACTCAGACCGCATTATTCGCAAAGCTGTTTCTCCAACCTTGGAGAAACAACCCCCTAAGAAGCCAATCAAAATCATCATCTTACCATACATAGCAGGTGTTACCGAAAATATTTCCAAAATCTTAAACAAACACAAGATCCAGGTACGATTCAATACAGTACACAAAATCCGTGATCTAATCCCATCTGTGAAGGATGTCATTCCTGACATGCAATATCCTGGAGTTTACAAACTGAGTTATACCTGCGGCAGCAGTAACATCGGGGAAACGAAACGATATGTCTCGGACCGTGTCCGCGAACACAAGGCAGATCTGAAACATGGCAGAACCAATACCTCTGCCATAGCTGACCATTGTAATAACGCTGTGGGCTAACATGATATTGTTTTTTCCGAGACCAAGGTACTCTGCAAACATTTGGGCTACTATCAAAGGTTTGTTCATGAAGCCATCCAGATATATAAACAGACATAACTTCAACCAAGAAGATGGATACAAATTGAGCAATCATTGGAAGGATGTAATTCACCAGGTAAAACCCTAACTGCTTTATAGTGGTTGTTGTCTATCATATCACCGGGTACTAGTCTATTATTCCGAGTTAACTTCCCCCCCGCATCCCCAGCTCTCTCGGCCTCCTACTTCCAATCCCGTCCACTTCCCCCCCCCCCACCCCCAGGCCTCACGTCCCTCTCAGAGCGTCCACGCAGCGCTACCCCTTCCCCTAACCCCACACCCCTCCCTTTCCCCCTCTTGCCCCTCCCCCCTTTCTTACCTATATAACCTCTTATCACGGCAACTCTCTCTCCCACTTCAGCAAAAAAAAATCTTGCTGTGGTTTTCCAACCTGATGATGATTGCTTGTGTTGCAATCGAAACGTCATGATTTAATTTATTTTACTTTATACCTACGTGACTTTACCGAAAGAACCAAAGAGTAAGTATTCTCGATGAGTCTGGTAAGATCTGTAATGGCGGAAAACTACCGGTCTACTGGTTTGCCGCAAGGATAGAAATGGATAGAGCAAGACACATAACAGTTTAACTGGGAATGTTGTATCGGTCAGCACCCTGGGCTTGCAATCTGGAGTTTACTGGTCCGATTCCATCTCCCAGTGCAGCAGTTTAAACAGACGTTTATTAAATCGCACCCTGCAGTGGTTCACCCAGCATCGTCAATGGGTACAGCATACAAAGTGTAGGTACGCCCAGCTCTTCTTTCCAGATGCCTGAACAGTGTGGATGAATAGACACAATACCCGCTAGAGCTCCCTCTAGTGAGGCCCTACTGCCAGCAGTGGCGTGAGCAAGCAATTGCAAGGCTGCGCATTTTTACCTTTTATATGAGAATACGAGGGCAAATGTACCCACGTGGTGACCAACCGGGGCTGCTGCGCTGTTTGTACATCCGCAAGCGCCAATCGGTGCACTCACTGCTAACACTCCACTAGAAATACATTTTCATTAATGACTGTTGGAACCGGTTACCGGTTAATGTTTAAAATAGCCTTAAGACGACTCAACCGGCACGAGTGCAGGCCTGAGCACCTACCTGATTTGCTGGAGTGAATCGACGGCTTCCGCGAAGCAGACGTCACGCAGCTCCGACAGTCTCTGCGGCGACACAATGTGGACACAGCGACCAGCGTCATCGCCACACAGCCCCAACAAGTGTGGTGGCACCAACCACACAACATGTGGACACAGTGATCGGTTGTCATCGTTACACAGCCTGAACAATCATGGTGGCAGCAACCGCAACCACACCACACGTGGACACAGCAACCGGTGTCATTGTCACATAGCCCAAACAACCGTGGTGGCAGCAACCCATGCGGCAGCTTCATTGATCATTGTAGCCGTGAATCCCATGACTAAATCATCAATCACCAGCTATGATCAAGCCACTTCTGGATGAATCCCCCTCCATAACGTTGGCATCCCTTACACTCGCATGCTGCTTCAATCTAGCTCGCTGCTGTACAGGAGCCGATTTCATTGCTCCATCTCCATGGCGATTGTCTGTCTGGCGTTCCCTCTATTGGCTGCCATTCTACCACCAGTGTCGTCGATCAGTTATCTTCCCTTCTAGCGATGTGTCCTGCCCAAGTCCACTTAATTTCTCTGATCCACGAGCTCCTCTTGGGTCTCTCAACGTAAATGCAACCATGCAACCGTGCTTCGCTCCGTACTTTTCAACGTTTGTTGGATTGTCTTCACCAGTGTCAGTTCATTTGTTCACCAAACAAAAGGAAATGTATATAATAAGGATGCAATCATACAACACAATGAAGTCACTTTACTTTGGCAATTACCAGAGGCAAATTGGGATCGAAATGATGAAATGTAAGTAAGGCAGAACATGTTGCCATGATTTTGAAAAAGTGAAGGTGATTCTAAAAGCACCAAAATAATGTTCCTAATAAGAGAGTTTTAAATGAGTGCATACTATTTTGGTTCAGAATTTACCACGGTAATTATCCATAAAATTCATGGCCATGGCAAGGAAAAAAATACGATTATTCACGTAAATCTTACGGATGAAGGTGGGACGGTGCGGCACGTCACAGAGATGTCACACTGACTGGTACAGAGAGTGGGCTTGGGAAGAGTGCGTGAGAAGGGACAATGGCTGGTGGAGATGGAGCGGTGAGCTCATGTGGAGATGGTTTGTGGCATCGTAGAGCCAAGCGGGACAGCGATGGCTTTCATCCAGCAGTGGTGGTGGTGGCGATGATGATGATGATGATAAAGACAATAGGTGGCTTGTCTCATTCACCCCCGTGATGAATACTCACATGCTGATTGTCTGTGAGCATTGACTCACTCAGGGGCCAAAATTTCCTGTAGGAACATAGAAGAGACAATAGAGGTGCACGATGAAGCGATGATAATGCAGAAAGAGACTCAGCAGCAAAACTTTCTTTTGTAAACATGTGATAAAATAAATAAAAAATAGTATTTCGACGAACAAAACAACATTGTGTATAATCAATTAATTGTGCATGACATGGCCTAGCGGTAGCACATGTACCGCTTGTTTCAGAGGTTTGCCATTTGAAACTGGCAGGCCGCTCTTGTAATTATTGCATGTATAGTAGCAATAAAATATACTTCACGCAATCTGCTTCACCACCAATGTTAAAGAAACCATAACATAATTTGTAAAGAGCAGGACCATTAATGTGCTGGTATCATGGGAATCCTAATTCGCCAAATATGACATATTATCCACACATTTTCGCAATTGGGATTCCACATAGCAATCAGTGCCCCCCTTACTGTAGACTAACTCCCACTTGCAGGCCACGTGCCGAGTCATCTTGTGTCTTAAGGGAGCTGCCGCGTCTGGGGGGGGGGATGCCCTTTCAAATGTCCGAAGAGGGTTAAATGCAAGTTTGAAAAATAAGAATAGGTTCTACCCTTTCTGGAAATAAAATAGGTGTTATAGATACCTTAAGCAAGGACTCAAGTCTGCATTAACCACAAATACTTGTGGTTAACATACAAACATGCTCTGATTATAATATACGCATTGTCTTTGAAACCGATTGGCCAACACCAGAGACAGCCTTCGTTATGGCCTAGTCTCACCATGGTCAGACCACAGAACGCCAAACGGTACAAAGACAATGCAAGTTATCACTGCATTTATAGCTTGGGGTGAGCAGATACATCATGGGATCTTTTGATACTGCCAAAAAAAGTCCCATGATATAGATGCAAGTTACTCGTCACGCGCAAGGCGCTCCCGGACAGCCCCCCGGCGGTGTAACGGAGGGCACTCCGGGTGTGCATGGGAGCGACCACGTACTGCTGCACCCCGAGGAAGGAAAGCAGCCCCGTGTCCGACTGCTTGTTAAGTCTCCGCACACGCTCCCAGAAGTCGTCGTCGGGCCGCTCGTTGTGCAGCGCATAGAGCGTGAAGAGCGGCGGGTAGAGGCGCGGCAGCAGCAGTGGCAGCACCAGGCCCAGGCTCGTCACCGTCTCCCTGCCGCCAGCAATGCACGCTTTCACTCACGACAACTGCCTCCGTGACTATGTCTTAAATTTGTTATCCTTCCCCCTCACCTCCGATTAGCCACGGTTGGCTATGTAAGGTGCAAAATAAGTTCAACATACATACATAGATATGTCACTCACCTGGCCAAGGCATTGAAGCAGCTTGGTTTTATTTTCCATCCCCAAAGGCACTTTAAACTCTGAATAATAAGTACTGCTGCTATTCAAAGCACACATTCAGCTGAAGTTGGAATCCTGCCATCACATTTGGGATGGAGCACTCAGGCTCCCAACCTCACTGCACTCGATAAAATTCAATTTAGGGCAGTCAGAGTGATTGATGATCCAGCACTCCCTGATTCAATCCAATCATGTGCTCATCGGCAGTCACCTCTCCTTTTAAATTTTCTATTGCTACAACCATGGTTACTGTTTCCATGAACTTTACTCATTGATTGCTCCACCCATGTCAAAGACTCGGTCTACCAGATTGACTGTTACACCTCATATATACTCTGTTCAACCACCACACTGCAGGTCACAACAACAAACTTGCCCACTCACCCACCCACTCAGTCAACCATCTACAGGTGACCGCCGACTTAAGACAGCTCGACTTGCGACTCCCCACTTTTATGACCTTTCTTATAATCAGTAAGACCCCCACATAAACGACCAAACTCGTATCTATGACCGCCTAACAACTGCTACCGACGAGTCTGCGCTTCACATGTACAGACTCATGGCCTGATGGCGCTGCTTTGCTCTTCTGCCATATGCGTTATGTACAGTATAGCCTGACAGAATCTTTTGTGCAATGCTCTTCACTTTTTGCAAATTTTCTTAAATTTGTAAAATAAATTCGCCTTTCGCTATGTCTGAGAAGAGGAAATGTGATGCACATGCAGAAAGGAACAAACGTATTTGTTTTTACGAAAGACATGTTTGTAAAAGTTATGTTAAGTGACAATAATTGTTTGTTAGGGTTCTTTTTAATTAATTTTCTAGGTAAATTTTTGTATTTTTATGGTATGTAATGGCTTTCCAGGAGCGGAACCCCAATTTATAACATGGTGCATATGGGAAATAAGGGTTCGACTTACAACGGCTCGACTTTCGACCATCACCCAGCAACCAATCTAGATTTGAAGCTTTCATGACTGCAGGAATCCATACTCTTTGGTTCTTTCGGTAAAGTCACGTAGGTATAAAATAAAATAAATCACGACGTTTTGATTGCAACACAAGCAATCATCATCAAATGGGAAAACCACAGCAAGAAAAAAATATTGCAGTAGTTTTCCCACCTGATGATGATTGCTTGTGTTGCAATCGAAACGTCGTGATTTATTTTATTTTATAGCTACGTCACTTCACCGAAAGAACCAAAGAGTACCCAGGAACCAATTAAGTTGTAGGTGTGAGGGTCATCTGTATTCACTCACCAACCCACCAACTCACTCAGACTCACTTACCCTCTCACCACACTGGAGGTACTAACAACACAATCACCCACTCAATCACCCATCCATTCACTCTACAACGACACCAACTGGTGTTCACAACTAAGTGGCGGTGGCGTCATCACAGCTCTTGTGCTAGGCTAGCCACGTGAAGTATCGAAGGCTTGCTGGCAGTAGGTCTCAGAACAGACCCAGCAGGTGCCATGGGTTGACTGACTCAGTTGACTGACAGATGCACCAACTGTGGTCTCCACTGTGTCAACGTTCTGTGTTTTAGCCACATGGTGTTCTGCTTGTTGTTGTGAGAGTCACTCCTTTGCTCTCCTCCACAGAAGCATATCTTGACACTGCTGGTACCAGTCATTGGCAAATCCAATCAGCTCCACAGCCTCCTCAACCGCATCAGTCCATCTCTTCTGCAGCCTATGCCATGCCTGTATACCCCCCTCTATCCAGCCACACAGAAGCTGCATGACCCAGCCAACACAGCCTCGCTTATCAGAGCTCACTGATGTGCATGTGTCCAGATATTTTAACGATCTACGAGCTCCTCACCACAAGCCAGAGCACAACAACACACTCAAGTCACCCACTCACCCACTGAGTCACCAATACATCTACTCACCCACCCACCAACTAACAGACTAACTCACTCACCACACTGCAGGTGACATCACTGCAGGTCACTTTGTAATTCCATCCCATCATCTCTTTTTACAAGCTTTTATAAAAGCCTTCATAAACTCAAGAAATGTGTTAACACTTATCGATTACAACATTAACAGTGTTGTTTGCTGATGGCCACTTGACGTTGTGGGCAATTGGGCCTGTGCTCAGTTGTTATGTGAAGAAAAAGATCGTGCAATAATGACTTTCATTTGACGACAATAATAGCCACGGTTTTCCATACGGTGGGATTCTTACCCTGCCTCCTCCACACAGGTTGCCAATGCAGTCTCAGGGTTCGCTGATTCACCCTGGGGGAGCCTCAGGCATTGTCCCTCCTCTGGCAGCCCAGGAAACAGGAACCTGCGTGACCGCATCGACCTCAAAGAACCGAACAGAGGCAGTGTGCAGTCGCAGCACATGCTGAGAGTGGTACAACTGGTGTTGGATCACCCATTTCCATAGCCATGCGATAGATCAATAATTTTTATGGGCAAGGCCAATCACCTGGCCAAATACTTGTCGTGTCACCATCCACCATCTGGCAGCCAAAAAACTAAATTGTTACACAGACAAGCATTTAACAACACGCAAATTGTATGTATGTAGAACGTCTTTCGCACTGTACAAAGACAATGATGCTAATCGGATGTGCGAGGGAAGAAAAAAAACTAAACAAAGCTGCGGAACAATCCTCACAAACTATATTTTAGTAATTTCGTTAAATCTGGTTTTCATGGGTGGTCACCAACACACTCCGGCTCGGATATATTAGAACTCTACCCTTGTGCCTAGCACTCATAGATCGAGCTTTATATATTAATTAAATTATCACGGATGGGGGGGAGAATCTCCCACAGTGGATGTTGGATCACGTCGAACTGATCTGTCCCTTCATAATAGAGGTTTTTGGTTTTCGGGTTAGATTGTGTAAATATATAAATGTGTCGTTAAAACCCGCCACCACCCGACACAGCCAACTAGTCAAGGTTGTCACGTAAACAGAACATGCCAATTCGTGACTAGTACAGCACACTGGTTTGTTGGCGAGCCAAGCCACAACATTTACAATCTGAGTACGAGGTTTTGCTGGTAATTACAACTCGCTTCATCAGGCGACAGCCAGATTTGTGGAGAAGTCTTACTGCTTAGTTCCTTATATAGAGGCGTAGATATGTTGAGCACGCTTCTGCGCTCTTGCACAATGTGGCGGGGGGGGGGGGATTACTGAGGCAACGTACATTATGCAACTTTGAACTTGTCCTTCCTGTCTATTGTGTTTATTAAAATAGTCCTATCCACGGTAATCCCTATTGAAGTATGCTGCCCTTTGTAGGCATGCATTTAAATAATGTATTATTTGATTAATTGCTTCCATGCAGCACTAAGGTGGTAGCTATCCAAACGGTTAAAGTTATTGTGATTTCTTCAATTTCGATCGATTCTCTAATTAGTCTTGGTCAGTAGTAGCTAGTTTTGCGCAAAACTTCAACATTATCAAAATCAATTGAGTGTCCTTGTTGGCAAGCGTGTTCTGCTACTGCTGACAGGTGTATTTGGGATAATTTTATATTTATCTGATGTTCTTTTAGTCTCGTGCTGATCATTCGTCCTGTTTTCCCAACATAACATTCACCACGTGCAGTTAATCCTGTCCCTCCCTCCTTGGCCATCTCCTCTAGTGAGCGACTACCCAAGCCAACTGCGGAGAAGTGTGGACAGAAGGGAGCTAGACACCAGCAAGTAACATGGGGCTCCAATATGACCAAACTATAAACAATGAACTAACAAAATTCTGGTCAAATGGCACACATATATAACTGAACACTATTATCTGACGTCACATCGAACACTTGGTCGCCAAATACATGTTATTTATTTGGGGAATAGCATTTTTGAAGGGATGGCAGGACGGATGTTGAGCGTTTTGGTGGCCCCTTATTAAAACCAGATTAACCTAGGTACTAAAATCTAGTTTATCTATACAGTGGTCTCCGACGTGCCGCGGCTCAGATACATTAAAACCTGTACCAGAGCCTCGCCAAAGGTGGGAAAAATGTCTATTCAACTATTTGTTTATTTTACCAGGTAAGGCCCACTGAGCTATGTATCTCTTTTTCAGAAGCGATCTGGCCACAAATGACAGCACAACCAAGTGGCGGCTTATCATGTGTAAATTTATATCGGGCAAATATTTTAAACGCATGGTGATTCTAAATGTGGAGGGAAAAACCAGAGGACCCAGAGAAAAATCCGAGCATCCACAGGCAGAAAATACAAACTCCAAATATAGAGACATCAGGGTTGGGATCGAACCAACGACCCCCTGCATACTAGGTGAGTTAGTTAACATCTTGCCACCCTCGAAACCCATTAGGTACTACTGAGAGACCGCAGCCAAGAGGACAGCTCTCAAAGCTGCCCTGAGACATGAGTGTCCAGACCATAGTAGCTGGTGATAGTATGGGGGCGAGCTCTACATAGATGCTCTACATATGTAGTGACATATGACGTCACTGCTATGTTGGGTCTGTACGCGTGACATCACTTCCTGCTCGGTATGGAGGCTGTTGACGAGTGCCACGGGGGTTGTGTCAGGCCGTGGCACTCTGAGTGACCCTGGCTGGACACGTGACCGGATCCAGGTGGGGGCCAGGGGCACCTGGGGGACCCTGGGGGTCACGTGGTCGGAGAGTGGAGCCTTCTCGTGGGTTCGAGAAGGGGGGCGTGGCCAGGGTGTGGCCAGCCACGCCTGGGGGGCTTATAAGCCGGCTCAGCACAGAGAGCTGGGCTGTTCGTGCCTGGGATAAAGACATCTCATGAAGAATCTGAAGAAAGAAGCCTCCAGTCATTGTGGCCGAGCAGAAGCCCTCCTGGTGTGGCCACGCCAAGTAGTACCCGAGTGTTAGCGAGAATAGGATGGTGGTCACCACCTTATGTGTAGGGTGTGTTGCAGTTGTGTTGCAGTTGTGTTAAATAAATAAGTGTTGCCTCCACACGAGTGTGTGCGCCTCTGTCGAACCATTACACATAGATGCCCTACAGATGTCCTTTAGCGCAACTCCTGTCCTCATTGACCCAGGACACTCCCATGGCCCAAGTCGAATGAGGCTTACACCTTCTTGACCCTTCTAAAATAAAAGATATTCTGATCCTTTTCTTGATTAAGCCTCCAGGATATACTCTCAAACTTAGGAAGCAACTTTCTGCTCTGATGCTCGTTCTCCTCTCTTCTACTGGCCGTACAAGACAAAACGTCCACCATTAAGTAGTAATAATTATATTGATATATAAAGCTACTTTCCTGAATGTTAGGCACTGTCTTTGTCCTTAAAACCTTTACCATCCTACCCCTTCCCCTTCCTAATCTTGCCCCTCCCTTTCCCTATCATAACCCTTCCTTGCCATCCCTTTCCAACAATCAAATCCCATCCTTTTTCCCTATCAGCCAACACTAATGTACCATTTTTAATTACAAAAACGCTATATAAAATCATAAATAATATAAGACACACATGATAGTGTTCTAATATTATTGAGCTGGAGCATGTCAGTGACCACCGTATGCATAATTTGAGGATAGCATTTGGACACATTTCACTCGAAACTACAAGCACCTTCGTGTTAGACAACGGAAATCAGAATTGGCTGTGAAAGACTACAGATTAAGTTATTTATTTCATTTACACTTATTTACCCAGGAAAAAGCCGCAATGTTTTTGAGGAGGATCCTGTCAAGTTTTCACAGTTGGAGAAGACGTTCCTGTGTGTGTGTGTATGTTGAACTTTTTTCGCACCGTACGTAGCCAACCGTGCTTATCAGAGGTGTGGGTATGTAATCCCAATTGAGAAATTTGCAGGTGATTTTTCTGCATTTAATTATTTGGCCAATATCAGTTACATTGTGTGTATTTTTTTTAGCCATGCAAAAAAACAAAACCAGAGAAGTCAGAGGAAAACCCAGGCACAACAGGGAAATAATATTTTTAAAAACCAGGCACAGAAAGGTAGCCAAGTAGGAAATTGAACCCTGGTCCTTTCTGTGAGGAACAAGTGTCACCACAGCGAAAGTTGCCCGCCCCGCCCACGTCACTTCGTCAACAACGCTCCCTTCCGAGGCTCACGTGAAGCTGCGACAAGTGAAGAGGGGCTCCCCTACCGCACAATGCCGAAGATGCGCTGCGCGTAGGAGCGCACCTCCTCCACGGCCTGCGGCAGCAGCCGCTTGTTGGCACCCACACCCACGTAAGTGGCACGGTAAACGGTCACCAGCGTGGCCACGAGACGGCCCAAAGGGTGCACGACGGTGTCGCACGCCTGCTCACCGCACACACACACCCGCACAGTCATCAGCGACAACATTTGTGAGGAAGTAGACAGTGGTAATCCCGTGGACTTACTTGCCCCTTGCCATAGGAATGAGGAATTTTCACCACTGGCTCAGGCGTATAAATGAGAGATGAGCACCAATGCCTAAATAACTAATTTGAGCAGGAAATCATTTAAACCTCAACACAGAAAAATCTTGACTTAAGCATTCATGACTGCAGGAATTCATATTCTTTGGTCTTTCGGTAAAGTCACGTAGATAGGTTCAAAGGAAAATAACAAAAAAAAACACCTGAGGACCCAATCAAAACCATCACCTTACCATATTTAGCAGGGGTCACTAAAAAGATTTCCAAAATCATGAGCAAACACAAGATCCTGGTTCGATTTAACACAGTACAGTGAGGGAAAAAAGTATTTAATCCCCTGCTGATATTGTTCGTTTGCCCACTGACAAAGAAATGATCAGTCTATAATTATAATGGTAGGTTTATTTGAACAGTGAGAGACAGAACAATAAAAAAATCCAGAAAAACGCATGTCAAAAATGTTATGAATTGATTTGCATTTTAATGAGGGAAATTAGTATTTGACCCCTCTGAAAAACATGACTTAGTACTTGGTGGTAAAAACCCTTGTTGGCAATCACAGCGGTCAGACGTTTCTTGTAGTTGGCCACCAGGTTTGCACACATCTCAGGAGGGATTTTGTCCCACTCCTCTTTGCAGATCTTCTCCAAGTCATTAAGGTTTCGAGGCTGACGTTTGGCAACTCGAACCTTCAGCTCCCTCCACAGATTTTCTATGGGATTAAGGTCTGGAGACTGGCTAGGCCACTCCAGGACCTTAATGTGCTTCTTCTTGAGCCACCCCTTTGTTGCCTTGGCCGTGTGTTTTGGGTCATTGTCATGCTGGAATACCCATCCACGACCCATTTTCAATGCCCTGGCTGAGGGAAGGAGGTTCTCACCCAAGATTTGACGGTACATGGCCCCGTCCATCGTCCCTTTGATCCGGTGAAGTTGTCCTGTCCCCTTAGCAGAAAAACACCCCCAAAGCATAATGTTTCCACCTCCATGTTTGACGGTGGGGATGGTATTCTTAGCTCTTTCGGTAAAGTCACGTTGAAGGGAAACAATAAAATAATAAAATATATATAAAACAATAAAAATACTCACGACGTTTCGACCATAACACAAACGGTCGTCATCAGGTGTGTCGGTTTGCATAAATGTATTTATTTTTAAACGGTGTATTTATTTTCTTTGGTTCTTTCGGTAAAGTCACGTAGAATGAGAATGAAATATTTATTTATAAAAAAAAAAAGTCAGCGCCACGTGCGGCGATTTGGCAGTTAATTTAGGACTAGTCCATCTATATTCTGAAAAGAGGAGGGGGGAGACGAAAAATGTATGTATGCTGTCTGAAAGCCACTGTAAGCGTGAACAATCAATTAAGACCTGAAATGGTTTATCAAATCTTTCCAATGATTGCTAAGCCAGAATCCATCTTCTTGGTTGAAATTGTCTCTGTGCTTGTATATGTGGATAGCCTCATGAACGAATCTCTCATGGTAGCCAGATGGCTTACAAAGAACCTCTGTCTTGGAAAAGTCAATGTCATGTGAGCCTACTGATTTATAACAATGATCTGTCACGGCCGAGGTGTTGATCCTACCGTGTTTAAGGTCTGCTTTGTGTTCACGAATGCGGTCCGAGACATGGCGTTTGGTTTCTCCAATGTAACTACTACCACAGAGGCAACTTAGTTTGTAGACACCAGGGTATTGTATGTCCGGAATCACATCTTTTACAGACGGAACCAGATCACGGATTTTATGTAATGTGTTGAAACGGACCTGGATCTTGTGTTTATTCAAGATTTTGGAGATCTTTTTTGTGATCCCCGCAATGTAGGGTAAAGTGATGGTTTTGAAAGGCTCCTCAAGAGGGTTCTTCTTCATGGTTTGAGTGATAGCTTTGCGGATTGTATAAAGATGGTGTTCTTGGGGTCATAGGCAGCATTCCTCCTCCTCCAAACACGGCGAGTTGAGTTGATGCTAAAGAGCTCCATTTTGGTCTCATCTGACCACAACACTTTCACCCAGTTGTCCTCTGAATCATTCAGATGTTCATTGGCAAACTTCAGACGGGCATATATATGTGCTTTCTTGAGCAGGGGGACCTTGCGGGTGCTGCAGGATTTCAGTCCTTCACGGCGTAGTGTGTTACCAATTGTTTTCTTGGTGACTATGATCCCAGCTGCCTTGAGATCATTGACAAGCTCCTCCCGTGTAGTTCTGGGCTGATTCCTCACCGTTCTCATGATCATTGCAACTCCACGAGGTGAGATCTTGCATGGAGCCCCAGGCCGAGGGAGATTGATAGTTCTTTTGTGTTTCTTCCATTTGCGAATAATCGCACCAACTGTTGTCACCTTCTCACCAAGCTGCTTGGCAATGGTCTTGTAGCCCATTCCAGCCTTGCGTAGGTCTACAATCTTGTCCCTGACATCCTTGGAGAGCTCTTTGGTCTTGGCCATGGTGGAGAGTTTAGAATCTGATTGATTTATTGCTTCTGTGGACAGGTGTCTTTTATACAGGTAACAAGCTGAGTATAGGAGCACTCCCTTTAAGAGTGTGCTCCTAATCTCAGCTCGTTACCTGTATAAAAGACACCTGGGAGCCAGAAATCTTTCTGATTGAGAGGGGGTCAAATACTTATTTCTCTCATTAAAATGCTAATCAATTTATAACATTTTTGACATGCGTTTTTCCGGATTTTGTTGTTGTTATTCTCTCTCACTGTTCAAATAAACCTACCATTAAAATGATAGACTGATCATCTCTTTGTCAGTGGGCAAACGTAAAAAATCAGCAGGGGATCAAATACTTTTTTTCCCTCACTGTACATACAATTCGTGATCTGATCCCATCTGTGAAGGATGTGATCCCTGACATGCAATACCCCGGCGTCTACAAACTAAGCTGTGTCTGTGGTAGTAGTTACATTGGGGAAACTAAGCGACATGTCTTGGACCGTGTTCGTGAACATAAGGCAGATCTGACACACGGTAGGACCAATACCTCGGCCGTGGCTGATCATTGTTTTAATACGGTGGGCTCACTCGAAATTGATTTCTCTAAGACGAAGGTACTTTTGCAAGCCCACTGGCGATCAACAAAGATTCGTTCATGAAGCCATCCATTTTTATAGACAGACACAATTTAAACTGAGATGGGTACAAACTAATCAATTGTTGGAAGGACGTTATCAACCAGTTTAAGTCATAATTGGCTATGATGTTCCCATCCTACCACCTTCCGATGTTAATTGTGCTTTACGCCCATTTCAAACTTGCGCTTTCACAGGGTTCACACGAGCACAGCCACTTCGCACGTCGACCTCTTGGATGCGGCTCTGCGATCTTCCATTAACATGCTAATCTCTCATTAACATGCAAATTTTCACCTGGCAGCCATTTGATTGGTGGAAAACCAACCACCGTCAGGTTGGCTGCCCACCACTTACATTATCATTGGCTGCTGACATTTGGGCTACGCCCATTTCTAACCCTTATAAACAGTTTGCCTTGGAAGCTAACCACCCTTTTCCTGAAGACGACCGCTTGTGTTGCGATCGAAACGTCGTAGTTTTTTTGTTATTTTTGGTTATTTTTCTTTGAACTTATCTACATTAATTTACTGAAAAACCCAAGAATATCTCAACATGGAAGTTTTCACCTGTCAATATTATGGCTCATAATTTATTATTCACCACATACCGATCTGGCCAAATGTATCGTGAAACCCTACTTCACCTGACACTGCCAAGCAAATTATACATACACGTGTAAAAGTGTTTAGATATGATAATACTAAACAATGTGCGAGCGTGTGGTTCTCGCTCTCTCTACCATGTAACGGAACGTCTCGGAGAGCAGAACCCCCACAGGGTGCAGGGAACTGGCTTAAAAATGGGCATCAGGTCTGTCAGTAGTGAGGCAATGATTTCTAAGCGAGTCGTTTGTCGACATTTTTTTCAAAATTTCTGCATGAGGAAAATCGTGCAGAAAACGGGGAGAACATACGAACTCCACAAAAAAGGCACCCGAGTCGGAAATAAATCCCAGGGTCCTTCCCATATCTGTCCCTCCACATAAAAAATAAAAGTATTATTTAAACAACCCAATCAGGCTAAATGGCCTTCTGGGAGTGAATAATTTCAGCATTGCTTTAATACCAGCAAATCTGTGGACTGGTTTCAACACAAAAGCGTCTCATCACCAGTCGGGCTTGATTGAGCCGTCAACCCCAAACTATATACAGGTTTCCTTCGCTTGATGCAGGTTCGCTTTTTGCTATGGAACAACATCGTGTGTACTATATGTACTCTATGTGCCACTCGACAGGCAGCTAATGTCTCGTGCAGTTTCACTTTGTGCGTCCTTTTGCTTGGACCGCATACATTGAGGGAAACCTGTATTATTATAAATACAATTATATTGTGATTATTATGATCATAGCCTAGTTATAATGCTCTGTCATAGGTATTGAGGAATTAACAATAACTGGGTCAGCAGGAGCACCAAAAGTAACAAGCAGCTGATATAGGCCGCAGCTGCGCGTGACGCTGATTTCTAGGACAGAATATTTGACGCTCACAGATTTCACGAGGGGAGGAAAAGCACAAACATGGGGGAACACAGCAAGAACTGATATTTGGACAACTCCATTGAAGGGCGTGTCATTGTTGATAGTCGTGGGAGTAAAACGGAGTACCCAGCAAATACCCACGTTTGCAAGAGGGGGAGTGTAACACTCAATCCATTTACAGATGGAAATTAATCCCCTTGCTGTACTGCCATCATACCCTGGCACACCAGGTGTTGGCAATGTCCACAGGTAGGAAGGTAGTTTCACGAACGTGTGTGTGTGATCCATCAACCCTTGCTGCCTTCCTCAGTGCAGCATTACAGGTCGTGTACAGCACAGCCAGCAGCGTACACAAGTGCAGAAGTACTCACCGATATGAACGTGGAGATGTGTACATACCTTTGTGAGGTAAGCCTTGACCTGCTCATAGCCTCGGTTGTCCAGATGCTCCACGTTGTACAGCGGGATTATTTCAAGGCTTTCCATGGTCAAGGTCTGAGCATGACTCATCACTTCTGAGCTGCAGAAAAATGACAAAAATAATGCGGTAAAAAACTCTGATTACCGTAGGATCTACATAGACATGACTGTGCCAATGTATGTGTAGTGATGCACTAAGAGACACTAGGAGTAGGAGGCACTATTTATTATCAGCCTTCACAGCTCACAAGAGGTAACTACAACTCTCAGTCAGGACAGCTGGCAGACTGCCTGACTGACGATGCCGAGAAGGTGAAGATGTAGACGGCGACGAAGACTCCAGCAGCACGACGGGATCCCACTCCAAGCAACAGCCCCGAGCATTTGCTCGGGGTCCCCTTTTAGCCTCCTAGCATGGCCTCGCTCCGCCTCGGCCACGCCCCCCTTCTAGAACCTACTCGTGGGTTACTGGGATTACCTCACGTGCCCCCTCTATCACCTTTCCCCTACATCCCTCTCTCTGACTTATCACATGACCTGCTGACAAACAGGGCTGCTGCAACTGCAGATCCCCTTCTCTGCCAGCAACCCACGCTATGCTACGTAGTGACCCATTCCATATCACTACATCTGTATACATACTGCAGTGATATGGATGTTATAAATGTGTAATGACAGGAGAGTCAACCTGCGGTGTGAGTGGACGAGTGGCCACGGGAGGTAATGACAGTGGAGTCAGCCTACAGTACGAATGGGCTAGTGACCACGGGAGGTAATGACAGGGGTGTCAGCTTGCAGTACAAAGGAACTGGTGGCTACGGGAATGATCGAGAATAGGAGCGTGGCCAGGTGACGTAAGAGGACAGTAGAGTCTGCTGGTGGAGCGAGCGTCTAGAGCCAGTGATAAAGTTCGGGAATGGGGGTGCGTATATAAGGGAGATGCGCGGGAGACTCGGGGCTGTTGCAGTGGGGTCTCCACCTGTTCGAGTGAACGTGTCTTCTCAACAAAGAAACCATCTCAAGACAGGTGTCAAGTCGTAATTACAAATGTAGAGTATATGCACTGCAGTGAGATGGATGTTAAAGATGTATGGATACATACTGCATTGATATGGATGTTAAAGATGTATGGATACATACTGCAGTGATATGTATGTTAAAGATGTATGGATACGTACTTCAGTGATATGGATGTGTAGTGGGTTCTATTGAGACGCACGCTTGGCTATGGAGGCAACACGTTTTATTCGCTAACACAACGGGATAACGACTCAGGGTGGTGACCACCCTGGATAGCTACATAACACTCACGGGAACACTATATAATCTGCCAGGATAGCTAGCACGTTGCCTGGCTCTTGACGACTTCTCTCACGCCCGAAGACCGACGATCCAAGACTTGGCGGGCGGGCCCATCTCCCTTTGATAGAACTCCAACGACGGTGAACCTGCCGGCTTCTCCACCCCGGGTTATATCACCCCTGGCTACGCCCCATAACAGATTCTTCTTGAGGGCTCTGGTTCCCCCTCAAGTGTCCCTCTCGCCCCCCGTGGGGGATAGCCCCTTCAACCTCATCCGGTCACGTGTCCTCCCGGGAACACCCAAAGGCCACGTACTAACGCGCTCTCTCTCTCACCATTGCCAGCGCCATGCCCTTACAGCACCCCATTCCACTGGGTACAGTGGCTGCCCTCTAGTGACGTCTAGTATGTCACTACATCACCCCCCCCTTCGTAAAATACAGCCGTCCTAGCTCTCACTATCTACAAAAAGACAAGAGTGTGCCTTCCAACAATAATTAAGAACAACTGAAGAGCGAACAACAATAAATAACCACAGTATACAGTGAGGGAAAAAAGTATTTGATCCCCTGCTGATTTTGTACGTTTGCCCACTGACAAAGAAATGATCAGTCTATAATTTTAATGGTAGGTTTATTTGAACAGTGAGAGACATAATAACAACAAAACAATCCAGAAAAACGCATGTCAAAAATGTTATAAATTGATTTGCACTTTAATGAGGGAAATAAGGATTTGACCCCCTCTCAATCAGAAAGATTTCTGGCTCCCAAGTGTCTTTTGTACAGGTAACGAGCTGAGATTAGGAGCACACTCTTAAAGTGAGTGCTCCTAATCTCAGCTTGTTACCTGTATAAAAGACACCTGTCCACAAGCAATGAATAAATCAGATTCCAAACCCTCCACCATGGCAAATACTAAAGAGCTCTCCAAGGATGTCAGGGACAAGATTGGAGACCTACACAAGGCTGGAATGGGCTACAAGACCATTGCCAAGCAGCTTGGTGAGAAGGTGACAACAGTTGGTGCGATTATTCGCAAATGGAAGAAACACAAAAGAACTGTCAATCTCCCTCAGCCTGGGGCTCCATGCAAGATCTCACCTCGTGGAGTTGCAAAGATCATGAGAACGGTGAGGAATCAGCCCAGAACTACACGGGATGATCTTGTTAATGATCTCAAGGCAGCTGGGACCATAGTCACCAAGAAAACAATTGGTAACACACTACGCCGTGAACGACTGAAATCCTGCAGCGCCCGCAAGGTCCCCCTGCTCAAGAAAGCACATATACATGCCCATCTAAAGTTTGCCAATGAACATCTGAATGATTCAGAGGACAACTGGGTGAAAGTGTTGTGGTCAGATGAGACCAAAATGGAGCTCTTTGGCATCAACTCAACTCGCCGTGTTTGGAGGAGGAGGAATGCTGCCTATGACCCCAAGAACACCATCCCCACTGTCAAACATGGAGGTGGAAACAGTATGCTTTGGGGGTGTTTTTCTGCTAAGAGGACAGGACAACTTCACCGCATCAAAGGGACGATGGACGGGGCCATGTACCGCCAAATCTTGGATGAGAACCTCTTTCCCTCAGCCAGGGCATTGAAAATGGGTAGTGGATGGGTATTCCAGCATGACAATGACCCAAAACACACAGCCAAGGCAACAAAGGAGTGGCTCAAGAAGAAGCACATGAAGGTCCTGGAGTGGCCTAGCCAGTCTCCAGACCTTAATCTCATAGAAAATCTGTGGAGGGAGCTGAAGGTTCAAGTTGCCAAACGTCAGCCTGGAAACCTTAATGACTTGGAGAAGATCTGCAAAGAGGAGTGGGACAAAATCCCTCCTGAGATGTGTGCAAACCTGGTGGCCAACAACAAGAAACGTCTAACCTCTGTGATTGCCAACAAGGGTTTTGCTACCAAGTACTAAGTCATGTTTTTCAGAGGGGTCAAATACTTATATCCCTTATTAAAATGCAAATCAATTTATAACATTTTTGACATGCGTTTTTTCTGGATTTTGTTGTTGTTATTCTGTATCTCACTGTTCAAATAAACCTACCATTAAAATTATACACTGATCATTTCTTTGTCAGTGGGCAAACGTACAAAATCAGCAGGGGATCAAATACTTTTTTCCCTCACTGTATATGTAGTGTAGAACTACACGACTGTATTGGCTAGGTATGGGGGCCATAGGCAGGTGTCACCGGGGTCGTGTCGAGCCGTGACACTCTGCGTGAACCCAACAGGACATGTGACTGGATAAAGGGGGGCCAGGGGCCCCAGGGGGGTCATGTGGTTGGGGTTCGGGCCTTCCCGAAAGATCGGGAAGGGAGGCGTGGCCTGGGGCGGAGCCGGCCATGCCGGAGTGGTTATAAGCGAGGCGTGGACGGAGAGCTGGGCTGTTCTGTGCTGTTCTGCTATGCTGCCGAGTCATCTCTGGGATGAAGCTCTCCGGTCTCCACTATTGGACCAGGCAGCGTGTTGGGCTGTCCTGGTCCAGTGATGTAGTGCCTCCGTGGGTTAGCTAAGTTAGGAACGGTGGCTACCACCTCAAGTCGTTATCTTAAGTGTTACTTGTTGTGTTAGCTAATAGTGTTGCCTCCAAAGTCCAGTGTGTGCCTGAATATAACCCACTACATATACAATAATCATAAATCCCGAACAACAACAACAAGGGAAAGTTAGCAATATACAAGGACCGGTTCTCATCCCCCCTCCCACCTCCAGCATGACCCTACGCCCGCATGTGTGTCAACACCCACGAGCACACGAAGAAGCAGGTTCAGCCAATGACTTGTGAGTGTGGCAAAAAGCAGGTGGCGTAGGGGAACAGCACGGTGGAGGAAAGTCACGTGAACCGGTTAGTCTTTGAACGAGTCCTCGTCGCCGGGCCCCCAAGTGAGGTGGGCATGAGCTCCTTAGAAGACCCGGGGGGAAGTGAAGAATGGCCTAACGGGCGCGACCCCTCCCGGGAATCAATGACGGCAACAGGACGAGTGGCCGATGTTTGCTCCCCCTTTGGTGGTCCGTCCGTGGCCGGCGCAACCGGCGACGGCAAGGGCATCAGGTGCTTTGATCCTGCGGGTGGAATCACAGAACTTCCTTGAGGCACAACCTCAGCGGATGCCCGCCCCAGCTCGTCGGATACACCAGACACTCGACCCTTGAAAAGTTAAGATGAAGGAACCGCGCGAGGCACAACATATGGTTTGAGGCGTGACGGGTGTACGAACCAACGCCGACGACCGAACTGAATCTGCACGCATTGTGGCCTGTTAGCTTGTATCACATCAACCGAGCCTCGCCATGGTTTGTATAACTTGGGGGACGTACCCACCGGTACCTGAGCACAATGCAGTCAGGCTCTATCTCCCGGGGTCCACTTCGTCCCCTGCACACGTAGCCCCCTTAACCTCTCATTTGCCAATTGTCGTCAGGCCGAATTCTCTCTGGAAGCTTCCCGTGCTTCCGACACACGCTGAAGATTAAGGCGCATCGGGTCAGGAATATTAATTTTAGACTTAGACCGTCTCGTGTTAAGTTGAACATCAATCGGAGGACCTTGTTCCCTCCCATACATAAAAAATGACGAAAAGCCAGTGGAAGCGTGAGGAGCCATTCGATAGGCTGCGAGAACCCCTGGGACATGCAAGTCGCAATCGCACTGTGACTCGTGAACCTGCTGAATCAACAAAGACAAGAGAGTCCTGTTTAGCCGTTCCACCATACCATCAATCACGGGGTGATAGGGCGACGTGCGAACCTTTTTGGTGCCCAACAGATCACACATTTCCTTCAAGAATTTTGACGATTTTTTTTTGCTCTGATCAGTTAGGAGGCGCTCCAGAGCCCCCTTATCCAGCACATAGCCATTAAAGAATGCCTCAGTAATAGCCGTAGCTGATAGGTTCGGAAGTCAACGCAAAACCGCAGACTCCACGGACTGTTCGATGGCGAATTAACGTCAGTGGCCAACATTTCATTGACATGACGGACATGTTCCTTTTCTTTAGGACTTAATCTGTAAGGGTTCTGATGGATGGGGGCGGCATCTCCTGTATCGATGTGGTGGCGCAGGAAAGTCCTGCAACCAATGTAGCATTTCCCCTTACAAAAAACGTTCCAAAACTCCCTCAAGAGTGAGCACAATTCGGTTCTCTGAGTGTCTGATAGATCGGGGTTTTCGGAACAGAGAGTGTCTATCCACCTCTCATCGCCCGGCGCACCCTGCTCCGAAGCCAACGTGACCCCAACCTCACCAAAAATATTTTCGCTGCAACTTGCAGCGGACGCATGGGCCAACATAGTCCCTGCCACTATAACGGACGTAACCAACCCAGTGTTGAGGACCTGAGTAGAGGGTTCCTGGTCACGGGACACCAAGGTCTGGGCCCCCGCTAGTGTTAACCCCTGACTTGCTTTATTTTAGGATCACAGTAGGATCCCTTCGGCAGTTGCTACACGATCGAGTTGCTTCCGCAGTCACAGGGGCACCAGCATCTGCGCCCCGGGCAGAATTTTAACAGTCTTACTCGCCACAGCCTGGACTGTGGCTTTAGTTGTGCACAATCGAGTTGAGGAAGAAAGAAAAGCCAATCGGCAGCCCCATGGCAACTCAATGCAGCCCTGATCTATCAGGATTTTCAGGGGAATTTTTCCTAAGAAATCGGTGCCCAGTAGGCAGGGCATGGCCAAGGAGTTCGAAACTAGCACCTGCCCGGTCAACTGGATGTCACCGATACATACTGTCGCGGTTATTTGACCGATGATTCCTAGGGATCCCCCGTTCGCGGTGAAACACGGAACGGCGACAGGTTGAAGAACGCGAGTGTTTGGGCAAGATGTTAAAAATCAACTCCGGAATAATAGGGCGCTCCAGTGTCAATGAGCACTCTAACTTCTATCTCTTGTACTGTTACTACAATGGCCGATGAGTCCGCCACCGCGGTGACGACCCGATGTGCCAACTCCGACCATTGACGAGGCAGATACGGCCAAGTATTTCAAGGCAATGCCGGACGCCCACGCTCTCTGACCCGATCTGAGCCCACACCGCGCAAACCCGCACCGACGTTCGAATTAGATGAAGGAGGTGGCGGCAAGGGTCGAGTGTGTGGTGCGTCGTGACCTGCCTGGGGGCCCAGCGGAGTGGAAGATGGCCGGATGGAGGACAACGGTGGTCCAGGGAGTCCTCCTCGAGCAGCGCGGCATCCCTTCGCGACGTGCCCCGGCAGGCCGCAGTCGAAGCAGACAACGGGGTTGCCCCTCGGAGGAGAGAAGGTCCCTTTCCACTGGTCTCGCCCTGCTCGTCGCCCCACGTCGACCTTCCTCCATCGGTCGTCATTGCTCAACGCGCATACTTGAGAATCTTCCACATCTTCGGGTGCATCCGGAACAAAGGAAGAACTGGTGCACGCTGCCACCCCCGCTCGGCGTTGAAGACTAAGATGTGCTTGGAGGCATCGTGCGATACCAAGAGAAGATATATTTACATTCTCTGTAGCTGGTAGGACAACATGAAGTTCTTGAGCCAATGACAGAAATCGCTCAAGCACTAGTGAGTCAAACCCGTCCTGTTCCATTTTTGGAAACGCCGCCTGTGCCAGCAATAGCAAAGTGCTGCAGAACGCGAGAGGCGTCTCGGATTCCCCTCGAATCCGCGCAGCGAATTTCTGATGAACGTTGGATCAAAAATCGCTGCCATCTGCATGAAGGCCCGCGGCAACGTGTCCCTGAAGGCGGCTGGGATGGGGTAGAACGCCGCCAAGGCGTCATCATTGAGTGCGGTGGGGAGCGCATGGAGCGCCTCCACCTCCGTCCAACCCGCCAACTCACAGTTCACCGTGAAGCGCCTCCTGAATGCTTCCCAGTCGCCACCCGAAGCCGTAAACTCTTTGACGAATGGAAGTCGTCGCCAGAGCGGTGCACTGCAATCGTCGCCGGTTGTGGAGATTCGGAAATGGCGGGAAGATCTTCCCGCCCGACTGCTAAAATGGTGGCGGCAGCGCGCGCGGGCTGTTCGTCCGAAAATTCCCGTGCGCGGGAAATGGCGGCTCCGGCGTCGACCCCTTTCAGCTCCGGCGCTCCGGTCTCTGGCGGCAGCTCCTCGTGGTCCAGCTCAGAGACCAACACTGCTGCGGCAGCCAGCAGCTCGGCGAGGTGGGCGTGGCACGCCCTGCGGTCTCTCCCCGACGGTGGCGAAGCTGCGGCGGGAAACTCTTGCCACTGCTCCGCCGGCAGCACCGCCTCACTCCCTCTCTCTGGGGCTGCAACAGCGTAGGCTGTCTGGGGAATGATCCCCTTTTCATCCTCTTCGTCCGACGATGTGGGTTGTCGTTTACGAGTAAACATTTCCTCCCAGTCTAGAGCTATCACTTAGTCTACCATTTCTGGATATTCTGCTCGGACGGAGTAGAAATGGTAAAATAACACACAGTGTTTACCGACAGAAAACACATACTGACGCCTATCTGAATGCAGAGTCATACCAACACCCCTCACAGAAATCTGCTCTTACCAAGACGTTCATTCATCGAGGAAAGAAAGTGTCAGATGGTGACAGTCTGAGAAGTGAAATTCAACATATTAAAGAAGCGCTCAAAAATGAATGGTTACAATGATGCACAAATCAACAAGGCATAGAATACCAAAACCAAATCAAATAACAAGAGCATTGAAACTGCCCAAATAATTAAAACGATCAAAATACCGTACATTGCGGGAGTAACTGATAAACTATCCAGATGTTTAGAAAAACAAAACATCCGAGTCAGATTTGGCACAGTACGTAAAATACAGAAATTAATATCTGGTACAAAAGATGTATTACCGAAGCTATTAACAGAAGGTGTGTACAGGAATAACTGCACGTGTGGTAAATGTTATGTTGGGCAAACAGGATGAATGATCAGCACAAGACTAAAAGAACATCAGAGAAACATTAAATTCTCCAAATACAACTGTCAGCAGTCGCAGAACACGCGTGCCAACAAGGACCCTCAATTGATTTTGATAATCTTGAAGTTTTGTGCAAAACTAGCTACTACTGGCCAAGACTAATGAGATAATTTATCGAAATTGAAATAAATAAATATGTTAACCATTCGGAGAGCCTTCGTGGTGTGTGGAAGAGAATAATCAAATAACACATTATTTAAATGCATGCTTATAAAGGGCAGCATACTTCAATAGGAATTACCGTTGGTAGGGCTATTTTTTATAAATACAATAGACAGGAAGGACAAGTTCAAAGGGCTCACATAATGCACAATGTATGTTGCCTCAGTAATCCCCCCCCCCACATTGTGCAAGAGCGCATCTGCGTGGTCAACACATCTACGCCTCTATATAAGGAACGAAAGAGTAAGACTTCTCCACAAATCTGGCCGACGCCTGATGAAGCTAGTTGTAATTACTGGCGAAACGTTGTACTCAGATTGTAAATGTTGTGGCTTGGCTCTCCAACACACCGGTGTGCTGTACTAGTAACGAATTGGCATGTTCTGTTTACGTGACAACCCTTACTAGTTGGCTGTGTTGGGTGGTGGCAGGTTTTAACGACACATTTATATACTTACGCGATCTAACCCAAAAACCCCTATTATGGATGATATTGGTCGCGAAAGCTTACGTGTTAAACTGATATGGATATTAAAGATGTATGGATACGTACTGCAGTGATATGGATGTTAAAGATCTCGCTATGTCATTCGTAGAGAGTTTGGCCATTGTGTGTCACTGTCAAATTGCCAATTACAAAAACGATTCACAAATTTAATTGATTGGCCAAGACACGGAAATCGTTGCAGCCTACTGCGAAAATGTAACACTCCCTGATCAAGAGTCTTGAGAGGTTTTCTTTGGTTCTTTCGGTAAAGTCATGTAGAATGAGAATAAATTAATAAATTGATAAAATAAAATAACACAATAATATTCTCACGACGTTTCGGCCACAACACAAGCGGCCTTCATCAGGTGAAGGGGCGAGACTGTCTGGTAGGACAGGGGTCATCCGATGAGCTATGAAGCTCTTTTCCACAGATATTCAGATATTAAAGTCTCCCTTGGTTTCAAGAGCCTGTTACAAGAGGGCTCTGCCAAGTTTTCCGTAGGAGGGTGCGATGCTGCTACTGCCGTGTGTGATCCGAGTTAAGTAATTGTCAAGAAAATGCCAGTGCCAGTGTGTATGTGTTCTCAAACTCTTTAGCGTTGGGGACCTCAAACGGCGAAACGACCACACACTCAGTTCTGATTTGAGCTGGTGGTCTAGATCGGGCCGAGAGCATGTGTACATGCAAGGCTGCACACCTCTGTGTGGGTGTTGTTAAATGTTTGCTTCCAGCCAGCATTCACGTTTTCTGTTGTGATGCATCTTCTCATCATTCACAGACTTTTAACTGATGCTGCTCCACTGTGGGTAACGGAGCAGAAACACCGACTGCACCTGCCGTAAGCGCCGTGAGGGCCGTGGCACCGCCCCGAGGAGAGGGCCACCGCGACACTGTCCCACGCGCGGCGAGCTTCCCCGTGGCCCTCGCGGTCGCAGCCCAGCAAGGCACAGCACTCGGCAAACACACCGCACCACTTGTCCTTCACCGGCACGGCCAGGCCGCCCCACTGCCTGCACACAGCCAAGGCACCCGTCTCGTGAGCAACACACCTCGAATGCCACGGATGCCGAACAATAACCAGTGCACTGGTTAGCGGTTCTCAACGCTAGGGTTGTCAAATGATAACCGGTAAACCGGTTAGCAGTTCTGAACGCCAGGTTTGTCAAACGATAACCGGAAAATCGTTTAGTGGTTCTAAACACCAGGGTTGTTGAATGATAACCAGTAAACCGGTTAGCGGTTCTGAACAGTAGGGTTGTCGAACAATAAACGGTAAACCGATTAGCGGTTCTGAATGCCAGAGTTGTTGATCAATAACCGGTAAACCAGTTAGCAGTTTTAAAAGTCAGGAACTTGTAACTGTTTTCATTTAAATGTTCGTCATGAGTTTCACGAATGAGTACGAATTAAATCTGTGAAGCCCTACTCCAGCTGACACAGCCAAGCAAATTACATGTTCACATGTAAAAGTGTTGAGATAGGACGATTCACTTTAAACTGCGCCAAGCATCTTCAAAAAAAGTACCTTCAGGATTCTGTCCTAAACATGCTAGGCACAGTCATGCCTGCTTCCTGGATTCTGTCCTGCCAACGTACTGGCGAGCTGAAACTACACTAAAAACTAAACAATTTTTTTTATTTTACCAGGTAAGGCCCACTGAGCTATACAGCTCTTTATCAGAAGTGACCTGATCACAAATGATAACTCAACGAAGCGGCTTATTACCATGTGGAAATTTATGGCAGGCAAATACTCTCCAATTGGTGTGTTTATCGCTTGTTCACGTGACAATTTGATTTGTCTGCTTAAATTTGGCCAGATCATTACGTGATCTAACCCAAACATCTGTTGTGAATCAGGAAATCCCTCTAGACTATATTTTAATGGCCAACACCTCTCACGTTAAACAACTTCAATAGTGGGGCAAAAGCAAAAGCAGCACCAGCAGTTGCATGGTCGTGTAAATGACACGGCCCACTGCGGTGCGGCGGTGTGAATCGTGCGAGTCTGGATCGTGCGGTGCGAGTGTGGATCATGCGTGGGTGGAGATGCGGGGGCCCTCACGCACGGTGGAGTGGGCGAGGCTCGACCCGGCTCCAGCAGGAAGGCTTTGCGGAAAGTCCCCGCCACACGCAGCTCCCCGCCGCCCCACACGCCGCCAAACGAGCCCTCGATGGCGTCCCCGTTGGGCAGCGTCAGCACGCCCTGCACATCACCACGGAGGGTAGAGCACACGAATGCCACACGGAGTCGGGAATTGAACCCAGCCGTGCCTTGCTGTGAGATATGAGTGTTGCAATTGTCACCCTGCCATCCATAGGAAGAGTCCTGCGATAAAGTATTATGGTTTTTGCTGTAAGAGTTCTGAACAACATTCCTCCGCAAATTAAGAAAATATATTTCCACCCCGTGTTTTTGTTTCATCTTTCTCCCTCAAGGGCAAGAAAGACATCTTACAGTAATGTCAAAGCTACCACTCTCTATTCCCGTGAAGGGAATACCCAGGCCTCATCCATTAGTTATCAGTTCAGGGAAGCGTCACTCTCTGGATCCGCAGCCAAGCATAAGCACCTTTCCATTGAGGGCGAGGTCGGCTGTGAACTCCCCCTCGTAGCGCGTGTCGTCTTCCGACAGCAAGACACCCTGACCCTGGAGAGGAACGCACGCACGCACGCACACAGAGAGATGTAGGGGACAAGAAGTGGCTCCTCCTTATCACGTGCAGTGTGAGTAACGATAATAACCGTTACATTTATACGGCGTTGCTCAAATGCCTCAACGACCCAAAAGCATCTTGCATCACATCACACCTCATCTCAAACATTCGAAGAGCACACCCACAGTGCCAGCTCTCCCTGTGTGGCACAAATGCGAGTCAACAAGTGGCCTGCGAGTGGGCATTGTTCTGCCAGTAAAGGGGTGATGATTTCTGCTACCTGTAATCCCATTTGAGTAATATGGAAGTAATTTTTTCGTGGCAAATTTGGACCATGATACCGGCACACGCTGCCGCTGAGCCATGTCACCAGCAAACTTTGTATATTTGCGTCCGACCAAAATGCACCTCTCGCATTTTCGTACAAATGAGTGCAAGGAGTTCAATGGCAGGTACAACTCACCACCATCCTGTTGCTGCTGAAGACACACTCGTAGTAAAGTCCAAACTGACTCACTACCACCCCGTTACCGTGGCGACAATCGTTCATCCACATGCCCATGTACTTCTCGCCTCTGCAACAAACAAGGACCGGACGGACTTACTGCAAAGACGCAAAACGAACCACATTGCACAATGTTTGCACACGTCGCTTAGCGAATGATAGTATTCGCCGCACGGCGCATAGTCCATAAACAAAGCACCAAATGATCATCACGGGCATTGTTATGGAGACAATAACGAAGGAAATAAGCAGACTTTTTCTCACCTTCACATATTTGTTGAGAAAACCGACCTGATTAAGACATGATAATCCCTAAATACTCAGTAACAAAACAACAAACAGCTTAGTCACATACAACCCTTTGTCAATAATCCACCACATAATAGACGCATCTCTACAGCATGTTAGTTCCTGGGGCTGCTTTGAGCATACTTCACCACACTGGTCAGGGTGGGCTTCCGGAGGTGGTGCTCAAGGACCCAGTTCAGATGTTGCTTGTGCGCACTGAAATATGGGTCTTGTATTATTGTGAACCTGTGATCGTTGAAATGGACGATAATAGTCATAAAGCGAACATACTTTGATAGGGGTAAAACCATCATGGCCAGACACACGCACAGATAAAGAGAGATTGAGAGGTGGGAATTTACAGATAAAACAGCCATTAGTCAGAATGGTCACTGGAGCTCACTGGTGGTGCGAGAGCGAGTAGCGGTGGAGTGAGAGCGTCGGTCATCTGACGAGGTCAATTTAAATGACCGATTCTGGCAAGTCTCAAGATTTGTTTTTAAGCGATGGGGCGACCACAAGACCGCAGAGGCCACCGCCTGCTATATACCTTGTGATGTCGTCGAACACACCGTAGCCACACTTGCAGTCGTTGGCCCACTGGCCGATGTAGAGGCTGGAGGAGGTGGAGGTGTGGGAGCCGCTGCGGAGCACCCCGTGCCCATGCCGAGCTCCGTTACTGAAGCCGCCTTCGTACACATCCCCGTTCGCGTACCTACAGAACATGTACGGGGGGGTGGGGGGCGATGGGTGGAGAGGTGGAGGGGGCGGTTACAGGGCCCAATGGGAGGACACGATTGCCACTTGTTGTAGGGATTCGGAGTTCCAATCTGGCAGGTCACCCTGCTCATTCCCACAGGTGTACTACCCACACATTAAGCGTAAAATATCGCGCAAACTCCAGTGAATTACACACTGCAATTGGCGGTCGACGTTCGAATCGAACTGCGACCCTCAAAGGAACGGCACTACCCCAGTGGTTCATGGATTAAACAAATCACTCGAGACGCCGGTGTACTGCAGAAAGAGTTGTTCATGAAAACGCTGTCGCACTACGTCACGCGTTTGGCGCAACGCTCTTTTGCTGACTATGCGCGATGAATTAATTAAATGCTCTCTGTTTCACAGTGGATGTTAAAATTATCCGTGACACAAGTACACCATTGTGTACTAGCCTCACGGTATAAATTTGCCAAATATGAAACATTACTTGGTTATTACTCGATTAGGAATACACATAATAGCAATAACCACCCTTTACCGACAGAATCCTGCCTAAATGTAAACTATAACCTATACATATAAAAAAATATTTTTTTCAGGTAAGGCCCACTGAGCTAAATAGCTATTTTTCAGAAGTGAATTGGCCACAAATGATAGTTTAACAAAATGGCTCGTGACGTGGACATTTATAGCAGCCAAATAATCTAAACGCACGTTGATTATAAATGTGGATGGAAAAACCGGAGAACTCAGAGAAAATCCACGCGACTACAGAGAGAACATGCAAAGTTCAAATATACAGCAGGTGTCAGTGTTTGGATTGAACCCATGACCTGTACACCAGGCGAGGAAGTTAACATCTCACCACCATGGCACCCCATGAGTTGAGTCGTCTTGTGCCGCACAGAGGCGGCTGCCACTGGGGGTGCCCTTTCAAATATGTTGAGATGATGTGATGCGTTGACAGACGCTTAGCGTGTGTAAAGCGCCGTGAGATGCCACGCAGTGAAGGGCGCTTTAACAAAAACGAAGCATTCTCGGGATGACCAGTGCACACACACGGTGTTAAGAGCACACACACACACGGGTGCAAAAGCACGAATGCCCTTATTTCTGGGTACGTGTCTATGGTTCATAGTTAGATTTTCTTTTTCTACTGCATTTCATTTGCAATTATCAAGTTAGACACTGCAGCGGCATTTTGCAGATTGGCATGGCCACATTAACCTTGCAACCAGAGAGGTTAGATGGATGTTTGTGGGAACCGAAGTTCCACCTATTTTCAACTGTGAAAATAATTCAGCTGCAGTGATTTGGCTGTGTTCTGCCAAACAACAGAAGAAACTGCAGTTGTACAAAGACATGAATAAAGCTGGCAGGGCGGCACAGTGGTAACATTCATGACTCACAGCAAGAAGTTCCTGGGTTCGATTCCTTACTCGTTTGTATGTTCCCCTCCCCTGTTTCGTACAGTGAGAGTATGTTACAGTGCGAGTGTGTGTCAATGTTGTAGGGAGCGGTAGTGTAGCGGTTAGCGCCCTGTGCTATGAACCCAGCAACCCGAGTTCGATTTCCACTCACGGCCAACACCAATGACGACTATCTGAACCGGTCCTGGGCCTCCCCTAGGTCGACTCCGCCTCAAATGAGTACCTGGTATGGTGTGTAAACATCGCCACTATTGAGTTGACTGGCCACCAGAACGTATTGTATAAATATTAATTGTACGCCCTGGAGAACAATTTACAACCTGGTGCATTCAAGCACTAGGCAACTAGATTGAGATTCACACGGGAGGGTATGTGCCAAAGGCGTGGACATTCATGGGTGTGCGATCTCTAGTGGAGAGGGTTGGTGGTAGAGGCCGATCGAAATTCGTTACGGCGCCGAAAGTTGGCAAATGGCCTCTTTCGGCATACTTTCGGTTTCGGCCGAAAGTCCATTTTTAACTTTCGGCTGAAACCGAAACCAGAAATTAAGTTTTGGTCGGTCTCTAGTTGGTGGATCACACACACACTTGCAACATTACGCATAGGCATTGATGTCACTATGGCTCGTCAAGGTACGGCAGTACAGTATAGCAAGTAGGATAATTTCCATTGTTCGGGGATTGAGTGTTACTACCCGCCTTGAACGTGTGGGTTTTCTCCCGGTACTCTGTTTTTTTTTTTTACGAGATACATAAGCAAGTATTAATGGAGTTATCCACAGAGCCTAACATAGGACCACAGAGCTTGAGCAATTGCATGGGACTGACAAGTTTCCCCCTTGCAACTGTGAGTTTTTCTGGGCACCGTTTTTTTCTCACTCGTAACAATCAGCTATTCATCTAGTTTCCCAAATAGAGTCTGTTCTATGATGCGGTCGTAGTTGCGTTCCTGAAGAACACCACGTTGGAAAAATCATGTTAGAGTAAATTGTAAATAATATAGAGTATAGCGGAGTTTGCGATAACACGTGAGATGCGTATGCAGGCCGAACAAAGACTGAGGTGCGTGGGTCGTATCGAGAAGCATCCAGCAGCATCCCAATGCCTTGTGTGTTGCTACGCTGAGGCAACCGTACAACCGCTTATTCCTACTCGCGTGACGTAGTTCTGTTCACTCGATTGTGTTATATCTAATTCCCATCTGCGTTATAAAAATGTGTTCCCTGATAGATTGATAGCGTTATATACAATTCGTGTTATGAAAACATGCAGTGTTATAGGAGAACAGACTGTACCCTAATATTTTACCGCAATTATTGGGAGCGCCGATTCTGGCTGCCTTCCTGCTTTTTCTGCAATTTCCCGCATCTCTGAATCTTGCTCTCCTCTCTCTCACTGAGAGCAAAATAAATCTAAACACCATAGAACTGTAGGCATCAAGTAAGTCCTTACCTTATGGCACCTTGCCCATGCATTCGGGCTGCTTTCCACTGGCCACAATAAACATCATCCTTTCCCAGAAGCTGGTTCGGCACACAGAGCTCTCCGAACCTACCAATTAAAACACACGCGCACACGTTATAACCATGCAGAAACACTCACTGACTTATTCCTTGGCTAAGCTTTCATCACACAAGAGTTCAGTCGTCTTGAGTAGATGCACAAAGCTTGTAAACATGCGAGTGATAGCAGAACACAGGTGGGCAAGGGAGGCATAAACCAGACTTGCGTTTCCTATCGCTTCTCGAGTTCAAGTTTCAAGGTTATAGTAGTAGTATAGTAGAAGTATTGTAGAAGTGATCTGATCTGATCTGAGTCCCAGGACAATACAGAGGCTACACGGATGCAAGTTAAACAGTGCTGTCCTCAGCCTGGCGAGATAGCGCCGATAGCCAGGAACGCACTGGGTCCAGGCGTGCGTGCAGTGCAAGAACCCAGGACCTTGGGTTAATTTCCTAGCCGTGGCTAACGAATGTCGAATTATATCTCAATTAGTCCTAGGCCTCCTCTAGGTTGACTTGGCCTTAAATGAGTACTTGGCATGGTGTGTAAACATGATCACTGGGTAAGGTGATCAAGTGTGGTATTTTCTATATTTGAAGTTTTCGTGACTGCAAGGATCCATACTCTTGGTTCTTTCAGTAAAGTCATGTAGGTAAAGAAAATGCAAATAAAATAAAATTAAAATAAATTAAATCACGACGTTTCGGGCGCAACACAAGCGTCCATCATCAGGCGGGGACAACCACAGCAAGAAACAATGGCTGAAGTAGGCAAAGAGAGCTGATTGTGACGAGGGATTATATAGCTGAGGAAGGGGGGGGAGCCAAGGGGAGTGTGGGGGTGGGGCAAGGGTCAGAGGAGAGTGGCAAGCATCATCCAAATGATGAGAGAGGGTGGGGGAGGGGGAACGTGGGTCAGCGTGGAAAGCTGCAGGCTTCCACAAATTGAGCAATCATTGGAAAGATGTCATTAACCAAGTTAAACCTTAGCTGCTTTAAAGTTTACTTTCATATCCGCATCTCCAGTTTCTTAGTCCCAGCCCTACTCACTCCCATCACTTGGAAATTTGCCGTGCATTGTTTAGAGCCTGCAGCTTTCCACTCTAACCCACATTCCCCCCACCCTCTCTCATCATTTGGATGATGTTTGCCACTCTCCTCTGACCCAGGCCCCGCCCCCACACTCCCCTTGGCTCCTCCCCCCTTCCTCAGCTATATAATCCCATGTCATAATCAGCTCTCTTTGCCTACTTCAGAAATTGTTTCTTGCTGTGGTTGTCCCCGCCTGATGACAGACGCTTGTGTTGCGCCTGAAACGTTGTGATTTATTTTATTTTTATTTCATTTTTATTTTCTTTACCTACGTGACTTTACCAAAAGAACCAAGAGTATGGATCCTTTCAGTCACGAAAACGTCTAATATAGAATGAACCACCTCTACGGGGAGGGATTCCACTCATCTGTTAGAGATTTAAACAGACAACGGGACAAGAAATCACAGCTAATCGAACCGCTAACCTTCCTCAACAGATGCCGCGATAACAAGGTAATACCTATTCTTAGTTTTTTCGGTAAAGTCACGTTGAAGAGGAACAACAAAATAATAAAATATATATGCATATATATATAAAATATATTATGCAAACCAACACACCTGAAGATGACCGTTTGAGTTATGGTCGAAACGTCGTGAGAATTTTTTTATTGTTTTATATATATTTTATTATTTTGTTGTTTCTCTTCAACGTGACTTTACCGAAAAAACTAAGAATATGAATTACTGTAGTCACGAAAGCTTTAAATCAAAAGGTAATACCTATCACATTTACACTCATCTGCTGCTTTCACTTCACCGAACGCTAAATGGATTTTGTTTAAAGCTAGCCTATCACTAATCTCAGAGAGAATAAGATTGCTCCAATTTTAACTCGATAATTTAGACACGATTCTCTTACACTCACACTTAACTTTAACAGAAAAAAAATTCCTTCTAATTGGGACCGTGTTGATAACATGACTGTCTCCTCTGCTAATTCATTGTCAACCAAATGTAAAGCTAACTTGATCGCTACATTCAACCTCCTGTCAAAAAATAAGCCAGATCCACATATCAAAAAGTTAGATCTTAACAAGATTGCCATCAATCAGAGTAGCATCCCAATTTATGACAACCTAAAATCGGTACTAGCTAAAGGACTGAATTTCGCAGTTACCCCTAAACCAGGGGTCACCAAACTTTTTTCACAGTGGGCCGGATAACTGAAAGAATGACGAGCGCGGGCCGCATAATAAAAAAATATTTCTGGAGCATCGGACCTGTGTTGACAGCTGGAAAATCTGGGGGCGGGAAAGATGCGTGTTTGTGTGTGTTGCCATGGAAATCATGGTAACGTGTTGCCATGCCATTGCCATGGAAACCATGGTAACGTCAGAGCGTAGGCGGAGCTACCACGAGCCGGGGAAGTGCTTGGGATGGCGCGAAATAAGCAAACATTACAATAAACAAGAAAATCTAGATACAATAATTTAAAATTTTAAATAGTAAATTTAAGGAACATAGCAGTCAGGAGGTCTCCGCACGCGTGAAGATCTCATAGTATTCTAAACATATTTAAATTGAAATTGTATCACAACGTCTCGTGTTCCATACGTTTTATCAACCAAATTCAAGTACCGTCAGCGGGCCTGATGGACTGACGTCGCGGGCCGGATCCGGCCCGCGGGCCGTAGTTTGGTGACCCCTGCCCTAAACATATCCCAGTGGATGATATAATCTCCCAGGTCGATGTAGCACTCAAAGAGGCCTGGGACACATCCAGACAGACGTTGCTAGAGCTGAAATTGCCACTATCCTCAAATATGCTAAGAAACCCATTATCAACATCAGCAAAGACGAGCGCTCTGAACTCGCAAATTTGAAAAAGAGGGATGACATAGTCATCCTCTCGGCCGACAAGGGCAATGCTACTGTCATCATGGATAAAACCACATACAACAACAAAATCCAGTACCTTCTCAATGATGGTAGCTACTCCAAAATCAATAAAGATCCTACTAACAGCCTAGCCACAAAAACCAACAATATCATTACCAGTTCGACTTCCCTAATCGAACCAGTCAAACGGCTCTCCCCAAAACCTTCGGCTGCTAGACCAACCAGATTCTATGGTCTTCCCAAGATCCATAAAAAGGCACTTCACTTCGGCCCATCGTGTCCACGATCAACTCACCTACCGTAACTACAAGCTGGCCCTTTTTCTGTCTGATACCTTGCTTCCTTTCACTGGCAAGAATACCTCAGTAGTACTTAACTCAGCTCACTTGGTTTCTCTAATCAAGGATATTTCACTGTCCCCAGATGATTTCGTCAGCTTTGATGTGGTTTCTCTGTTCACCAAGGTTCCAGTGCCTGACACCATAGCAATAATTGAAGACTTGGTCCAACATGGACTAAACCCTGATGTTCCTGCTCTGGTTAGGCACTGCCTTACCAACACATACGTCACCTGGAATGGTACTTTCTACAAACAAAATGAGGGTACCCCCATGGGTTCCCCATTGTCACCAGTGGTAGCGAATGTTTTCATGGAGAAATTTGAAACAGACGCCATCCAGACATCCACCCTACATCCTTCCCTGTGGAAGAGACATGTGGATGACACTTTGGTCATTTGGCCACATGGCTTTCCAGCATTGAACCAGTTTCTCGACCACATTAACTCCATACACCCATCCATCAATTTCACCATGGAAGTGGAAAAGGATGGCAAGCTACCATTCCTGGATGTTTTGTTTGAGAGGAGGCCTGATGGCTCTTTGGGACACTGTCTACTGGAAAGCCACCCACACAGATTCCTATCTGAAACCTGATTCCCACCACCATCCGGCACAGAAGAATTCCCTCATCAAAACACTACACCATAGGGCCCATTGCATTTCTGACCAACACCACCTAGCCAGTGAATTGGAACATGTACACCGGGCCCTTAAGATGAATGGATATCCGGACTGTATTATCCGCAAAGCTGTTTCTCAAACCATGGAGAAACCCCCTGAGACTCCGATCAAAACCATCACGTTACCATACATAGCAGGCGTTACCAAAAATATTTCCAAAATCTTAAACGAACACAAGATCCAGGTCCAATTCAGTACAGTACACAAAATCCGTTATCTAATCCCATCCGTAAAGGATGTCATTCCTGACATGCAATACCCTGGAGTCTACAAACTGAGTTGCATTTGTGGTGATTGTTACATTGGGGAAACGAAACGACATATATCAGACCGTATTCGCGAGCACAAGACAGATTTGAAACACGGCAGGACTAACTCTTCCACCGTGGCTGATCACTGCTACAACGCTGTGGGCTCTCATAATATTGTTTTCTGGAGACCAAAGTGCTCTGCAAACCGTCTGGCTACCATCAAAGATTTGTTCATGAAGCCATCCAGATATACACACATAGATATAACTTCAATTGAGAAGATGGATACAAATTGAGCAATCATTGGAAGGATGTTATTAACCAAGTTAAACCTTAGCTGCTTTATAGTTTACTTTCATATCCGCATCTCCAGTTTCTTACTTCCAGCCCTGCTCACTCCCATCACTTGAAAATTTGCCGTGCATTGTTTCGAGCCTGTAGCTTTCCACTCTGACCCACGTTCCCCCCACCCTCTCTCATCATTTGGATGATGTTTGCCACTCTCCTCTGACCCAGGCCCCGCCCCCACACTCCCCTTGGCTCCTCCCCCCTTTCTCAGCTATATAATCCCTTGTCATAATCAGCACTCTTTGCCTACTTCAGCAATTGTTTCTTGCTGTGGTTGTCCCCGCCTGATGACGGACGCTTGTGTTGCGCCCAAAACGTCGTGATTTAATTTATTTTTATTTTATTTTTATTTACCTACGTGACTTTACTGAAAGAACCAAGAGTAAGTGGTACTGGCCCGCCAATACCCGCCCCCCATGTGCTGTGCTCACCTGCCCCAGAGGAGACAGCGACACGCGGGGGGTGATGACCCCCGCGTGGTTTGAGAGCATTATGGTGACGAAGGGTCACATGGTACACTCACCCATCCTCCAGGCCATTGCGGAATACGCCGACATACACTCGTCCATCGAGCCACTTGAGCACTCCCCTAAAACACAATTATCATAATATTTAGTACATTCGTAATTTGCTGTGTTGAGACCCGGACGATGCTAGCGCACGTCTGTAATCCAGCACACAAATATTGAGAAACCCCCTTCCCGTGGGTGTTGAGAGACCATACCCTGGCTTGCTTCGAAAAGGCAGTGCACCAAAGTGCGGATTCATATCATCTGTCGCTTCTGTATAGGATAGAGTGTTGCCCCCTCGCAAGTGCAGATTTTTTGTGGGTGCTCTGGTTTCCTCCCACATGTAAACACTCATTCATTGGTTGAAAACATCTAAATAGATAGAAGACTGCAGAGCTCTTGGGCTGCTGCCAGCTCGCTGCCTAGCTGCTTTCCAGTTTGTCTGTGGTCCATCATGTGATTTGCATAAACTACGCTATAAGATGTGATTTGCATAAACTACGCTATATAAAACTACGCATTATTTTTGCGTTTCACAGTCTGTAGTAGTTTTACAGTGGCTACGTGTAATCCCAATTGAGGAATCTTCCGTATATTTTTTTAATTTGGCAAATTTGCAACCACGAGGTCGCCACGCAATGGCCCACTATGAAGCAGTCCGTGGTGGCGGGGGGGGGGACACGCACCGGCCATGTGGCTTGCCGCACACCCAGGCACCCTCATAGGTGGCGTGCTTGAGCCGCACGTCACGGTAGAAGGTGTGCACGGCAGTGCGCGCAGCAGGAGGCGCCCCCCCCCACCCGTGGTGGGGTGGGGTGCCCAGGACCAGCGCTGTGCCCCCCTTATGCATCCACCCATCCGCGCTGGAGAGCGCGCGCTCGATCGTGTCGTTCAGCGCCCACAGCCATTCCGTCTTCACTCGCACAAAGACACAGACAAAGATCCCTCGTATGGCCTTAACAGACCGTTGGGGGCAAGTGCTATTAGCGAGCACCTATGAAGGCCGGCACGGCACACTAGGTTTGAGGCCAGCACCACCCTTGGCCACCTTTATCTCCCCAGTGGCGATGTTTACCCACCACACTAGGGACTGTTTTGAGGCTGAGTCAACCTACAGGAGGCCCAGGACTGGTTCAGATATTTGTCACTGATGTTGGCTGTGAGTAGGAATCAAACTCAGGTTGCCTGGTTCGTAGCACAGTCGTCTAACCACCATTCCCCCCACACACACACAGCCATTGAGCTCCTGCCAGGAAGTAATCTCAGCTGTGTGATACACGCTTTCACTCTCAAACTCACGAGATCGCAAATAAATGACGGCTTAAAACAATAACGAGCATAGTTTCGTTCACTCGGAGAAAGAGGGAATGACTCGGAGGCGTGGGAAACCACAAAGCGGGAAGGCAGCCAGAATTGGCGCCACCAATTGCCTAAGCTCTGTAGCCCAATAAGATATTTGGCCAACTCCATGAATGGATGTTTATACATGTGGCAGGAATAGAGAAGGCCAGGTTTTTATGGGCTACACGAACCACTTTATAGAGTAGAATTATCAACGTTCGTATTGAGAGGCATTGATGAATGGGCTTTGCCGTAAACCAATGGAGCTGTGGTGACTTTGTGTTTAGTTTGTTGTCCTTACCCCACACCTGGTTGGCTACGATGAGGTGCGAAAAAGTTAATAATTCACATATACATACATTGGTGATTGACTGTTTGTGGTCAATGCTTCCCAACCGCCTATGCTGACTGTTGACGTTTGATAACATTTTCAGGATTTCCCCCATTACCTCGACTGGCCTCATCCAGTCACTTTCCTTACCTAAAGTTATATTGGATGTTTTATACATTCATAATTGTAAGTGCTATATATTTATATGTCTCCCCGCCGAGCCTTATTCACAATGTACCAGATTCATTTATTGTCAAATCTAGTCTACACCCATTCAATTAAAATATGTAAAAAAATCACGTTCTTAAATTGTTCTTGATGTGACCCAGGTCGCCTTTGCAAGAGGCGATGCTGCTCCATACGTCTCAACGGGTTCATTTAATCTCTTGGTTATACAAAAGACACAATAATGAGCAGTGTTCGAGGCAGGGGTGATGCTGTTAATAGACAGCTAAGACAGTTCCACTTTCAGAAACTGCAAAACTAACATATGTCTTTCAAGTATAAAAACACGTGGAGGATATAAAAGATTTCATGACAGGATAGGGCAAGTAACTTTAGAGAATGTAAATGTGCGCTCTCTAGAATGTGGTCCATCTGGCATGAGAGGAAACCCTCGGGGCCTTACCTTGCCCTTGGCATCTGGTGTGACGAGCAAGAGCTGCTCCTCCGGTGTGATTATCCTCAGCGTGTGTCTACAAAAACAGCGAAGTAGCGCTCGTCACTCGCGTGTTCTTCACAATTAGACTGAAAGTTGTGACGTGGAGCTGTGTGGCATTCCCTCGCTCTCGGAGACAGACAACGACTCGGAGGCACGAGGATCTACAAGGCAAGGGGGGAGGCAGCCGATAGGCGGTGAGCCGGTGCCAAATTTGTTCCCAAGCTCTGCCGTCCTCTACATATTAAGGTGCTAGCGGCCAATTAATGACTGTTTTTATACACGTGGGAAGAAACGGGCGCGCCCGGAGAAACCCCCACGCGTGCGAGGGGGTAGCACTTTATCCGACACAGATGGAACAAGTGGAAATTAGTCCACACTTTGGTGTGCCGCCATCTCCTGGCAAGCCAGGGTATGCCACCTTAGTGCCGGAGGGAAGGAAGTTTTGCAACATGTGTTTGATCTGCAAACCCTCACATACTCCACCATGCGGATTTAAGGCACGTGTAGCCACCACCAGGCCCTGCAGTGTTGGGGCAAATTTTAAATTAAATGGAACATTTTGAGTTGATAAGTTCGGCTACCAAAAGCCAAATTTCACGTGAAATACGGTCTGTTCTCCTATAACATGGTGGTAGTTGCGTTCCTGAAGAACACCGCCTCATGGATAAAATCGCGTAATAATAAAAAACATATCACATAGGGTAAAGCACAGTCCGCGATAACACGTGAGATGCGTACGCAAACGTAACAGACTGAGGCGCATAGGTAGCATCTAGAATTTTCCAGCAGCATCCCACCTTGTACGATGCTATGCCAAGGCAGCCGTACAACCGCGCGACATAGTTCTGTTCACTCGATCACATTATATTCAATTCGCATCCGCGTTATAAAAAAAAAAGCATTGCCACATACATTTGTAGTGTCAACGATTCAGAGTCAGAGTTTCTAGGAGGCACCTTCGTTATTAACACCTTTCACGATCTCGTCCACAAACTCTCCACAATTACTTCACCGAGGCTGTACACAACCCAAACTGTCAAACTCTGACAGCACTGACGGAGATAGCGAACAACTTCCAGAACTGGCAGCCCTGAAGCTCCCGCTCTCAGCTCCTTTTATGCAGCCAGCGCTGCCTGACTGCGCCCTGACCGCGCCTCTCTTCTCGAACCCGCTACCAGGTTCCAGGGGCCTCCAGATGGGGTCCTCCGTGACCCTTAACCTTGCTCCCCTGCTCTGCCAACACACCCGTGCTCACGCTCACCGGCATGTGTATTGTCTGTCCACCACAGCTGCCGCTGCTGTCCAACAGCCGGCGCTATTACACTACACATTCATCGCGTTGTATCCAATTAGCGTTATGAAAACATGCGACGTTATAGGAAAACAGAATATACAATCAAAGTTTACACAGAACCACTACGTTACAGCAAACGTATCCATACAAATAAAATATGACCATGACATCATAATTACACTACAAAGACGCATCCAATAGACGGACATTAGTATCTTATATTATTGTCATTACTCATACTCTTGCTTACCTACGGAAGCCTCACGGAGTCTCAAGATTTTTCTAACAGGGTCCTGCCAAGTTGTGTATGCTGTGTTTAATCCCATTTGAGAAATTTGCAGGCTGTTTTTTAGCATTGGTATGTTTTGGCCAATAGCAGTGACAATTTTTTTTTTTTAGCTATGGGAGGAAACCAGACAACCCAGAGGAAACACATGGAGAACAAACACCATACACTCACTAATATTGACACATGCACACTGTATCACACACTCACTCTCACTCAGCGGAACAGGGCAGAGAACATACAAACGAGTCAGGAATCAAAACCAGGCACTTCTCGCTGCGAGTCATGAATGTTACCACTGCACCACCCTACCGGCTTAATTCATGTCTTTGTAAACATGGGAGGAACCCGGCAAAACCTACAGAAAACAGAGAGAGACCTACAAAATCCACCTAGAGGGGCCCGAGGTCCAGAATCGAACCCAGGCTACTCACCTCGTGGCGTCTTCGTCAGAGAACAGCTCGGCCCACACGGTGCTGAGTGGGAACACCTGATGGCTGGAGAACTGCAAAGCTCAACACACACACACAGATCCCCCATGTAGCCTACACAGGCTGTTGGGGCAAGTGTTGTTAGCGAGCACCTCTGAAGGTCAGCCCAGCGCACAAGGGGATAGTGCGGTCAGAAGACGCCTTTTCTCTCCAGTGCTGATGCTTTTCTATACCGCACTAAGTAATAATTTTAAGGCCAAGTTGACATCGGAGAGGCCCATTACTAGTTTATATATCTGCCACTGATGTTAGCTGTGAGCAGGAATCGAACTCAGGTAGCCAGCTACGTAGCACTGTGCGCTATACACTATGCCACCAATACCATGACACACGCAGCATAACAAACTACATCGAAACTGACAAGCAAATCATCTGGAGACAGTGAGATGTCCTTGATTAGAGAAACCAAGTGAGTTAAGTACAGCTGTGGTGGACTTGCCCGTGAAAGGAAGCAGGGTCTCAGACAGAAATCTGTCCAGTTTGTAGGTGGTGGGAAATCGGGCCATTTAACTCAGGAAAGCCACCCACACGGATGCCTATCTAAAGCCTGACTCCCACCACCATCCAGCCCAGAATAATTCCCTCATAAAAACACTACACCATAGGGCGCATTGCATCTCCGACCAGCACCACCTAGCTAGTGAGTTGGGGTACGTACACCAAGCCCTCAGGATGAACGGATACTCGGACCGTACAATCCGCAAAGCTGCCTACCCAGCCATGGGGAGACAACCCTCTGAGGATCCAACCAAAACCATCACTTTACCATACATAGCAGGGGTTACCAAAAAGATTTCTAAAATCTTAAACAAACACAAGATCCAGATTAGTTTCAACACAGTACACACAATCCGTGATTTGATCCCATCTGTAAAGGATGTGATTCCTGACATGCAATACCCTGGTGTCTACAAACTGAATTGTGGTTGTGGCAGCAGTTACATTGGGGAAATGAAACATGTCTCGGACCGTGTTCGTGAAAACAAGGCAGATCTGAAATACGGTAGGACCAATACCTCTGCCGTTGCTGATCATCATTTTAACGCTGTGGGCTCACACGAACTTGATTTTTCCAAGACGTAGGTACTCTGCAAACCTACCAGCTACCTTCAGAGATTTGTTCATGAAGCCATCCAGATATATAAACACAGACACAACCGAGAAGATGGGTACAAACTGAGCAATCATTGGAATGACGTTATTAACCAGGTAAAGTCTTAACTGACTAATGTTTCTATCCTACCTGCCTATGTCAGCTGTTATTTCCGACTCTCTGTCTCTCTCTCTCTCTCTATGCCTCTCTCTTAGATCTCTCACATGTCCTTTGGATTGCACTCTCATGCTCACATGTCCTTTGGATTGCACTCTCATGCTCACATGTCCTTTGGATTGCACTCTCATGCTCACATGTCCTTTGGATTGCACTTTCATGCTCACATGTCCTTTGGATTGCACTCTCATGTTCACGTCCTTTGGATTGCACTCTCATGGTGCTAATCTCTCATTGTGCGCATATGCGGGCATGATACTCTTATGCGGCGACGGAAGTTCATTCATGCTAATCTCCCTCCCTATCTCCCCCATTAACACAACTGACGTGCTTGCGGCCGTGCATGGAATTCCTTTCCAGCTCAGACCCCGCTTGCTTGCCCATTGCCACATATATAACCTTTTGTTGTAGTTGTTCTCTCGCTGGTTCAGCAGTTCCACTGCTGGATTATTTTTTCTGCCTGAGGACGACCGCTTGTGTTGCGATCGAAACGTTGTGATTTATTTTATTTTATACCTACGTGACTTTACCGAAAGAACCAAAGAGTACGATTTAGATAGCTGGCGGATGCACCACCTGTGCTCTCCAATGCGCCGCCTCGCTGTGTTTTAGCCGCCCATTGCTCCACTCGTTGTTGTCGCTCCTCCGGCCCTCCATTATTCTCCGAGGTCTCAACACTTTTCTCCGCGCTTCTTCCCTCGCACCGCTTCACCTTCGAATTCCCTTCCATCATCCATTTTTACCCAAGCTTTTGTAATAACCTTGCACGATTCAATAAACCTGTTACACTATTTATCCATTGCTACTTTGATGAATGCCATTGGCTTCTGGCCACTTGACAGGTTTGGCCTTCGCGCCTGTGCTCAGCAAACGTGTAGAATATCCTCGCATGTGCACGTCGCCTGCTCGGCGAGCCTCCTGCTGCTTCGCTGGCAGGGGCCCACACGCGGCACGAGGTGCACGGCCCCCCCGCTACGCCCCGATGCTCGCACCGGTCCCACCCCGGGGTCACCTGGGCGTGGATGAAGGCATCGTTGAACAGGATGAACCAGTGGAAAGAGAAGCGAGCCGTGTGGTGCAGGGCGAGCGGACAGCTGCGCGACTCCCGCACCAAGCGCCTCTCCGGCCTGCGCAGAGATTCCTGCAAGGTCCAGCCCACACAGACGCCAGGGTGCGCACGTCAACGAGACGCTCACAGTTGTGCCCAAGCGTGGTGATGCGTGTGCAGCGCTAGTCACGCGCTTCTACTTGCTCAAAATATACGCTATTCAGTCAAGCTCCTCTTATCTTATTATCTATGTTCCTGAATCAACCGTGGACCTTCCTGTTACCAAGATGCATTTTAAAGAGTATTTTTCATTATTACTACTAGAGATATTAAGATGTTAGAACACCAAACAAAAACCTTTTGCAAGGAATCTGTTTGGTATTTTAACATCTGAACACCTGTTTTATTGCCAGAAAGGGTAAAACCAATTCTTAACTATTGATACTGGAAAGAAAAGTCTCATGATATACCACTAGACTTGTTGATCCAAGAAAGGTTCACTGGAGTCTCAAGACTCTTTTTCAGGAACCTCGGAGGAACACATTCTTGACTAGATTCTTTCCAAACCTATGATTATTTAGACATTACTCAGTCCAAAAGCCAACCGCCACTATGCCGCGCACTTGAGCATGCGAGCGAGTACACGAGCACACAACAACACGAACGGTGTGCGAGCGAGCGAGTGGCCGTTAGACTTGCCGTGAGCTTGGAAGAGCAGGCCGCCCAGAAGAGCCGTGTGCGGTCGGCCGCGGCGCGCTCACGAGCCAGCGACGCGGCAAGCGCGGCCCAGCAGCTGGAGACCTTGTGCAGGCTCTGCCACTCAGTGCTCCCCTACACAAAATCAGAATATTTATTTAGACTGGAGGAGTAATCCGATGATCTGTAAAGCTATTTTTCACAGATTTCCGATGGGGGGAAGGTCAGAATGTTTCAACAAATGATACAAAAATACAATAGGAGTGCAAATTATAGGCAAAGTAAAGAAATCACTTTAAAAATATATACAAATAAAACAGATTTTTTAAATCTTACTTTTAATCTTACTAGATAAGGCCCACTGAGCAATGTAAGTGATCTGGCCACAAATGATAGCTCAACGAAGTGGCTTATCATGGGGAAATCCACACCACCAAATTAGTCGAAACAATCTGTAGAAAAACCGGGGGAACTGGAGAAAAAAATCCAGGCGACCACGGGGAGAACATGGAAACCCCAAATATACAGGTGTCAGGGTCGGAATCAAACACATGACTTTTTACATACCAAGCAAGGAATATAACATCACACCTCCATGGCACCCCTTAAAACAAACAATAAAAACATCTTCAAATTGCATTCGTGCATCAATTCCCAAGCTAGAGAAAAGCAATAAAACAGCAAAAACAGGTCCGGACCGCAGCAAGATAACACACAGTCCCTCAATAAAATTGTACATTAAAATGTAACTCTTGATACATTCAATCTTGATTTGACGCTTTCGTGACTGCAGGAAACCATAGTCATTGGTTCTTTTGGTAAAGTCACATAGGTAGAAAAAATAATAGATCACGACGTTTCGATCACAACGCAAGCAGTCATCATCAGGCAGAAGAAAGATTGCTTGCATTGCGATCGAAACGTCGTGATTTATTATTTTTTCTACCTATGTGAGTTTACCGAAACAATCAAAGAGTCTTGATACATTGTTAAGAATCAAATTTTTAAAAATCACATTGGCAAATGTGGCTGTATCCAGCAAGAATCTGGATGAAGGCGTCATTGAAAATGAGAACCAGACAAAGACCCCCATATATCCTTTAATAAACAGATGGAACAATTTCTGTTAGCGAGTAGCACCTATGACAACCAGTACAGTGGCACGAGAGGGTGGGTGGCCAGCACCACACCCGGCCGCTTTTGTCTCCTCAGTGGCAATGTTTTTACACACTGTTCCAGGTTCTCATTTGAGGCCTAGTCGACCTAGTAGAGGCCCAGGACCAGTTCAGATAATTGTCATTGGTGTTAGCCGTGAGTGGGAATCAAACTAGCATTGCTGTGTTTGTTTGTACATATGTATGTTGTTCTTCTTTCGCACGGTACAAAACTCGCCGTACTAATCGAATGTACAATTAGCAAAGTAGCGCAGCTCGCTAACCACTGCACCACCGCTCCCTGCGCACACATACACACACGAGCAGCCTCAGCACAACAAGCACGGAAGACAGCGTTTAGCAGCACTAGTCCAACGTAAGCAAACTCTGGATCAGTTTTGATATTCAGTGTCTCATCAGCAGTCTGGCTGAGAGACTGTGGTCAACTAATTTTACAGACCAACAGTTTATCAGGTCAAACATACTAAGTAGTATTTGTGGTAACACGAATCCATTTCTTTAATGTCATAAACAATGTATTCATCCGTTAATAATAATCAACATTGTTGTGTTTTATATAGATATGCATAAAATTAGGACCCCTATCTCACAGAAAGGGTCCTTACCTGTAAACTTTGGTAGTTCATCAGTATTGGTTCAAGCAAGCCTGACTGCTTATGAGACAATGAATGTCAAAACTGGTCCAGAGTTTGCTTGCCATGGACCAATGATGCTGAAATTCTGCACTCCCAAAAGGCAGTGTGGCTGGTGGTAAGTGTACAAATACTTCTATTTGTTACGTCTAAGGACAAACATGTACAGTGGGGGCAAGGCAGTGCATATACTGTTCATCACCCACAAGATGGCGCCGATGATGGCAGCCTCGGCCGGTTGGTCGGCCGGTTGGTGCGCCCTGTTTTGTCCAGTTTTGTCTTGAGAGGGGCCTGCTGTTCAACACACCCGTGCTGGTGAGAGAGGCCTGCTGTTCATCACACCCGTGCTGGTGAGAGAGGCCTGCTGTTGAGGGGCCTGCTGTTCATCACACCCGTGCTGGTGAGAGAGGCCTGCTGTTCAGCACACCCGTGTTGAGGGGCCTGCTGTTCAGCACACCCTTGCTGGTGAGAGAGGCCTGCTGTTGAGAGGCCTGCTGTTCAGCACACCCGTGCTGGTGAGAGGGGCCTGCTGTTCAGCACACCCGTGCTGGTGAGAGGGGCCTGCTGTTCATCACATCCGTGTTGGTGAGAGAGGCCTGCTTTTCAGCACACCCGTGCTGGTGAGAGGGGCCTGCTGTTCAGCACACCCGTGCTGGTGAGAGGGGCCTGCTTTTCAGCACACCCGTGCTGGTGAGAGGGGCCTGCTGTTCAGCACACCCGTGCTGGTGAGAGAGGCCTGCTGTTCAGCACACCCGTGTTGAGGGGCCTGCTGTTCAGCACACCCGTGCTGGTGAGAGGGGCCTGGTGTTCATCACATCCGTGTTGGTGAGAGAGGCCTGCTGATCAGCACACCCGTGCTGGTGAGAGAGGCCTGCTGTTCAGCACACCCGTGTTGAGGGGCCTGCTGTTCAGCACACCCGTGCTGGTGAGAGGGGCCTGCTGTTGAGGGGCCTGTTGTTCAGCACACTTGCGCTGGAGAGAGAGGCCTGCTGTTGAGGGGCCTGCTGTTCAGCACACCCGTGCTAGTGAGAGAGGCCTGCTGTTCAGCACACCCGTGTTGAGGGGCCTACTGTTCAGCACACCTGTGCTGGTGAGAGGGGCCTGCTGTTCAGCACACCCGTGCTGGTGAGAGGGGCCTGCTGTTCAGCACACCTGTGCTGGTGAGAGGGGCCTGCTGTTCAACACACCCGTGCTGGTGAGAGGGGCCTGCTGTTCAACACACCCGTGCTGGTGAGATGGGCCTGCTGTTCAGCACACCCGTGCTGGTGAGAGAGGCCTACTGTTCATGACACCCGTGCTGGTGAGAGGGGCCTGCTGTTCATCACACCCGTGTGGTGAGAGGGGCCTGCTGTTCAGCACACCCATGCTGGTGAGAGGGGCCTGCTGTTCAACACACCCGTGCTGGTGAGAGAGGCCTACTATTCATCACACCCGTGCTGATGAGAGGGACGTGCTGTTCATCACACCCGTGTTGGTGAGAGGGGCCTGCTGTTCACCACTCCCGTGCTGGTGAGAGAGGCCTACTGTTCATCACACCCGTGCTGGTGAGAGGAGCCTACTGTTCAACACACCAGTGCTGGTGAGAGAGTCCTACTGTTCAGCACACCCGTGCTGGTGCGAAGATGGCGCCGATGATGGTAGCCTCAGCCGGTCGGTGCGCCCTGTTTTGTCTTGTTTTGTCTGTCAATTCAGTGTTTTGCCAAGATTTTTGGAGTTCTCTAACAAGAGACGAACTTTTAAATATCAGGGAAACAACTCCTGTGGATTTCATTCCTATTTTTCTGCTTCCAGCGGCAGAATTAGTAGGCATTCTAGTCAATGCCGCGCTAGGCTTTGCTCAAGCAGCGAAACGCCGCCCAAGGGGTAAACGGTCGGGGGCTCTAGTACGGCTACGCAGACGCGGGATCCGAACAGTGCTTCCGAACTTTTTCTTCTCCAACGTACGTTCACTGTACAACAAAATGGATGAACTTCAGCTACTGATGGTAAAAAACAAAGACTTTCTTTCAGCTTCTGTTTTGTGCTTCACGGAAACATGGCTGTGTGATTTGATTCCGGACACTTCGCTACAACTAGCAGGATTCCATCTTGTAAGATCGGATCGTGACATAGCACTCTCCGGCAAGACGAAAGGCGGTGGTATTTGTTTTTACATTAACAGTGGCTGGTGTGTAGATTTTGATTTAAAGCTTTCGTGACTGCAGTAATTCATATTCTTAGTTTTTTCGGTAAAGTCACGTTGAAGAGAAACAACAAAATAACAAAATATATAAAACAATAAAAAATTCTCACGACGTTTCGACCATAACTCAAACACCTGATGATGACCGTTTGAGTTATGGTCGAAACGTCGTGAGAATTGTTTATTGTTTTATATATTTTGTTATTTTGTTGTTTCTCTTCAACGTGACTTTACCGAAAAAACTAAGAATATGGTGTGTAGATGTCACAGTGATTCTGCAACATTGTTCTCCACTCCTTGAATCAATTTTTATAACCTGTAAACCGTTTTACTCGCCTCGCGAGTTCGCGTCGCTCATTTTGGTCAGAGTTTATTTGCTGCCTTGTCCTCAGGTTAAAGAGGGCCAACGCATGCTCGCCGATCAGATTCTGAGTGTGGAGCGAGCAAATCCAGATTCGTTGGTTATCGTACTTGGCGACTTTAACAAAGGTAATCTCAGCCACGAACTCCCCAAATACATACAATTCATTAAATGCGCAACCAGAGAAGGGAACACTCTGGATCACTGCTACACTACAGTCAGTAGAGCCTACCACGCCGTCCCCCGAGCAGCACTAGGACACTCTGACCATGCCATGGTCCACCTGATTCCTGCATACAGGCAGAAACTAAAACTCTGTAAACCTGCTGTGAGGACATCTAAACAGTGGACCAGTGAGGCTGTGGAAGATTTGCGGGCGTGCTTAGACTGTACTGACTGGGATATGTTCACGACTGCTACCAATAGTCTGGATGAACTCACAGAGGCTGTGACGTCCTACATCAGCTTCTGTGAGGACTGCTGTATCCCAACACGTACCAGGGTGAACTTTAACAACAATAAGCCCTGGTTCTCAGCAAAGCTCAGAAGGTTGAGGTTGGAGAAGGAGGAAGCGTTTAGGAGTGGGGATAGAGACAGATTCAAGGAGTTGAAGAACAGGTTTAGCAAAGCGGTGAGAGAGGCTAAAGGACTGTACTCAGAGAGACTAAAACACCAGTTCTCTACTAACGACGCTGCTTCTGTCTGGAGAGGGCTCAGGCAGATCACCAACTACAAACCCAGAGCCCCCCACACCACTAACGACTCCCGCCTAGCCAACGACCTGAACGAGTTCTACTGTAGATTTGAAAGACAATTGGACTGTCCTGAACCACCCCTTCCCACCAAAGAGACCCCACCCCCCACCCATACTACAGAGACGATTCTCCCCTTTCAGGAGGGAGAAGTTAATAGACTTTTCAAGAGGCAGGATCCACGCAAAGCAGCCGGGCCGGACTTTGTCTCTCCAGCCACCCTCAGGCACTGCGCTGACCAGCTGTCTCCGGTGTTCACCAACATCTTTAACACCTCCCTGGAGACATGCCATGTACCAGCCTGTCTCAAGTCCTCCACCATCATCCCTGTGCCCAAAAAGCTAAGGCCAACAGGACTAAATGATTACAGACCGGTCGCCCTTACATCTGTGGTAATGAAGTCTTTTGAGCGCCTGGTCCTGGCACACCTCAAAGCCATCACAGACCCTCTCCTGGACCCCCTTCAGTTTGCCTACAGAGCCAACAGGTCTGTGGACGACACAGTTAACATGGCCCTCCACTTCACCCTACAGCATCTGGACGCCCCAGCATCCTACGCCAGGATCCTGTTTGTGGTCTTCAGCTCTGCCTTCAACACCATCATCCCTGCCCTGCTTCAAGACAAGCTCTTCCAGCTGAACGTGCCCTACACCACCTGTAAATGGATCACAGACTTCCTGTCTGACAGGAAGCAGTGCGTTAAGCTGGGAACACAAATCTCTGACTCCAGGTCCATCAGCACCGGAACTCCTCAGGGCTGCGTCCTTTCCCCACTGCTCTTGTCGCTGTATACCAACAGCTGCACCTCCAATCATCTGTCCGTCAAACTCTTGAAGTTTGCGGACGACACCACCCTCATTGGGCTGATCTCTGGTGGGGATGAGTCTGACTATAGGTGGGAAGCTGACAACCTGGTGACCTGGTGTAGCCAGAACAACTTAGAGCTAAATGCTCTAAAGACAGTTGAGATGGTTGTGGACTTCAGGAAGAATACAGCCCCCCTCACCCCCATCACCCTGTTAGACTCCCCAGTCAAAATTGTAGAGTCCTTCCGCTTCCTGGGCACAATTCTCTCCCAGGACCTCAAGTGGGAACTGAACATCAGCTCCCTCACCAAGAGAGCTCAACAGAGGATGTACTTTCTATGGCAGCTGAAGAAATTCAACCTGCCAAAGACAATGATGGTGCAATTCTATACAGCGATCATTGAATCCATCCTCACCTCCTCCATAACCGTCTGGTACGCTGCTGCCACTGCCAAGGACAAGAGCAGACTGCAGCGTATCATCCACACTGCTGAGAAGGTAATTGCCTGCAATCTACCAACCCTCGAGGACCTGCACACGACAAGGACCATGAGGCGAGCGAAGAAGATTATGGCCGATTCCTCCCACCCTGGACACTCTCTGTTTCAGCTACTCCCCTCCGGCAGAAGGCTTCGGTCCATCAGGACCAAAACCTCACGCCATAAAAACAGTTTCTTCCCATCTGCTGCTGGCCTGTTAAACAAGGCCAAGGGCTTACACTGATTTTAACATTTTATCTACATAATGACACCTTGCCGATATTAACTATGTTAACCTATTTGTATTTTTTTATTTTTTAATTATATCTTAAAGCTATTTTATATTCGATATTTATTCAATTTTATATACTTCAGCCCCTTGGTGTTAGACTTTTAACCCTTATTATTATAGTAAGACTTGTTTAAAACTTATTTAAGATTTTAGATTCCTATATGTTGAATGTATGCACCATCCTGCCAAAGTAAATTCCGTGTCGGTGTGAACTTTCATGGCGAATAAAACCCTTTCTGATTCTGATGTGAACGAGTTGTTTTATGTGCTTATTCTGTTATGAATTGATTGTAAAGTTTATGTTTTATAATATTACTACTATGCCTGTTCACACAAGAGGCCTCACTGAGTCTTAAGACTCTTTTTCAGAAGGGTCCTGCCAAGTTTTCTGCAGTATGGGGCGACATTGCTGCTGCTTTGTGTAATCCCAACTGAGTAGCTTGCAGATAATCTTTCAGCATTTCGATGTTTGGTCAACCCAGGGGAAACCAATGCATGGAGGCGAGATGTTAACTCCCTCACCTAGTATACAGGAGGTCGTGGGTTCGATCTCGACCCCGACGCCTGTATATTTGGAGTTTGCATGTCTCTCCCCCCGTGGTCGTATGGATTTTTTTCCGGGTCCTCCGCTTTTTCCCTCCACATTTAGAAATAAGCATTCAGAATATTTGGCTGCTAGAAATATCCATGCGATAAGCCACTTCGTTGAGCTATAATTTGTGGCCAGGTGACTACCGAAATAGAGCTATGAAGCTCAGTTGGACCTTACCTGGTAAAATTAATTCGAAATAATATGAAGTAGAAATAAAAAAGGGAGACTATACAAACTCCACCCAGAAAGTTGTCGGAATTAGGAATCAAACCCCAGGCCCTTGTTGCTGTGAGGCACGAGTGATGCCACTTGCGCTATCCTACCACCCAGATGATCGTAATAACGTGTGGTTGGATAGAAGCGCTCCGTCACAGGCTCATGCCTCACCCCAGGGAAGCTGCCACACATCTGCTTGGTGAGCCTCGCGTACTCCTGGGCTCTGTCTCCCGGCCGCGAGAGAAGCCGCAGCAGCCCGTCGGCCAACGATGCCTCATCCGCTCGCCCATTCGCTTGTCCTTCCGCCGACTGTTTGAGTGCTTGCAAACCAACTTTTAGGCACTCCCTGCAGGAAAAAACAATACAGTGCAAGCAGACTCATTTAGATCGGACAGGGGTGGCTATGCACGCCTCTAATCCAACACTGGTGGGCGCAAGGATTGATATATCACACACATTGTGTTAAACTTCCTTCTCGTGGACATCAATGAGCCGTAGCCCTGGTTCGCCAGCAGTTGGTGGTACAGCAAGGTGGACTAATTTCCATCTGTTCCATCTGCTGGGGATAGAGTGTTGCCTCCTCGAGAGTGTGGGTTTTCTTCAGGTGCTCCAGTTTCCTCCCACACGTATAAACCACTCATTAATTGGTCAATAACACCTCAACAGGTAGAGGACAGCAGAGTTTGGGGGTGAATTTGTCGCTGGCTCACCACTTGGCTGCTGCCTTCCCCACGCCTCCGAGTCATGCTCTCTCTTTGAGAGCGAGCTAATGTTGTGCAGTATATTACAAGATAAAATTATTTTTCATTAATTGCACACAGGCTCTAAGACTTTGGTTCCCAGCCTGGGCACTGCAAGGTATTCTGTGTAATAGCACCATGTCAGTGGCGAGCATACAGAAACTGTCACTCCTGTTGGAATCGCAATACTAAAAATGACAAGTTAATTCAGGTGTGAAAGTGTTTTAGTTTTAAAGGAAAGAAGGTTATTTCTACCAGATCAATCACAAACTCGCATCGTTTTTTATTTCTTCAAAATATGCATCGAGGTGACCGAACTACTATAATAACACATTATAGCATGTTGTATACGTGCACAGAAACTAAATTTTTCCCAAATCAGAACAGTCTACTATCCTAATTTGTTCATTATATTGACTGTGCTGTACCTTCACAACTTCAATTATAGACCGTATACAGTTAACTTCACACGGAATAGGTTATCGCAGCCGATAATGTGAATCATAAGAGAGTTTTGGGTTAGGCCACGTGGTGACCTGGCCAATTGTGTGTCAATCAGAACCCTCCACCACCTGACTGTTTCGCTGTATCAAGTGGTCGATGGTTCCTAATGTCACAGAATGGATCAGATATTATGTGGCCGAACCCAAAACTTTGTGATGAATAATGTACAGTTCACCAGTGTAGGTCCATTAAAACACACAAACATAATGCCATTGTAAATCCACATTTTCCCCACACTACTCACCCGGCTATGCGGGAAATTACTTCAATTCCATCCAACACCAGCAGGTTGGTGAAGGATGAGAAGTACCTGTGCACGACAACATATTTGTCAGGGCCACACAAAGGAGGCAATACAGTCCAATGCCCATGCAGGAAGAGGGACAGGGCATGCACGATACAAAACATGGTAACAACTCAGCACACAACAGTGACATAAGCAGATTACCATATTTTCCCGCATATAACCCACGGGGTATACCACTTTTTACAAACAAAACAAGACCCTGCGGGGTATATGGAGGTGCGGGCTATCCCAAAAATATTTTACGTGTGACATGTCATAACTCATTAAATGTTTTCATGGTAGGACGATCCACTATGCAACACTTACCTTTGACTAAAGCACTGCTGAATAAACCACTCGCACTAAAATTACACGTTAACACGTTTTTAATTAATTGTACAATTACACGAGAATGTTTGAAGTGCGCGCACTGTATACCGGCGACGGGAGAGCTGGGGGAAGAGAGAAGTGGGGGTTGGGGGGTGGGGCAGCTGGGGGGAGAGAGGTGGGGGTTGGGGGCGAGGCGACGGTTGTACCGTAATGCCGCTCTTATCTGCGCGTGCGCAATCTACCAGTGCTAAAACTGTACTTACGTATCTACCAGTTATGTGTTACTTATTTATTGGATATTTACTTTTGTTACTTATTTACTGTTTTAAGTTCACTCGTTTCCGGTTAGTTTGTTTTCTTTGTGCACGTTATGATTTTTATGTTAACAATTGATAGTGGAATGTATTACAAATGTAAACTTCGTATTAATATGATAGAATTAAGCTGCGGTAACGACGTTAAATATATGAATGCATGCGGGGTATATGGAGGTGCGGGCTATATGACTTTTTTTTTTTACACAAAACGCTATTTTTGCGGGTTATATGTGTATGCGGGCTATATGCGGGAAAATACAGTAATAAAAGCCTAGATTGCCATAGGGGCGGTGATGTAGCCTAGCGGCCCAGCGGTAGTGCTTTCGGCACTTGTTGCAAAGATTCAAAGTTCAAATCCAGTGGCCGTCATGATTAATACTGAGTCTATTAAATGTGTAGATGAGTAGTGGGAGGAAGTGAGGGCATCGGCAGGAAAGAACTGGATTACGTCAAAGGGTGACGTCATGTTACCCAGTGGGGAGGGGTACTTAAGGGGGACCCCGGGCTGAGGGGCGGGTTCGTTGTGGGGAGCCGGGGGAATGGAGGTCTTGAGGGAACGCAAGACAAGCCGAACAGAAGACACGCCGCTCGGCACTGAGACCTTAGGCCGAGGAAAGAGTAGGATTAGTGGGGAGCTTAGGTGAGGATTAGGCCGAGGAGTAAAGCGGGTACCGGGATGGTCCATGGGAAGGACCAAGTGTAGAAGTGTCTACCTCGGGTGTGATCCGGTGATACTGTACGTGAGTGCAGTAGTTAATAAACTGGCAATAGCCCTTACAGAGAATCTCGTCTCTGTGTGAGTTTATACCACAACAACTGGTGTCAGGAGTGGGGTGGAGGTTCGCATTTTGGTGGACACGGGGGCATCGGCCACCATTATATCAGAATGCATTTTCGAGTTGCTACCACACAGCGTTGGTCCACTGAGACCTGTGCAGGGGGCATGTGTTGCTGCAAATGGGGGCAGTCTGGGTATAGTGGGCCATATTGTGACATCAATTTGGTTTGGGGACATTCAACTGGAAGGTCCTGTCTTGGTCTCTAAGACGCTCGCAGTGCCATGCCTCTTGGGCAGACTTCCTGGCCAAAATGCCCATGAAGATACTCATCGACCAGGGTTACGTCGATTTACCATCTAGTCAGCGCTTGACCTTTTTGAATTCTCCTACGGTGTTGACCCCTCTTGCGGCCAGTGTAACCAGTGTTCGTGCCTTGGCTAGAGATTCCTTGACTATCCCGCCGGGATCACAAATGCGAAAACCCTTGAGGCTCCGCGGGAACTTACAATTTCAGACTCCCTTGTAGGTGCCCTTACGGTTGTGGCAGAAAATCAAGAACCATTCCTACAAATTCTCAATGCGGGGCCCTCGCAGGTAACAGTTCCGGCGGGCACCATTGTGGCACATGCGTCCCCGGCCCTCCCACCGGTCAAGGCCACGCCAGAAGGGGGTTGCCGGCGGCTGTGCTGCCTGAGGGGAAGTCCGACACGTCCTGGGTGAATGCACTCTGTCATGAAAACATTCTCCTGTCCCCAGAGGAGCGGCGGCCAGCTTCGAACACTCGTCAACAAATTCTCCGACGTGTTTAGTCACGGCAAATTCAACATTGGCCGCACGTCCTTGCTAGAACATCACAGAGATGGGGAATGCAGCCCCCATTTGCTTAAATTCCCATCGCTTTAGCCCAATGGAGAAGGAGCATGTCCGCTCAGCCGTGGATGACATGTTGGCGGCAGATATTATCTCCCCTTCCAATAGCCCGTGGGGAGCCCCTATCGTTCTGGTCAAGAAACGGGATGGGAGTCTCCGTTTCTGCGTTGATTTCCGTAAGTTAAACAAGATTTCCGTGGCAGATGCCTATCCCCTGCCTCGGATGGATGATTCGCTTGACGCTCTCTCTGGCGCACGGTTCTTTTCGAACCTGGATTTGCTTTCGGGCTTTTGGCAATTGCCATTGGACGAGGCTTCCAAACCCAAAACCGCGTTCTGCACACCTCAGGGGTTGTTCCATTTTAATAGGCTTCCTATGGGCCTCCATTCAGCCCCTGCCACGTTCCAACGCCTTATGGAGATGGTTTTGGCAGGTCTCCAGTGGGAATCTTGTTTGATCTATTTCGATGACGTCATTGTTTTCAGCCATATGTTTGACGAACATTTGCTGCGGCTGGAGTCAGTCTTCACCAAAGTGCGCGCTGCTGGGTTGAAATTAAAACCCAAGAAATGCCATTTGCTGCAGCCGTCTGTTAAGTATCTAGGCCACATTGTTAGTGCGTCAGGTGTGGCCACGGACCCAGAGAAAACGACGTGCATCCATACATGGCCGACTCCTACATCTGTCGCCGAGGTTCGAAGCTTTGTTGGCTTCGCATCTTACTACTGTCGCTTTGTGCGCAACTTCGCGACGGTCGCAAAGCCTCTTCACGCACTCACTGCAAAGGGACAGAAGTTTCGCTGGCGCACGGAGGAGGAAGAGGCTTTTATCGCACTCCGGACATCCCTGGCAGATGCGCCCGCCTTGGGATATCTGGACTTCTCATGGCCCTTTGTGCTCGACACCGACGCCAGCGACACAGCCATAGGGGCTGTGTTGGCCCAAGTGGTGGATGGCGTTGAGCGAATCGTGGCATTTGGCAGTCGAGTATTGTCACCCACCGAGCAGTGGTATTGCATCACCCGAAGAGAGCTGTTGGCCATTGTGTTTTTTGTGCAACTGTTTCGAGCCTACTTGTACGGTCAAAGCTTTACCGTCCGTACTGACCATGCGGCACTACAATATTCATTGCACATCGATCAGCCTTCGGGCCAGTTGTCCCGATGGCTCGAAGTGCTCCAGGAGTACTCATTCGAGGTCATACACAGGAAGGGTACTCGGCACAGAAATGCTGATGGGCTGTCTAGGCGGCCTCCGGAGAACGGGTGTGCCTGCTCAACGGGATTGAGTCGCTGTAGGGATACGAGTAGCATCGGGGCACAGTTGGTAGTGACGACCGAGGTCCTGCCCGTCGACTTCGGCTTAGGAATCCTAAGACAGGAGTGGTCACGCTTGCAGATGGAGGATACCTCTCTGCTCAAGCTGCGACGCCGGGTTAGGCCTGCCGGGTTAGGCCTGATGGCCAAATCCCCTCTCAGCCGACCACTCCGCCAATTGCCCTACACGACGGCCTACTAATGCGCTGGGACCCTGGGCTCGAAAAATATTGTCTGGTGGTTCCTGTTATCCTAAGAGGGAGACTAACTAGGTCGGTTCATGAAAAGTTGATGCACCTGGGGGTCCACAAAACATTGTTGACCCTCAAGCGCGACTACTATTGCCCAGGCAGTAGTAGTCGTGGCGGAAGGCCCCGGTGGTGCGGGACCAACCCCCACTACAGTCCATCCAAGTTTCCTGCATTAACGAACTGGTGGCCCTCGATATTTTGGGACCATTTCCAACCTTTGGAAGGGGCCACAAGTATCTTCGGGTGGGAGTCGAATACTTTACACGTTGGCCCATGGCATGGCCCTTGCCAGACCAATCAGCTACATCTATCATGGACGCCTTCTTGCAAGGGTATGTGTTGGATAAAGGGGTCCCAGAGCGACTGTTGTCTGACTAAGGTCGAAATTTTTCTTCAAGGCTGCTCAAAGAGGTGCAATTGGGTCTGCAGCCGCCTCTTAAGAAATCCGCCGTGCCGGCATTAATTAGGGGCACGCTCAACAAACTGCACGATGCTCGACAGGCGCCCATCAACAATTCGGCCAGTCGCCAAGCGGCTAACGAACGCCTAGCAGGGGATCAGGCTTCGGGGTTCCATGGGTCACAGGGGACAAGGCGTGGCCAATCCTTTTCGCTGACCGCCAGAGGCCGACATAGTTTTTCCAGCCGCCCTGGGGAGGGGGCCTTCCCGCCCCGCCATCCTGCCTGTCTTCAGTGTTTTTCCCCGTCTCAGACATCACCTCCGCCTTGGCACCCCGGACCTCCTTCTCTTGTTGGTCATAATTACCAATTGCGGGGTGCTGGCATTGCGGGATGTCTGCCGGGCCTAAAGTTGTGTTATCAGCCGGGACGGCTGTGGTTTTTTTTATGGGGTGGGGGGGGTGATGTAGAGGAGTAGTGGGAGGAAGTGAGGGCATCGGCAGGAAAGAACTGGATTACATCATAGAGTGACGTCATGTTACCCAGAGGGGAGGGGTACTTTAGGGGGACCCTGGGCCGAGGGGCGGGGTTGTTGTGGGGAGCCGGGGGAATGTAGGTCTCAAGGGTACAGAAGACACGCCGCTCGGCACCGAGACCTTAGGCCGAGGAAAGAGTAGGATTAGTGGGGAGCTTAGGTGAGGATAGGCCGAGGAGTAAAGCGGGTACCGGGATGGTCCATGGGAAGGACCAAGTATAGAAGTGTCTACCTCGGGTGTGATCCGGTGATACTGTACGTGAGTGTAGTAAACAAACTGGCAATAGCCCTTACAGAGAATCTCGTCTCCGTGTGAGTTTACACCACAACATATGCATAAAAATACCAAGTCCTTGCTTAACATGGGGGTTGTGTTCTGAAAAACTGCCCGATAAAGTGAATAAAATTTTCCCAAGGAGCAATGGTAAAGGTTGGGATGGCGTTCCAGACCGTAATTTTATTGTTGTTTTTATTTGGCAGTAGAGTACGCTGTTTCATGTGTTCCATCTTAAATGTGGCGTTTATAAAGTATTTATATATACATATGCTACGCGTGACAGTCATTTTTTGAAATATAAAGTGCGAGAGAGAGATACGGTGAGTGAAAAAGACAAGGAAGTGAGATGATGCTACGCATGCAAAAGATGCCTCGGAACAAAGAGTGAGGAAGAGGAAGGCACGCCGTTTATCACAGCACGTATTAGTACCACAGTACGACAGTGCCAGCTCCCAGCATCACCGAACAATGCTGCCAACACTCACGCCACTCAGAAAAGTAGTCCGTCATGCGCTTGCCTCGTATTATACTGCGTAGTCCATCACACGCTAGACTTGCAATGTAGCGAGTAGTCCGTCACGCACTAGACTTGCATTGTAGTGAGTAGTCCGTCACGAACTAGATTTGCATTATAGTGAATAGTCTATCACGTGCTAGACTCGTGTTATAGTGAGTAGTCCGTTTAACACATAGCCTTTCGCGACCAATATTTCCCATAAGAGGTTTTTTGGTAAAAAAGAAGTATCTCAATTTCAATAGATTATGTAATTAGTCTCGGCCAGTAGTAACTAGTTTTGCACAAAACGTCAACATTATCAAAATCAATTGAGTGTCCTTGTTGGCACGTGTGTTCTGCCACTGCTGACATCCAAGTGAGAGAGTCAGATTCGGCATGGTACATTCAACACAAAAACTAATATCTGGTACTAAAGATGTATTACCGAAGCTATCAATAGAAGGTGTATAACCGGATTAATTGCTTCTGTGGCAAATGCTATGTTGGTTCGATGGGATGAATGATCAATATGAGACTAAAAGAACACCAAAGAAATATGAAATACTCCCAAACAGAAATGTCGGCACTGCTGCATCTACTGATGAGATACTGTCTAGTTTAACACATGGGCTTTTGCAACCAATATTATCCATAATATAGGGTTGTTTTTGGTTAGATCGCGTAAATATAAATGTGGTAGCAGGTTTAACGACACAGTTATATTTACGTGATCTAACACAAAAACACGCTATTATGGAGACTATGTCTGAATCAAAGGTGCTGAATTATTCACTCCCAGGAGGCCGTGGGGTCATGGGGGGGTTGTATAAAGAATACTTTTATATTTTATACAGAGAGACAAATATATGAAGGAGATTGTATACTCTGCTTAGCTGCAGTAGGTCAGAAGACGGCAAAGTCCTTGCATTGTTGAGATACTGATGAGGCCGAGAGCATTTACGAGCACAACGCGCATCTCTGCCAATCTTCTGGCCAACCCCCAAATTCTCTGTCGTGATCGGGTTCCCCCCCTCCCCATCGTTTATGGATCAGAATGAGACACTGCATGTCAAAGTCGTTACTTCTGAAACGTCTGCGTGTGGGTTGCGAGTTGGGAGACGACGAAGAGGTCTCCCACGTCGCGCCTGCTGCCCAGGAACGTGCCCAGGCTGGCCCCGTGCTGGCCCAGCAGCCAGCAGGTGCTGCGGAAGGTGTCGACGACAGCCCGGAAGGCAGCCTCCACCGGGGACCCTCGGAGCGCCGCAGCTGCATCTGCGTGCGCAGGGGAAGTCCGCCGTGAGCCTCGCGCTGCTGCGGGTCGTCTGCCGCACTCGCAATTTTTTTTAGTTCCTTTTATTTATCTACTTCACCGGAGAGATTAAAAAATTAACCCCATCGGGACAAATGAAGCAGCATCGCCTCCCTTGGAACAGGGGGGCGGGGTAGAGGGAGCCGACCCGGATCACATCGAGTACAATTTAAGAACACAATATTCTTTTAAATGTAACAAATCTAGACTAGATTTGACAATGAGTAGCATACAATGTGAAGAAGGCTCAGGTGGAGAGGTTTAGTGACGAGATGAGGCCAGTAGAGTTAATTAATACAATTTTAAAAAATGAGATCAAACGTCAACAGCCAGCGTAGATGGTCGGTTAGCATTGAACACAAACACCCGTAACTCTCCACAGCTCTTCAAGTTTATAGAAAAGCCTGGTCATAAATTGATTTCCAAACTCGGCAACGGCCGGGATTGAATTTAAATGTAATCGGGAGGTCGAGTGATTCCAGAACTGAGGGCAGCAGCTGACAACAATTGTTCCTTCGACTGGTCTACACACGGAACTCTTCATCAAGGTCAAGATGTCATAGTGGCTAAAGCCATCGATGCCTACACCCACCTTTCCAATGCTCTCTACCCTCCGCCAAATCCCGCAGCTGCTGCACAGAAGACACACAGCCACCTGCAAGATCTGTCCCGGCAGTCTCCCACTAATATGTTGCAAGTTCCGTTCTTCTCCTCGGGTCACCGGACTCGTGGACACCAGTCCAACACGGTTTCCACAATTGGCCCTCTCCCATTTTTGCACACGGGTCCCACCCCAGTGCCTAACGGACGAACGGACATCAATGAGGAAATCCTCCCGGGCTGCTCGGCGTCACCTGAGTTCAGCAGAGGCTTGAGCACATGAGTCTTGACTGCTCGCAGCTCGCGGTAGCAGGCGCGCTCCGTAGCCGATAACTCATGCAGGGCAGCCACAAACCCCTCAGGGGCGGCGGCAGCGGTGGCGGAGGAGAAAGAGGGGCCCCCGTCCGACAGAGACACGAAGACGTTCCCACTCAGCGACACGCTGAACACGTGGCCAACCTGCACAACAAAGTCAAAGTGATTTCCTACTCAAGCGACGACCGGGGAGGTGTGCTCATCCCCTATCTATACAGCCCTGAAGCCAGTGATGAAAATGCCATATTCTTATAGCTGTGGGGGAGGGTGGTGATTTTCTCCATGGGACAACCACCGATTACTTTCCCACAAAGTGACATGGGGTGGTGACATGGCCAAGCAGCAGTGCATTCACTTCTTGCTTCAGAGGGTCACGGTTCGAATCCGGCAGGTCACCCTAGTTAACACTGTAGGTGCATTAACCATAAATACGTGCTGTCTGCTTCGCAGATCCCCTGACAGCATTCGATATGAGTAGGCTATTGTATGCCGGCGTCATGGTTTAAGTCTGCCAAATTAGCCACAAACCCCTCAGGGGCGGCGGCAGCGGTGGCGGAGGAGAAAGAGGGGCCCCCGTCCGACAGAGACACGAAGACGTTCCCACTCAGCGACACGCTGAACACGTGGCCAACCTGCACAACAAAGTCAAAGTGATTTCCTACTCAAGCGACGACCGGGGAGGTGTGCTCATCCCCTATCTATACAGCCCTGAAGCCAGTGATGAAAATGCCATATTCTTATAGCTGTGGGGGAGGGTGGTGATTTTCTCCATGGGACAACCACCGATTACTTTCCCACAAAGTGACATGGGGTGGTGACATGGCCAAGCAGCAGTGCATTCACTTCTTGCTTCAGAGGGTCACGGTTCGAATCCGGCAGGTCACCCTAGTTAACACTGTAGGTGCATTAACCATAAATACGTGCTGTCTGCTTCGCAGATCCCCTGACAGCATTCGATATGAGTAGGCTATTGTATGCCGGCGTCATGGTTTAAGTCTGCCAAATTAAAAAAATTGCAACATAATTGACTCAATTTGCATTCTACATAGCAATCACTGCCCCCTTCTGCCAGACTAATGTCTTTTTGCAGGCCAGGTGCTGAGTCACATTGTACCACACAGGGCAGCTGCTTATATAACACACTTTGAGTTGCAGAGGAATTTAACCAACGTCATGTAAATGCAACAATAATTATTACAAGAACCTTGAACATCGTTGGGATTACGTTCTTGGAAAGTGATGCAAAAAACTACGATATTCAATGCTTAACCCTTACCTAAATAATGAGGTGAGGTACACGGCAACCAAAAATAGATACATCACATTTGAAATACGTACTGTACTGTATGCCAAATAAACAAAAAACTAAATAATTTAAATATGTAAAAACCCTATACAAAAACATTCCTAGACAATAAATAGTACAAATATATACTGCATAAATTCTGTACTTACTGATGATCCAAAGCAGGTGTGTGTGTTTGTCCGCGAGTGGGGAGCGGTAGTGTGATTGCTCTGCACTACGAGTGCAGAGCCCAACACCAGTGAAGATTAATGGAACCAGTCATGGGCCTCCCCTAGGTCGACTCAACCTCAAATGGGTACCTGGTGTGGTGTATAAACATCACCACTGGAGAAACAAAGTCGACCAGGCATGGTGCTGGCCACCCACCCCCCGTGCACCACAGTGCACCACAGTGCTTGCTAACAGCACTTGCCCCAACAGTCTGTTAAGGTTTTTTGGATAAGATTGCGTAAATATATAAATGTGTCGTTAAACCCGCCACCACCCGACACAGCCAATTAGTAAGGTTTGTCATGCAAACAGAAAATGCCAATTCTTTACTAGTACAGCACGCCGGTGTGTTGGAGAGCAAAGTCACAACAGTTACAATCTGAGTACGACGTTTTGCCAGTAATTACAACTAGCTTTATCAGGCGACAGCCTGATTTGTGGAGAAATCCTCCTGTTTACCGTATTTTCCCGCATATAACCCGCAGGGTATACCACTTTTTACAAACAAAACAAGACCCTGTCGGATATATGGAGGTGCGGGCTATCCCAAAAATATTTTACACGTGTAACTCGTTTAATTTTTCATGGTAGGACTATCCATTATGCAACACTTACCTTGACTAAAGCACTGCTGAATAAACCACTCACACTAAAATTGCACGTTATCACGTTTTAAATGATTCGAATTGTTTGTACAATGAAACGACAATGTTTGAAGTGGGCGCACTTTGTTTACTGGCGACAGGAGAGCTGGGGAAGAGAGAGGTGGGGGGTTGGGGGGTGGGACAGAGCAAGGTCTGCGGCAGGGACGGGAGAGCTGGGAAGAGAGAGGGGTGGGGGGTTGGGGGCGAGGCGACGGCGTCACCGTAGTGCCGCTATTATCTGCGCAGTGCGCAATCTACCAGTGCTAAAACTGTACAGTACTTACTTATCTACCAGTTATGTGTTACTTATTTATTGGATATTTACTTTTGTCACTTATTTACTGTTTTAAGTTCACTCGTTTCCGGTTAGTTTGTTTTCTTTATGCACGTTATGATTTTAATGTTAACAATTGATAGTGGAATGTATTACAAATGTAAACTTAGTATTAATTTGATGGCATTAAGCTGCAGTAACGACGTTAAATATATGAATGCATGTGGGGTATAGGGAGGTGCGGGCTATCTGAAATTTGTTTTACACAAAACGCGATTATTGCGGGGTATATGCATCTGCGGGTTTTATGCATATGCGGGCTATATGCATGAAAATATGGTAGTTCCTTAAATAGAGGCGGGTGTATATGATGATATCACTTGTGAGCCCTTCTTGAGGGAAGTGGGGGGGGGGGATTAATGAATTCATATAAATAGCAATGGATATATTTATATGGTAATCAACCTACATAATACGTGCGCATTATGGAAGCCCATTGTTCTTGTACCTCCTGTCGATTGTGTGCACTAAAATAGAAGTACTTGTTATTGTCTGTTCAAAGGTATTTAAACAATATATTATTTGATTATTCGCTTCCGGGGGGGGGGGGGGTCTTTGTGTTTTTCCACAAGATGCTTGCACTGGAAAGGCTGAGGAACCACTGCCTGCCTGGTGTCCCATGTCCAGCCCGAACCACGGTATCAGCCACTGATATGGCACTTCGGTACACAATAAATTGATAGGTCGAAACCACGAACGATAAACCTGCAATATTCAAGGGACTCCTGTATCATCAAAAACTTTGTATAGTTTTTGTTTTTTATAATTCTGTAGAGGTGTTAACTACGCACTGTTCGATAACCTGCATTGCCACCAGGTATAAAAAGGGCAGTGCAGCGTTACCTCTGGGTACATAACGGTTGGGGTCAGACGAGGTGAAGTGGATCGTAGCCATGGTTTGGTAAGAACCAATCAGCCAGTTCCACGTGGGAATGTGTGATTGGTTATACCTGGCCACGAACGAGTATAAAAAGGGTGACCCAACAGAGCTCGGGGAGTTCTCTCCCTACACAAAGACCGAAGCCCAGCCTGAAGACTAGCTAGGACCCTGGACCATCCTTCCAGCCCTTCTGAGGGCTAAGGCTCGGGTACCCAGTGGTCAGGACCCACCGGGCCAGCGGTGGGTCAGATAGCCTCCCCTAGGTCCCAGCCGGAGGACTCTAGAATAGCGGTAGACATGTTAGTCCCGCCAAGATAAGAGGCTGTACCTCCTTAGGCTAGGACAGCGGTAGACGTGTAAGTCCCGCCAAGATACGAGGCTGTACCTCCTTAGGTATCAAGGAGACCTGTGTGTAGGTTACGCTGAGTCCGGAGGCTGTACCTCCTTAGGGTATCGGGTGAGGGGACCGGATACCCCTCTCTGTGTGTTGATGACTGTATAAGGAAATAATTACAATAAACAGAGTGTGGCTCCTAAGAAGTGTATTCGTCTTTATAAACACTACAACTGGTGTCAGAAGTGGTTAAAAATGGAAACAAGAAGTTCGGCCCACGTGCGAAGTCAGAATGAAGGAAACTCTGACTCACCTGCGGGAACCGCCAACTCCGCTGAAAATGCCGGCGCATCGTCAACCACCCAGCCACCGGTTTAGCAGCCGGTCGCTCCTCCTGCCATGGGGGACGGACTCCGGGCAGCACACAGCCGTCTCGCCCAACTTCTGCATGGCGCGGCCTCCATTCTCGACGAGATCAACTCGGAGGTCGCGGGCGGGCCGAATCAGCCGCCGGCAGATGTTCCCGCCATCGGCCAAGATGGACATTTTGATTTTCCCGCCGGGGAACCACGTGGTCCCGCCGCAAGCGGAAGCCTGGGGCATCCTGGGAATTATGGGGACCAATCGCAACCCGCAGCGTCATCAGCTCGCGACGCTGTAAATTCTAGATACTCCGCGGATGCTGCATCATCACTGTACCAACAGGGTACAGTTGACGCTATCGGCCAGGCAATCACCGATCTCCGGCTCGAGACGGTGCAAGCTGAGGAGGAAACGACGTCCGCCCTCCAACAAGCGCCTGCCCATCTTCCGGGCATTCGCGTCTGAAGGGGACGACTGGGCATTCCAGCGTCGCTTCCTGAGCCACCAAGAAATGGTGGGCTAGTCGGACGCACAGGCGCTCCGAGCGCTACCTGCCATTCTGGACGACGACGCTCTCGCCTTGCTCCTCACCATCCCCAGGCAACAAAGGGCAACTCTTTAATCGGCCCTCCGACGGATGTTGGACGTCTACGGGCCTCCGTCCGATGTCCGCAGCCGATTTTACGACAGGCGACGCCGCCCTAAGGAGTCTCCGTTGGCATTCCGGACCACCCTACTTGCGATGGCAGGAGCGGGTTACCCCCGCATGGACGATGAGGCTATCGACGTTATCGCCCTCCAGAAAATGCTGGAACTGGCGCGCGAGCTGCGCATCGTCATCCAAGCGGTGGATGACGACAGTATGTGCTCGCTACGTGCCGCTCGGAGCATCCACGCACATCTACTGCTCCACACGGATTCGACCATCGCCGCCTCGGCTTCGACATCGGATCCTGCCAGCAGGGACGCCGAGTTCTCCCCCGACTGGGCCTTCATGGCGACTAGGTCGTCCGGTCGGCGATCGTCCGACCACGCTGGTCGCCGCGACGACCAGCAGCGGGGACGGCCTCCCCCACGCGGCGACATAACATGTTTCAACTGTGGCCGACGAGGCCACATCTCCTCCGAGTGCCGTGCACCTCGACGACGCCCCTCCGCATCCCGAGGCCAGGACTACAGGACGCCCACGGCATCGCGGCACAATCAGGCAAGTCGCGACGCCTCTCACGCTTGGCCCTCATTCACACCATACACACCGCAACGCACTATAAGGAAGGCTTGCGATTCAGCGTATGATGGGGGGTGTTCCGGCGATTCTTCACGGCCACTTGGACCTGGGCAGTGGTCTGAGTTGGCCCATAGGGTAGTCGCGGCGACGGTGGGTTCATCTGTGGTTGTCGGATCGATTGAGGGTGTGGAATTCCATGTATTGGTTGATACTGGTGCGTCGGCTACGATCATTTCGGATTTGATTTATAATATATTGCCCGTATGATGCCGCCCCTTGGAACGGGTTTCTATCCCGTGTTTCGCCACTAATGGAAGTTCACTGGGCATTATTGGGCAAATTCGTGCGCAAATTTCGATTGGTGACATTAAATTGGCAGGGTCTATTTTGGTCTCTTCTTTCCTCACCGTGCCGTGTTTGTTAGGCACTGACTTTCTCGCGAAAATGCCTATTAAGATCCTTGTAGATCAAGGCTGCATCGAACTCCCGTCGGGTCGACGGATGGCGTTCTTGCCCACACCGTCACATCCGCGCATGGCAAATGCCTCGGTGCAGGCGTTCGTCACGAGCACAGTCCGCATTCCGCCAGGGACACAAATGCTCGTGCCTTGCGACTAAAAAAACGCTAGCTCCGGATGCCTCGGTACATGGCATTTTTCTGGGACCTTCAAACACAGCTGCTAAGAGGTTATATTTGGTGGCTGCACAGACCCTCTTAGCAGCTGACAGGGAGCCATTCTTGCAGGTTTAAAATGTCGGATTGTCCACAACCGTCATTCCGCAAGGAACTGTGCTCGCTCACGGACCCCGGTGCCGCTGGGGACCGGAGTTGTGGGACAGGTGCGTGACACGCCACAGGTTCCACCTCCTTCCGAATCGGATGAGGAATGGTTGGACGCGCTCTGCGCAGACACAGGTGATCTGTCTCGTTCGCAGCGAATTAAATTGCGCACTCTTCTGCGAGAATTTTCTGATGTATTCAGTAAATCTAAATTTGATATTGGCTTCACCAAACTACTACGTCACCACATTGATACTTGTGACGCTGCCCCAATTAGACAAAACCCGTTTCGGCTTAGCCCAGCGGAGAAACAGCATGTTAAATCGGCCGTGGATGACATGCTGGAGGCCGATATCATTTCTCCCTCCACTAGTCCCTGGGGTGCTCTAATAGTGCTGGTCAAAAATCACGATGGCAGTCTTCGTTTTTGCATTGATTTTCGGCGCCTCAATAAAATCTCAGTAGCTGACGTCTACCCTCTCCCTCGAATGGACGAGTCATTGAATGCCCTGGCAGGGGCGCATTATTTCTCCACTTTGGACCTTCTGTCGGGGTTTTGGCAACTCCCCCTCGACGAAGTGTCAAAACCTAAGACTGCTTTTTCGGACACCACAGGGCCTTTTCGAGTTTAATAGATTGTCCATGGGTCTCCACTCGGCCCCAGCGACGTTTCAGAGGCTCATGGAGCTGGTCCTCGCTGGGCTCCAGTGGGACTCATGTCTCATTTATCTTGACGACGTCATCGTCTTTAGCCGCACGTTCGGTGAACACATCGAACGATTGCGTGCTGTCTTCTTGAAAATGCGGTCCGCTAACTTAAAATTCAAGCCGCAGAAGTGTCACCTTCTGCGTGAGTCTGTGCGCTATCTGGGCCACATAGCCAGCCGCTCGGGAATCTCTACCGACCCTGAAAAAAACAACCCCTACATCTGCGGGCGATGTTCTCAGTTTTATTGGTTTTGCGTGGTACTACCGCCGTTTTGTTGCTGGCTTCGCGACGATTGCCAAACTGCTTCATGCCCTTACGTCCAAAGGGGTGGTGTTTCATTGGGGGGACGCGGAACAGGCCGCATTCGACTCCTTGCGGAACGCACTCGTGATGGCACCGTCCCTTGCATACCCCGATTTTTCCGTACCATTCGTGTTGGACGCCGATGCTAGCAACACGGGGATGGGGGGGTGTTCTGTCTCAAAAGATCAATGGCATTGAAAGGGTCGTTGCCTATGGTAGCAGAGTCTTGTCCCCTGCTGAACAGAGGTACTGTGTTACATGACGCAAGCTGCTGGCCATTGTCTTTTTCATTCAGCAATACAGGCCGTACCTGTATGGTCAGCATTTCACCGTGCGTTCTGATCATTTGGCATTTAAGTACGCTCTGCGGGTTGACCAACCGTCTGGCCAGCTTTCTCGGTGGCTCAAAGTCCTTCAGGACTATGATTTCAATGTTACTTACCGTAAGGGTGCACAACACACAAATGCCGATGCGTTGTCTCGCCTCCCGCCGGCTAAAAAATGTGCGTGCTTTTTGGGCTCGGGCCGTTGTCAGCCGCCACTGCCTGCGCAGGTCGCGCCTCTCGAAACGGTGTCCGCCGTGCTTCCCGTCGCCTCAGCGCCGATGTCGGATCACGCGGATCCAACGGCCAGTGACGACTTGCTGGGGCTGACTTTGGCCGAATGGGGTCGGCACCAGAGCGACGACATGTCTTTGCTGCGGTTGTGTCGTCACGCGAATAAGGCGGCTCCGCGCCTGGGGAAATTTAATTCATTTGTCATTAAATGCGGTTTGCTGATGCATTGGGATGCTGACTCGTGTCAACATAAAATCAGCGCACGAGGGTTTATTACACCTGGGTGTTCATAAAACCACTGGGTTGTTGCGGTTGCAATTTTTCTGGCCAGGCATGCTGCGCGACGTAACTGACATTCTGCTGGGGTGCACCCACTGCGCGCAATATAAACCGCCGGCTAAACCGGCATGTCCACCCCTGCTATCCATTTCGGTGTCTCGTATAAACGAGTTGGTGGCTCTCGATATTTTGGGCCCTTTTCCTACTACGACACGTAGTAATAAGTACCTTCTGGTTGGGGTGGAGTATTTTACGCGGTGGCCTATGGCCTGGGCCCTCCCCAACCAGTCGGCAGCGGCCGTCGTGGACACCTTTGTTCAGGGCTACGTCCTGGACAAGGGCGCACCAGAACGGTTGCTGACCGATCAGGGAAGAAATTTTTCAGGAGTCCTGCTGAATGATGTGTGCCGCCTGTTGGGCACAAAGAAAGTGCGCACTTCGCCCTACCATCCCCAAACCGATGGCATGGTGGAGCGCTTGCATAGAACTCTCACCGCTATGTTATGCCATCAGGTCGATGAATCCCACCTCAATTGGGACTTACAGGTTCCGGGGGTCCTCGCCACGTACCGCATGGCACCTCACGCGGCGACGGGATTTTCCCCGTTCTTTTTAATGTACGGCAGGGATGCTTTTCCTCCCGCCGACGTTCAGCTGGAGATCGAACAGCCACCGCAGAAGTACAAGCTCGTTGACCACTTGCGATTCAACCTCCGTAAGTTGGCCGAGGCACGAGAGGCTGCCATTGAGAATTCACCTTCCCGCCAACAAGCGAATTTGAGACTGCATGACCCTCGGACGTCCACGCATCGGTGGGCACCGGGAGACAGGGCGTGGCTTCACTGCCCCCAGGTGCCGGTGTCCACGTCGGCAAAACTCCTCAGGCCATGGCGGGGTCCGGTAGAGGTGGTTGAGGTCCTGCGTCCCCAATGTATTAAAATTCGCTGGGGACGGCGTCGCTGGTTCGTTCACCCCTCTCGGTTGAAACCCTTCATCACGCCGCGCATCCCTCCTCAACACACACAACACGGGGGCCGAGTGTGCGACGCGTCCGACGAGCCAGATGTTGCCCCGTTGGTGCCTAACCCACAGTGCAGGCATGTCATACCTCCTGCAGATGACACGGGAGTGACGACTCCGTGCAGGCCACGTTCAGCCTCGATGGGCCATGGAGCATCAGGTGTCCCCGTGATGAAGCCTAAAGACCCACCGGATGCTCTTGTTCATCCTCCTCCTCCTCTTGTGCCGCCGACGAAGCCTACCATCCCCTACGATGGCCCCGCGAAACACACGCGCGCAAAATCTCGCCGTTTGTTATGACGTTCTCTTGCCTGCTCTATTGCCTTGTATATACGTTATGTTGTTAGGGGGTATTTATATGGGTTTTTTATTGTTCTTGTTGTTCGTGAGGCACACTCACAATTCTTCCATCGTTGATAATTTCAGAATTTCACATTGTTGCAGCCGGGACGGCTGGAGCTTCAAAAGGAGGGGGTGATGTAGAGGTGTTAACTGCGCACTGTTCGATAACCTCCATTGCCACCAGGTATAAAAGGGGCAGTGCAGCGTTACCTCTGGGTACATAACGGTTGGGGTCAGACGAGGTGAAGTGGATCGTAGCCACGGTTTGGTAAGAACCAATCAGCCAGTTCCACGTGGGAATGTGTGATTGGTTATACCTGGCCACGAACGAGTATAAAAAGGGTGACCCAACAGAGCTCGAGGAGTTCTCTCCCTACACGAAGACCGAAGCCCGGCCTGAAGACTAGCTAGGACCCTGGACCATCCTTCCAGCCCTTCTGAGGGCTAAGGCTTGGGTACCCAGTGGTCAGGACCCACCGGGCCAGCGGTGTGTCAGATAGCCTCCCCTAGGTCCCAGCCGGAGGACTCTAGAATAGCGGTAGACGTGTTAGTCCCGCCAAGATAAGAGGCTGTACCTCCTTAGGCTAGGACAGCGGTAGACGTGTAAGTCCCGCCAAGATACGAGGCTGTACCTCCTTAGGTATCAAGGAGACCTGTGTGTAGGTTACGCTGAGTCCGGAGGCTGTACCTCCTTAGGGTATCGGGTGAGGGGACCAGATACCCCTCTGTGTGTGTTGAGGACTGTATAAGGAAATAATTACAATAAAGAGAGTGTGTCTCCTAAGAAGTTTATTCGTCTTCATAAACACTACAATTCTTACTCCACGTTGTGTTGCACGAGGTATAGTTATTGTCTGTTCATGCACCTGCTCTGGTACGGGGATGACGGCAGCGCTCGCGAGCGTGGGCTCCCCTCCCATGTGGAAGAGCCGTGGGCAGTGTCCAGGCCCGTCGCAGAGTAGCAGGGAGCCAAAGTCTCCAGCCGAGAGGTCCCAAACCTCCTGGGCAGGGGGGCCCTGCTCACCCACAACCACGCACGGTCGTAGCTCAGGGACGTGTGTACCACCGGGACTCCCAGCAGAATCAGGAAGTGCGGCAAAAAATCAACATCAAAGGAAGGCTCCCTGCTGTAGCTAAGACTGCACACGCAAAGACACAGATGAACGTTGTGGACGCAAACATGTAAAATAGCGTTCTCGCTAAAACAGGAATACGGAGCAAACTCAGGCACTTTCCCATTGAATAATCGTGCAGCAGATGCCACCCTTAACGTGTCCTCATGTGGAAGCCCAGTGTGCTATGACTCCACTCCAAGATATCTAGGGGATGTCATAGACAGAAGCGAGATGGTCAAGCACCACATTAAAGAGATGTGAAAAGGATCAAATCAAGAATCGCCTCACTTACAGGAAAAAACCCTGCAGAAATGATCTGGGGCATATCAGCTGATGTGCTACTAACTGCCAGCCTCTCATTAATTTACTCAATGGCAGAGGACTGCACTCCAACCTGATCTGGGGAGTTGGTAAAACCAAACTACGAACGTGCAAAATTAAATAATGCAATACACATCATAAACCGAAACACTGAAAAGGACACCAATCCCCTGGCTCCCTGTTCTCGTGAACATTCTACAACCAAATATCTGCTGGAGCATGAAAAATGAAAAGGAGTTCCCATGTTTTCTTGCCAACCACATCTACCACCAACCCATCAACCAAGACCTCAAAAATGTTCCTCTGCCGCCAACTCAAGTCCCGATCACCCTTCTCTGGGATCACGCTGCTACTCTCACCATCCTAGAATCTCACCAAAATGTGGAAGAACACTGCTCGTAAACAGAGTGGAACAACATACACAAAGAGAATAAACACCTAATCCGAGACCCAAACATCGCACCTCGTGGCTTTGACATTCCTTGAAGACAATGGTGCTATCCATAAACTGCATTAGTACATGAACATCAACAGACCGATGCAAACATTTTCTTCATAAAGGGAAAATTTAAGACAAGCCACAGTGCGACTATGGACCGTATAGTAAACCAATGTAGTAGTCTGCGCTCCTTCAATGGAGGAATAGCAAAAATAAACAAACTCTCTCCTGAAGCCCTCTCGTGGCTAGCAGACCTCCTTATTTAGCTCCTTTAATAATTCCACAAGCAAAACTAGAAAAGAATGACTATAATAATAAAAATCCTGGGCTCTGCTCAAATACCCGAGTTCTGTAAACCTGGCACAGGTCTTTAATCCACAAGTCAATGCAAGTTTCATCACGGCGAAGCTCACGGCAAACTCTAAGGTTCCTGCTTGAAATGGCATCACAAGTGGGAAGTAAAGGAAGCACCAACACCGCCAGCCAATGGCTGTGCTCTCTTCATAATCCCTGCTGTTCTCAGACGAAAAGCTCCAGGCCACCGCCAGGGCAACAAAAAAAGGGAAGGCCACAGGGGAAGGATGGCAAGGATGGCAAGGATGAATTTAATCACACAACCTGGGCCCAAAAGCATGTGGATGCCTGGCTGGTTATGGCAACCTTGTTAGCAATGTACACAAAGCCGGTCAAATCCCCCAAATCTGGAGAGGGCCAATGGCCTTTGTTCTTCTTAAACCGGGAAAACCTGGAGAGGATCCAGCGAATCATCAGACGACGTTGCTCCTGTGCACGACCTTTAAAGTCCTTGAGGGCCTGATCCTGGGAGGAAATCGGCCATCCTCCCCTAAGTAATAACCTAGGTTGAGGCCATAAAAAAACTGGCACTTACAATGGACATCAAAGGCAGATTTGGAAGAAAAAGTAAGACCAGTACCGCATTCGTCGATTTGTGTTGGGCCTTTGATTCAGTTTGAAAGTGCATGGTCTCATGCTTAAGCTGGCTTGTGCCTGAACGCTACAGCCAATCTGGAATATGCTCAGCAAACTGAAGCGCATCCAGCTGGGAGAGGAAATGATCTCATCTTGCACCCTGAATAGCGGGCGTCCCCAGGGATCTTGAAACACAAATTTCTTTAAAACTGCTTTATTGTGTTTAGTTTGTTGTCCTTCCCCCGCAACTCCAATTAGCACAGTTGACTACGTACGGCACAAAATAAGTAAAAAAATGCATACATACATTAGCATGGTTGGCGATGTACCGTGCGAAAGAAGTTCAACATAAATACATCTGTGCTCACTGATGCTCTTCAACCTGTACACGGGAGATACGCCACGGGCATCGTCCCGCAAGGTAAAGTAAGTGGACGACGTGGCTCCGTCTGCACAAGCTTACAGTGGGCTGGAGGCCACACTCAACTGTGACCTTAACACCATGGAGGAGTACTTCCGAATTGACCCCAAGTAAATCGATTGTCTTGGTGTTTCATGTCAACAACAATGCAGACACCACACTTGGCGAATGTCGTGCGGCAGAAAAGGTGCGACGTAACCCGATGCTGACCGACCTTGGTGTGACAACTGACTGCACACAGATTTTTAATGAACACCTAAAAAAAAGGGCTGCCAGCAAAACTAAGACGAGGTTGAACTGATCTTTGTTTTTTCGGTAAAGTCACATAGAAATAAGAAAAAATAAAATTACATAATATACGACGTTTCGATTGCAACACAAGCAATCATCATCAGGTAGAGGAAACACATAACCACAGATATATATACAGACCTTAAGTAGAGGGAATTAACACAGATATACCAGGGGATACAGAGAGATGGAGCATCACACTAAATCAAACAGGGTTTAGCAAAATTTGGAAACTATGTAAAGCAACACAGACGGTCAGTTAAAACACAATTAACACATGGTCTGGTTGAATACACGATTTCAAAGATTGTTAAATTGTAAGTTGCTTTACATAGTTTCCAAATTTTGCTCAACCCTGTTTGATTTAGTGTGATGCTCCATCTCTCTGTATCCCCTGGTATATCTCTGTTAATTCCCTCTACTTAAGGTCTGTATATATATCTGTGGTTATGTGTTTCCTCTACCTGATGATGATTGCTTGTGTTGCAATCGAAACGTCGTATATTATGTAATTTTATTTTTTCTTATTTCTACGTGACTTTACCGAAAAAAACCAAAGATTAATTCCTGCAGTCACGAAAGCACCAAATCGAGTTTGAGGTTGAACTGCATTAAAAAAAATTCCGATACGAGCTGGGGGCAGATGCCTTGGTGCTTTGAACATCGACCACTGCCTGGGTGTACTTGGGAGTACTCATCAATACCCAATTGAACATCGTGATGCAAACTACCATGTATGTTTAAATCTATGCCATTGCCTTGGCTTGTTATGCTATACAATATCACACCACCAGATATTCACTGCGATGGCTGCAACGTTCCGTGAACTGAAAATGAGCCAAACCTGTCAATCAACGACGATCTAAACAACATCCCGCACCCAAGGCTGAGATACAGAACTCCGTTATTTTGGAAGCACGCAGCACAAATTCGGCGTGACATGAACTTCAGCAGAAAAAGTTGCGAACCAACTCGTGGGCTTCAAAAAACGTGCCCAACATGCACTTGCTCACCAAGCCATACCAACCAGACAGCACAGTTACAATCTTCCACAGAAATAATGGGATCTGCACAAACTGAAATAGATACGGTGGACAGCTAATGCGCAAGTGTAACATAAAAAGACTCTCCTGTGTGCAACTGCAGCAACAAACACCAAACCATCCACCACACAACTTCGCACCGACCCAAACTTAATCTTGAAGGTGGTGTGTGTATCTGCAATTGAATGACAAAATCACTCAGATAACTTAATAGTTGCTTTTCATTGGTCGTATGTAATTATCGAAATAGAAACGGCAATTACTTATTTTGGACGTAGTGCCCTCCTTTATGCCGAGGCATCTCAGGAGCGCTTTACATCTCATTTCAACATATCTAGGGAACCCCCAGTGGCAGTTGTCCCCATGGACAAAATGCAACTCAGCAACTGGCCAGCAAGTCGACACGAGTCTCGTCAGCAGAGGACGACTGCTGCTGTGCATGCGATCCCAACCGAGTAATCCTGCGTCGTAATTTTGTTTTTATTCGGCAAACGCGGACCGTGACACTGGCACACAATGGCCTGCTCGTTTTAGAATGATGGCAGGGGATATTTAACGTCCACTCTGGCAAGGCAGCAGACGGCACGTGTTCGTTTACGGTTACCGTACCCCAGTGTTAGTGTGTGCATGTGTGTTGAACTTCTTTCGCACCATATGCTGCCAACCATGCTCATCGGAAGTGAGGGAGAAAGACAACAAACTAACCACAAAGAGCCGTTCTAAAGAAATGAGTTTTCAATCTAAATGATTTAGAAGTGCATAGCTCCAGTGGCTTCCCAATATCGGAAGAGGGTTCCAGACGGCCGCAGAAGCGTGTCCGAAAGCGCGCGATGCGGTGACCGACTTTGTTCGATGGCTAGCCAAAAACCGCTGCTGCGAGGATGACCGGAATCCACGCGATGATGATTTATGCTCCTTGACAAGATCAGCGAGGCATTGTGGTTTCATTAGTGGTGAGCGCTCTGTGCGACCGTGCTAGCGCTGGTCCACGGCATCGCCGCATCCGGCACAATGCTCAGACAAAGAGAATAGCAGCCGTGGGCATCAGGGCTGGCGGCGAGTTACCATGAGCAAGCGAGGCAACGACGGAGAGGAGCTCGCTTGGCCACGATGGCCCCGAGAGTTGCAGCCCCACAACCAAACCTGTATTCCCACAGACACACATTTTAACAAGCTCAATCATTTTCCGTTTCATATTTTAAAAGCAAAAAGCAACGTTACTCACTCGCCCCACGTGGACTCAAGAGGAATGTATTTAACACACAAAAGGTGTGCACTGTATACAAGCCTTATGCAGACCATAAGCTCAAAAGAACTGCACGTGTAGATATTTTTCTGTTATGGTGGGTTTTCTCGTCATTTATAGATTTGAATTTCGGACCAAATGGGTTGCCACCTATCCTGTTTTCACCGGTATTTACAACCAGCATCATCAGGCAGCAGCAAGAGTTGCGGAGAAATTATCTTGTATATTTACGTAATCTAACTCAAATAACCTATATTACAGATAATATTGGTCGCGAAAGCCTACTAATGCGTTAAACCAGTTAGGAAAGATGTTGAGCCATGAGGGAGCGTGCTAGAGACCTGTCCCGTGCTGGTAAGAGCCATGGAGTGATAACCTCCAGCCACCACCTTCACCATCTCCTGTCCGCTCAGCGTCTTCACACACTCGGCCTCTGCCCTGCTCTCCAAAAAAAAAAAAACGAAAGCATCTGTCGCCACAGGCAGTCCACGTGATAATAATAAGAGTTTAGCCAGCGATGACTTAAGATGTACTTCATAATGCTGCAAAGATTTACAACTTTCCGATACAATCGTGGTATCATCATAAATCACGCCAACGCTGGGCCACACCGCCACCCAGCTGTAGCGTAGCCGCTTGAGATCAACGTTAGGCAGTGGTACGGCATGGCGGTAACACATACACTGCTTGTTGCAGAGGCTTGCAGTCGTAATCTGGCAGGCCGCGTTGGTTAACGCCGCAGGCTTTTTAACTGTAAAATACATTCTAACACGCCTCTATTTAGGAATGTGAATTTCTGCCGCTGGCTGAAGTGTTATAAACATAAGGTGAGCACTGCTTCAATTCTCAACCGAGCAGGAAATCACCTTGAGCACTGCGGACTTTCTACGGAGAGCCTGACCGGTAATTTTCACCTGGGGTTGAAGTCTCCGTGACCCAACTGGCCCTCGAGCCCACGGCCCCAGCTCCACAGCTCAGTCTGCAGGCACGGCAGACTTGAGGCCCACTCGGCCTCGGGGGAGCTGGGCAGCGTTGCGGGGCCTGGCCGGGCGCCCTCTCTGATGCCATCGGCCTTTCTTGCAAAGCGCGACACTGACACAGGACGCATTCCGTGTTAAACTATTTTTTTTATTTTACCAGTTAAGGGCCCACTTAGCTATGTAGTACCTCTTTTTCAAAAGCGACCTGGCTATCACAAATGATAGCTCAACGAAGTGGCTTATCATCGTGTGGAAATTTATTGCAGCCAAAATTCTGTCAACACATGATGTTGATTCTAAATGTGGAGGGAAAAAACGGAGGACCCAGAGAAAAATCCATGCGACCACAGAGCGAGAGACATGCAGACTCCAAATATACATGTGTCAGAGTCGAGATTAAACCCAAAACGTCCTGTAAAGATGCCAATTCAGGATGAAGATGTGATCTTGGTTAAAGCTGTTGATGTTACCACACCTCCCCACTGCCAGATCTCTACTCCACAGGAAGCACACAGTAGACGCACAGCCCCCAAGATCTGCCCTGAGAGTCTCCCACACCTGCCCTTCGGTCTTCTCTTCGCCTTGGTGCCAGACTCGGGAGAGATCCTTCCAATGCCCGTCTCGGCAATCGTCCCTCAAGATGCCATGATCCGCTTAAGATAGCAATACACGCAAAATAGTAATATATGAAAGTTATAATTGCTAATAATTAATCTTAACTTTGAGAACTAGTCGGGATTCTGAACATGGGGACCGCATTTTTCTACTTGTTTACCCAGGGGAGTCTTACTGAGCCCCAATATTTTTCCTAGAGGCTCTCGCCAAGTTTTCACAGAAGGGGGTGATGTTGCTGCTGTATGCAATCGGAATTTAGAAGTTTGCAGGTATTTACATTTGTTTCGGGTTCGCAGTGACGAGATGTTAACTATCTCGCTTGGTATACATGAGGTCGTGGGTTCAATCCTGACACCTGTATATTTGTAGTTTGCATGTTCTCCCCGTGGTTGTGCGGATATGTCTCCGGGTCCTCCGATTTTCCCTCCACATTTAGAAACATGTGTATAGAGTATTTGGCTGCTATAAATTTCCACGTGATAAGCCACTTCGTTGAGGCCAGGTCGCTTCTGAAAATTAGCAATATAGCGGAGCGGGCCTTACCTGGTAAAATAAAATGTTTTGTATAGTTTAGTTTATTGCAATGGCAGGAAACTGGTGAACCCAGAGGAACACACAAACTCCACACTCACTCACGCACTCTCACCAAACTTCACACAGAGAGGTGCCCGAGTCGGGTATCAAACCCGGGCCCTTTGTTGCTGGTGGTTGACTAGGTTCCCATCTTAAAGGCCAAGATGGTGTGGGGGGTCCGGGAGAGACCGAAAAAAAGGGGAATAGTCCCTCAGTGGTTAAGCGGGAGCGAAACTCGGAATGGTATGGATAGCAGAAACACCCATCAGCCACATAGACGTGAATTGCTTTCAGGGCTCTCCTTTGTCCAAACCCCCACCTCCCTCCCCCTTTCACACACCCTCTTCCCTCTTCACTATCCCCCCCCCCTCCCGTCATCTGTGGATGAAACAAATCAGTTGAGACGCCAATGTGGCAGCAAGAGAAGTTTATGCGAACGCAGTCAAAAGAGGTCACACGTATGGCGCAGCGTTCCTTCACTATACGCGATGAAAGAATATCCCCCCCCCCTCCCCAGGTTTCCCTCGTCAGGTTATACTCCCCCTCTCCCCAGTTATCCCCTCCCCTTTTAAAACAAATAAAAAATATATATTTTATGTAAGTCCAAGGGGGCGTACCGTGGGCCAGGCCCTGAACCAGGCCGGGCAGGGAGAGGCGGCGCGAGCACTCCTCACGAACAGCGCGCACGTCCACCAGGCTCAGGCACTTGCGCCCGCCGCCCTCGCCCTCCTCCGCCTCCACACTCCTCCTCACCCGAGACCCCTCCCCACGGCCCAAGCTGCACGTCTCCACCTCAACCGGCCGGCTCTGGCACAATGAGCAGGTGACATGCCGGCAATTAACTCTCGTACAATTACTCACGTCTCAAGTGGAGCAGTAATTTGCTTTTGAGACGAGCGCGCAACGTCTCGGGAGCGATTCACAAAGCGATTAAGCACCTCGCGTCGCATCTTGGGGCGGTCACGGGGCGGCCCAGCGGTAGCACCTTCGGCGCTCCTTGCTCGGGTTCATGGTTCATGAGGACGCTGTTACATTTCTTCACTAAATAAAGCCTGAACCGTGCTGCATCCTAAACCAGAACCGTGCTGCACCGTACGTGCTTAGGGGCCCGCCAATCGTCCCAGCGGTAGCGTGTTCGCCCGCTTGCCGTAGAGCAGTGTTTTTTTAACCTTTATTGCAGCCTTGCACCCCTTTTGTTCTCAATAATTAAAACATGTATAATGTTAATAGGTTTGATGATACAAAGTAGTTGAACATACGTGCCCGTGCTTAATTTGTGTTTCTATGATTTACCTTCTAAAAAAATCTGACCATGTCCCGCAGCCCCAGAAAGGGCATCTCACACCCCCACAGGGTGTGCGCACCCCATGTTAAGAACCACCGCTGTAGAGGTTCGCAATTCAAGCCCAGAGCCCACCCGGGTTAATGCTGCGGCTTCTGGTGACCGTGAACACATGGAGCGCACCGTCTCCTTCTCAATGGCGCTGTGTGCTAAATGAGGCGGCCATTGTGCACGCCGCTATCATGGGCCGCATTTGCCAAAGTAAAAAAATTACACGACGCGTCACTCAATTGGGATCAGCAAAAATCATCGCCCACTACTGGCAGACTAATGTTCACTCGCAGGCTGGGTGCAGAGTCATCTTGTGCACACAAAGACAGATGCCACTGGGGGTGCCCCTTCAAATGTTTGAGATGAGATGTTCTGAGACACCCCGGCATAAAGAGCGAGGAAATCAAACACAACTCGTTATCATCATCATAATCATTATTACGCTTGTACCTGTGACTCTAGGATGTCCTCAGCCATCTGCACTGGGACCTTGCTCTCCTCGGGCAGAGAGCTATCATAATGGGCACGAATGACACCCCTCTCAGTCTCGCCGCCGCACTGATTGGATGCCGTCGCTGCTTCCGACGCGAGGCAGTGGTGCTCGTCGGAAATGACCACGTGATCCGCTGCGTCCGTCATGGTCACCAACAGTTGCCTGCAGTGGACACATGTGTCGGGCTCGGGGCCGGCCACCGCTGCCGCCACTGTACTCCGTGCTCGCCGTGCCAGTGCGAGACAGTGCTGCGCACCGCACGCCACCTGCACCACACAGACACTGCGCAGCGCCTCCACCGCACGCGGCGGCACCACCGCCGCCTTGCCGCTGCCACCGTCACTGCCGCCGCTCCTGCCTGGCACGCCGCCCCACTCCCACGCTTCTCCGTGAAGCGAGAGGGCCAGCGTAAAGGCGTCCCCGCAGGCCAGCTGGGCCACGTCGACCAGCGGCGGCGCCTCTTGGCCAGGGCCCGCTTCGAGCGTGGGCACCGGAGCGGGACTGCCGATGATGTCGGGCGCGCTCCTGCCACACTGGCCGTGGGTGTTGCACCCCCACATGAAGGGCACTCCGCCCGCGCACACAGCGCCGCAGTGGGTCCGCCCCACCGCCACGCTCAGGACGACCTTCCCGAGCAAGGCCCTCACCGGAGCGATGTCCCACACGTCGGCACCGTCCGTAGGCCCAGGCTGCTGACAATCCTCCGACGGTTCAGAGGCTGGATTGGCTGAAGCGGCGCTGTCCTCCTCTCCTTGTGTCTTGGCATTTTTGGGAGCAACTGCTGCAGCGTGCAGGTTTACATCCAATGAGCCGAGTTGTGTTCCGCTTAGCGGAACGTCAGTGTTATCTGCAGAGCTCGAGTCCGACGATCGCGGATATTTTTCTCCGAGGTTTCTCGTGGCTTCTTCTCGAGGTGTTAATGTGGAATCGTCATCTCCTTCCAAACCCTGGGTCACATTTTTGAGAAAGAAAACCTCACCAGCTGGAGAAAAAAAACCAGATACACAGGTAACAGAAAAATGTAATATTAAAATATGGGACAAACTGGAAAATGCAGGCATTTTCTAAACATCATTTTATTTTTATTATCAGGCTTGTTTAACCAGAAAGCCTCATGAGTCACAAAACTCCTTTTCAAGAGGGTCCTATCAAGTTTTCGTAGTGGGCAACATTTCTATGTGTAATCCCCATTGAGTAATTTTTGTGGTTTATTTTCCAAATTGGGACCCACGACACCAGCAGTGGCTTACTCTTGCGAGTTGAATCAAGGGATCTACAGTGTCCACTATGAAGCAGACGCCATTTAGTATTACTGTGGCTCTTCCACACCGCTGTAATAGCCAGCAGAGCCGCTTGATTTGAACAGTAAACCTCTGCGACAAGTGGTGAATGTGCTGCAGCTGGGCCATGCTATGGCCCCAAGTCTGTGCAAGGCAATAACAACGTTTTGAATTATTGAGATGTTTGGCCAACGGAGGAGCAAAGCGCGGGGGGTGGTGGCCAGCACCACACTAGGCTATCTTTGTCTCCTGAATGCTGATGTTCACACGCAGGCTCTCACTCGTACTCTGCAGAAAAATAGCTATGTAACCCAGTGGGCTTTATCTGGTAAAATAAAAAAAGTAAATTAAAAAAATAGGAAGCATTGCGGCACCTGTGGTGAGCAGGAGGCCATGCTCCGTGCCGATGAGGGCCTGCTGCACAGGCTGGCGGACGAGCGGTGTCCCGAGTGCTTGTGGCACGAACTCTCCATCGTGACGACGCCACCGCCGCCACACGAACACCAGTCCACAGCCAGCAGCCGGTTCCTCCATGGCACTGGGGCACCATGCACACAAACACACAACATTCCATGGCCTGGCTCAATTAATCTATAAACCTACAAACTTTTTTTATCAGATAAAACACACTGAGCTATGTCGCTCTTTTTCAAAAGTGACCTGGCAAAAAATGATAGCTCAACGAAGTGGCTTATCGTCACGTGGAAATTTACAGCATCCAAATATTGATTATAAATGTGGAGGGAAAAACCAGGGGACCAGGAGAAAAATCAAAGCGACGACAGGGAGAGAGACATGTAAACTCAAAATATACAGGCGTCGAGGTCAGAATCAAACCCACGACCTCCTGCATACCAGGCGAGGGAGATAACATCTCGTCACCGTGGCACCAATTACTTGTCACTCATCTGGCTACGGAGACACTGAAGAAGTTTGGTTTTCTTTCCCTTGCCAAAACCTCCTTTTTTCGATTTAAAGCTTTCGTGACTGCAGGGATTCATCTTCTTGGTTCTTTCGGTAAAGTCACGTAGAATGGGGATAAAATAATAAAAATTATCACGACGTTTCGGAGGCAACACAAGCTTCCGTCTTCAGGTGGGACAGTCACAGCAAGATCGCTGATCAAGTGGGGAGGCTCTGAGAGCCTCGAGCTTAAATATAGGTTAAGGGGGGGAGGAGGGCAGGGCCAAGTGGGGGACATTGATGGGGTATGGGGCTAAGTTAATCATTCTTCTGTTCTGTTGATGGTGCGATACGTCCAGTGGGCCACTGCACGGGGGCAGTGGAAAAATTAAGTTAATCATTCTTTTGTTCTGTTGATGGTGCGGAACGTCCGGTGGACCACTGCACGGGGGCAGTGGGAAAATGTTTTGAGTTATACAATGCGTTACTGTGCACTACCCTATACTTTAGACTATGAAAATATTAGACTTGTAATATTACACTGTCTTATTCTGTCACCTTAATGTATGACACACTGCTGTATATTCATTATGCAATTACGATACTATATATATTGCCTTATGAATTATGTTAAACATTACGATGCTGTACTATTTATTATTATACTAAATGTTATAAACCATACCATTGACTGTGGAGTGAAAGAAGGTCACCGTAAAGTACAATCAATTAAGAACTGAAATGGTTTATAACATCTTTCCAATGGTTACTAAGCCAGAATCCATCTTCTCGGTCGAAATTGTCTCTGTGTTTGTAGATGTGGATGGCCTCATGAACGAATCTTTCAAAAAAAATTCCCACTGCCCCCGTGCAGTGGCCCACCGGACGTACCGCACCATCAACAGAACAAAAGAATGATTAACTTAATTTTCCCACTGCCCCCCCCCCCCCCCCCCCCCGTGCAGTGGCCCACTGGACATACCGCACCATCAACAGAACAAAAGAATGATTAACTTAGCCCCACACCCCATCAATGTCCCCCACTTGGCCCCACCCGCCTTCCCCCCCTTAACCTGTATTTAAGCTCGAGGCTCTCAGAGCCTCCCCACTTGATCAGCGATCTTGCTGTGACTGTCCCATCTGAAGACGGATGCTTGTGTTGTCTCCGAAACGTCGTGGGAATTTTTATTTTTAATTTTTATTATTTTATCCCCATTCTACGTGACTTTACCGAAAGAACCAAGAAGATGAAAACCTCCTTTGCTTGATGCTGGTGGCTCTGCCACACACGGCCTGCAATCTGACACTGCTGCAGTCAGAAAACGTTGGTGGATCACGTAAGATACGTACTCGTGAAACTCCAAAATCAGTTGCGGCTGCGAGGCATCCATCTCCTGGCTCGCTGGGGTATGGCAGTGCAGCAAGTGGGTGAATTTCGATATTTATTACTAGCTTCTTTGCCCATCCTAGGACGGAAGCTGTAATATTTACGAAAAAAATTAGCAGAGTATAATTGTATCTTGTGTAAATTTAATGGCAGTGAATCTTGCACGAAAGTATGTCATAAAACACTTCACTGCATTTCACTGTAGCACTGTATATAACTGACCTTCAATTTGTTCTAAGTCACTGCTCTGATACTTTATTCTCTTCTGCTTTCGGTCGCTGGGGTTCAAATAAATTGGATTGCAATACAATATCTGAAAAATCACAGAGAAATGTCTAATTAACCAAAATGTAGAAGCATAAATTATTGTATCTTTTAGGGGCCGTGTGACGAGAGGGGGGGGGGGTCAAAAATCGTCCAAAATCTCGTGAAATCATTTATGGACGGCCCCTTATCTCAAGTGCTGAAAAAATAAAGACCCCAAATCCACTTTGTTTCTGCGTATAATTATTTATTAGATTCACTTTCAATAAAGAAACGTGAAACTTAAAGCGAATTTGCGAAAAAAAATATTTCCGCTTGACCTTCTTCACGGGGGGTGCGGGATGTGAAGTGACGTCATGTGCGGGACACAAACTCCCTAATTAATAATCATCGAGCGGATGACGTCATTCCACATGGAGCATCCCCTCCCCTCATCAATAATCATGAGCTGATGACGGCACTCATGTGGACCCTGCCCCCGGCCCCACCCCCTCATTTATAATCATGAGCGGGTCATTCTTTTCGATTGAATATTTCAGATTAAGGGCAATATACCCGTCCTTGGACAGGCTGTAGCAGGGGTCGGGAACCTATGGCTCGCGAGCCAGATGTGGCTCTTTTGATGATTGCATATGGCTCGCAGATAAAACAAAATATTCTCACTTGTTTTAATCCATCCATCGATTTTTCACTGCGCATGTCCTGTTCAGGGCTGCAGGAGCAATTGTCCATTATTTTAATTGGATGATACTGGCCTACGTTTGCCGTTGCTGGGTAAAACAGGTAAACGCCCCCTTTTGAATCAGTCTGAGACTGCGTCTGCTCGGTCATTAGCTCAAAGCTAACCCTTCGACGAAGAAGATGGCGAAAAGAAAAAAAGACGACGAGTATCGTACATTTCAGGACGAATGGACCGAAGAATTCGCCTTTGTGGAGAGAGCGGGTTCTGCGGTGTGTCTAATTTGCAATGACAAAATTACATCGTTGAAACGGTCGAATGTAAAGCGGCACTTCGACACGCGCCACGCTACCTTTGCATCAAAATACCCTGCGGGAGACAGCAGAAAGAAAGCGTGCCAAGAGCTTCTGAGCAGGGTGCAAGCTAGCCAGCAGCAACTCCGCATATGGACCCGGCAAGGTGACTATAATTCGGCTAGCTTTGCTGGTTCTTTAGCAATAGTGAGGAACGGAAAACCATTCACAGATGGCGAGTATGCTAAAACGTTCATGCTGGATGTAGCCAATGAACTTTTTGATGATCTTCCGAACAAAGACAAGATAATCAAACGGATACAAGACATGCCTCTGTCGGCAAGAACTGTTCATGATCGTACCATCGTGATGGCAAACAAAGTGGAGGAAACGCAAGTGAAGGACATAAATGCAGCGCCCTTCTTTTCTCTGGCTTTGGATGAGTCAACAGACGTGAGCCATTTGTCGCAGTTCAGCGTGATTGCAAGATATGCTGTTGGTGACACACTGCGCGAAGAAAGTCTTGCTGTTCTGCCATTAAAAGGGTCCACAAGAGGTGAGGATTTATTCAAGTCTTTCATGGAGTTTGCTCAAGAAAAAAGTCTACCTATGGATAAACTTCTCTCAGTGTGTACTGATGGTGCTCCGTGTATGGTGGGGAAAAACAAAGGATTTGTGGCGCTTCTCCGTGAACATGAAAATAGACCCATCCTAAGTTTCCATTGCATTATACACCAGGAGGCACTTTGTGCTCAGATGTGTGACAGGCAGTTTGGCGAAGTGATGTCGCTGGTCATTCGTGTGATCAACTTTATTGTTGCCCGAGCCTTAAATGATCGCCAGTTTAAAACACTGCTGGATGAAGTTGTAAATAACTATCCTGGTCTGCTTTTGCACAGCAATGTGCGTTGGTTGTCAAGAGGGAAGGTGCTTAGCCGTTTTGCGGCTTGCCTGAACGAAATCCGGACTTTCCTTGAAATGAAAGGCGTCGGGCATCCTGAGCTAGCCGACACCGAGTGGCTCCTCAAGTTTTACTATCTCGTAGATCTGACTGAACATCTGAACCAGCTCAACGTGAAAATGCAAGGCATTGGAAATACAGTGTTATCCCTTCAACAAGCTGTATTTGCTTTTGAAAACAAGCTGGAGCTTTTCATCACGGATCTTGAAACAGGTCGTTTACTACATTTTGAAAAACTGAGCCAATTTAAAGATGCATGCACAGCAAGTGAGCCCATTCAAAACCTTGATCTCCACCAGCTAGCTGGCTGCACATCCAGTCTCCTACAGTCCTTCAAAGCACGCTTTGGAGAATTTCGTGAGCACACTCGTCTTTTTAAGTTCATCACCCATCCAAACGAGTGTTCACTGAACACAGCCGACCTGAATTACATCCCTGGTGTCTCCGTCAGAGATTTTGAAGCAGAAGTGGCTGACCTGAAGGCCTCAGACATGTGGGTGAATAAGTTCAAGTCACTGAATGAAGATTTGGAAAGAATCACACGACAGAAAGCGGAGTTGGCGAGCAAGCACATGTGGACAGAAATGAAAAAACTCCAACCCGAAGACCAGCTGATTCTCAAAACTTGGAACGCGCTTCCTGTCACATACCACACACTGCAGCGTGTGAGTATTGCTGTATTGACCATGTTTGGATCTACGTATGCATGTGAGCAGTCATTCTCACATCTTAAAAACATCAAGTCCAACCTACGATCACGTTTAACGGATGAAAGCCTCAACGCTTGCATGAAGCTTAACCTCACCAAGTACCAACCCGACTACAAAGACATCAGCAAATCCATGCAGCACCAGAAGTCGCATTAATGGTGAGTGTTATAACAACATTATTTAAAAGAATAAATTCAGAGGCTTATTATACTGACATTTAGTTGAATTCACTTTTAAAATATATTATATGGCTCTCACTGAAATAAATTTCCAATTTTTTTGCTTTCATGGCTCTCTTAGTCAAAAAGGTTCCCGACCCCTGGGCTGTAGGCTACTTTAAT